AATACTTGCTGTTTGAGTTGGTTGATGAAAGTGAAATGCTTTGGTTCCCAACTCATTAGGATGAATAGAATTACTCACTAATAGTGATATCAGTATTGTTGTGATAAAGCTGAAATCCATAAGAATGGACTCTATGGGAATGAGTAGTTGTCCAATATCAAGCTGTGAGACATATCTGGCTGATTATTTGTTGGAGACAACAATCAAGCTATTACTTTTCAGATATATAGATAGAAGATAGACATTGATATCTATCTATCTATCTATCTATCTTCTTGAATACCTTACTGAAGTTGTACTTACAAGATATCGTGAATGACACGTACACATTCGAATTCAATCAGATCGGACGGTCATTCGCATCTGTCAGTACCCAGTCAATGGAATCCAAGTTCGATTGTTCAATCACATCGATCGATAGGTTGTCCCAGATGATCATGTTGTTCAGTCCCATCGATACATGAATCAGGTTATCGATCAGCGGACTCTTCAGACCGAATGTTTGAGCATTGGTACTACTGTAAACTCGGATCACACTCGTGCCATTCGTGATGTCGTAGGCTCCTCTGGGAATTAACACCTCGTGTTGGGATGTCCCCGCATCGATTAATATCACTTGATCGGTTGGTACGTTGTGCAACACGAAATCGGTATAGAGTGACACAGACGAGATGGAACATTGATCGAATGACAGAGGATTGTCCAGCTTCACTTCCTTCTTCGTAGTATTACAGAACACTTCCATCATACTGAACTGGTTCATCGGTAGAATTGAGGAAGGCACTTGATCGCACACATCTTCGATCATCAACTGGAGTTCGAATTCGCCGTTCAATCGCATGATATCACCATCCATATCGCGGAACAGGAACATCAATCGATCGAATCGGGTTATCATCAGAATGCAGATGTCTTCCACGGTGCAGAGGTAATCAATCTTGGGATCGTCAATGATCATTGTGGTGAGCAGGTTGTGTTTTGGTTGGCAATCTTCAGATCGGAGGAACGCACGATCGTCGAGTAGACTTGGATCACTTGGCGATTTCGCGTGATATCAATCACGTTCGATCCATAGAACGAAGCGGGTAGAATGACTATTTGTCCTTCCAAACCGAGGATTTCTCGAATATCAGGAGCATTGGTGAAATCGATGGTGTGTGGGGACTGGATATAAATACACCCATAACTCGAAGCCTTCGTAGATATCGAGAACGTAGTATCGGTCATGGTGTTGAGGATAACAATGATTTGACCGATCGTGTAGTATCCAGGAGGAATCGTTAGCTCTTCGTCATTCGAGTTCGTGACCACATTCGTAGAATCCACATTGTTGAACATGACTTGATTGGGTGTGAACAGGACAGTCATGGAAGTGATGTAGAGGTTTTGATACTTAAAAGGTTTGATCCATTCGAACGTATTGTTGCTAGGTGAGCCTTGGATGAGTAAGGGGTAGTGCATGGCTTGCCCCTCTTTACCATAAACAGATGGGGTAAGCAAAACAAGATAAGACTAGATTTTCGCACCATATTTCTTGTGAAGGGTGAAAACTACACATTTTCCAGGGCGAGTAAAAACGACTGATGGAAGATAAAGTCTGAGGAGCGACTTCGCACAGCTAACTCGCAGTTAACGGGATATGAGGGGTGACTTTGGTCGAAAATGGACGAAAGAAATTCGCGCAATAGGAGTCATTGCACAACTATTTCGATTCTTTCCTTTCTTTATCCTTTCTCTTCTTTTTTATCAACAAATCAATTCACGGAGCGAGTAAATGAGTGAATGAGTAAATGAGTAAATGAGAGAATGAGTGAATGAGTGAATGGTTTCGCTTGACAATAATAACAACAATGGATGATTAAATGTGTGGAATGGAATAGAATGGAATGGAGAAGAATATAGTGTAGTAAAAGAACAGCATCGAGACTTCTCAGCGAGTCACCCACACTGGTACTAACTCGACTCGTGATGACTTAGCTTCCTAGATCGGACGGGTTAGGGCGCTTTCCATCAGATATGGCCGTTCTCATTTTACTTCCATTCAATTACCTATTTATACATCACATTCTTATCATCACATACTCGTTCACTCACATTTTTAGAGTTACATTTCTGATTCTTCATCAACTGCAATCGAGAACAAATGATTCCAGTGTTGTGTTTTCAAACAAACAAAAATGCAAACATTCTACACATACATATTTAGTATTTACTTCTTCAAATTCACCAAGAACTTCGAGATTCCTGCATTGTTAGGAACGAAAGTTTTATCACCTTCGTGCCAGTTCGCAGGACAGACTTCTCCGTGTACATCACTGAACTGAAGTCCCTTGATCACACGGATCGTTTCATCCACACTACGACCAACTCCATTATCATTTATATAAATATGACGGATTTTCTGATTCGGATCGATCAAGAACAATCCTCGGAAAGCTTGAGCATAATCCAAACCCGATTTATCTTCATTGTATACTCCATAGTTCTTCATCGTCTCACGAGTCACATCCGAAAGCAACGGAATATTGATAAGACCACCCAGTCCACCCTCAGAACGGGATGCCTTCAACCAACTCAAATGGGTATAAGGAGAATCTCCAGAAATTCCAAGCACCACAGTGTTCACTGCAGCCAACTTGTCCGCAGCATCATTATAAGCAAATATTTCGGTGGGACAAACGAAAGTCCAATCCATGGGATAGAACAACAGAATTACCCACTTTCCCTTGTAGTTATCAAGCGAAATATTGGAAATTGTTTCAGTTCCTTGAGCTCCATTCAAACAAAAGTTGGGAGCAGTTTGACGAATCGTGACGGGCATTTCTTAACTTGAGTAAATATAAATAAAAATAAACAAATAAATAATGAATATTAATGTAGAAAGATGGCTCATTTTTGAACAAAGAAAAGGTTGGAAACAAATGAATGAAACTCCCTTCTTTTCTCGAGGATTGTGAATATACAACAATCGAACAGTTTTTGAATCACTATGTTGAACATTACACATGATACCTGAAGCAAAATTAATGAGTACTTCAGAATTTGATGTTTGGTACTTGAAGATGAATGGAGCGAATATTAAGTTGTTCTGTTGCTTCCAATGTTGTGATGAGATCCAAAAGAAACAATTCCAATATTGTATTGAACCTCTATTACAAAGTTGAGGTAATTCTATTTGTAACTTGTAATTCACAAGTTAAAAAGTTGAAAAATATACTATTGTTCAAATCATAACAGTTACAGTGACTTTCTTATTGCAGATCAACCTTGAGTGTTTCCATTCTAAACGAAATGCGAAGGAATATCACTCTTTTGAAATTTCATTCTCTCCTAATGTATAAACCACACATTTCATATAAATGTGGTTCTAAAGAACAGAGTGAAAATGGAATGAAAGTAAATACACTGACTAGAATATAGGCAAATCACCATATAAAGAGTGAATTCGTAGAATAGGTACAATAATGGGAAACAATTAGATAGACTGCAAGATATAAAGGGAAAGGTATTATAATTTGTTGGTGGGTTACATAACACTTGGAAAGCTAAAGGCAGTGATACTCACTGGCTGTGACGACAGTTTACAATGTTTACAAAGTAAGCACAATGACGAATACACTGTGAAAAAACAGTATGCCCGTTCCAAAATGGAATCCTCAACATATTATACAAAAAAGAAGATGATGGAGCTCAAATAGGCAGAATTATATGATTTGAATAGGGTTCTGTTACTATTGTACAGTCGATTGATTATATTCTGGATCAGCACAATTTCAAACATATAGAAAACCGTGATATTAGTGAGAACAAGAAGGAAAGAGAACCAATAATGACGAGGAATCCAATGGAATGCTTCTTGAGGGGATGTGGAAGGGGAACAAGCTGGTGGAGATCATCCGCAAGATCGAAGGAGCCATTATGATTGAGTTCAAGCGAAGCGGTAACAACACCATCACTTCGAATCGAATTCCCCTCTATGTGGGCGAATTCGTGTATGATGAATCGAAAGAATCGTTTCTTCGAAATGGTCGAGGATACTGGATCGATGAAGAAACTCGGATTGCTACTCGCGAAGTGGAATGGAAAGATGGAGTGGAAGTGAGTGGAAGAGATCTCTATGATGGATGGCATATTCATTCATTCATTCACTCAATATTACTTGTTTATTTAATACTATTGCTATGTTAATCACATTGCATTTCACATTGTTTTGTTGATCAAATAGAAAGCAAGGTTTTCATTCATAGGATTCATGGATTCCATCCATCATATTATTCAATCGATTGTTTTGTTTAATGATACTATGATTCCTATTCACCATTTCAATCTATTACCACATTCCCTTCTCTGCAATATCATTCTTTGTACTCAATATGGATGATCATTGTGACAGAAGAGAATCGAAGTATCAACAGAGAATCAATACAATAAACCGCTTGTCAAATAGAAATGATGGATTTTGTATTCTGCATACTACTGCCATACTCTCTATTACGAATCAAGCCATTCCAACAGGATTCACTATTGTGAGTTCGATTGTTGCAAAACAAGATTAACTACCACATAATTGATATATTTTGAAGAACATATATCCATTCTAGACTTAATAGAACAGCTATTCTGACATGAGAGAGTAAAAATTATGAAAATGCGTAATATTATACAATCAAAGCTATAAGTATCTGAAAAATAACACAAAAATAAATGAATAGATAGAAATGCACCGAAATATAGAGAAATAGGAATGGGTGGAGAAAATGAGGTTTTATTATATGTATTCTCGTTTGTAACACACTAGCCTATCAAATCCATACACAATAATCCATGACGTGTGTTCTATCGAGAAATAATGAGCCAGATCTTGTTTCCAAAAAAACCGTTTTACCATATTTCTTTTCATTTCCATGCAAAACATTGTTGATTTTGTCAATTCCGCTATTAGTAACTATCATATTGATAGTTCCATTATCCAAAATGTGCAGGGATGCTTGGGTAAAGAAATGAAACCAAATGGCTGGATTTCACTCATATTGAGTAATAGAGAATGTGTATTATTGCAATTCGATAATGGAGTATTCATGAATCAAGGATTTATGCTCAATGAGCAGAAAGTGTTGAAAGTGTTTGGAAATCATCAAATTGGTGATATTTCATATAGTGAAGAACAATCCATAGAAGTAGTAGTAGAAGGAATCGTGGATTTGGATCATGGAAGTCGATTTGAAGGATTGATATTGACAGAAAACAAGTTGGGAATTCCATTTGGATATGGTGAATTGTATGAGAAGGATGGATTCTTGATGTACAAGGGCATAATGATCAATTGGAAACGATTTGGATATGGAACGAGTTATCATAATAATGGATGTATTGAATATGAAGGATATTGGTGTGATGATAATCGATATGGAATTGGAAAAGTGTATGATCTATCAGGGATATTATTGAAAGAATGTGAATGGTATAATGGAATTGAATGTGATACTGATGAATATAGAGGAGATGGCTCAGAACCTCTGAATATCGGAATGAAACATTTGAAACTGAGTGACAATTGTGTATTGGTTGATTGGGATGTTTCATTGTTGTATTATTTGGAATCAATCGAAATCGGCAATGATTGTTTTGGATCAGTGAAAACATTCAAAATCGATGGATTGAATCGATTGAAAACGATCAAAATCGGCACGAGATCATTCAATTCCCTCCAATATAGTAGGCAAAATGACTACAGAGAGTTTGCTGTTGTTAATTGTCAATCACTGGAATCTATAGAAATTGAAGAATACAGTTTTTCGGGATATGGAGATAAGTTTGAAGTGAAACATCTTCCTATGTTACAATCAATTAGAATCGGGTCATTTAGACATCAGTCATCTAATTTTGGTTACAGTCCGTTTGTTCTTGAAGGTATTGACAAGGTATAGCAAAATGATCTATAGATCTTCCAGCAATCGAGTCTATTAGTATCGGTAAGGGAACATTTGATTATTCCGAAGAGTATAATCTTTGTCGATTAGACTCTTTAGAGTCTATTGTCATAAGAGGTGATTATTTCAATTATGTGAAAACCTTTAAAATCGACGGACTGGCAAAATTGAAGAGCGTGAAGATAGGCAAGAATTCATTCACCTGGAAAAAGAATTACTACGGAAACGACGAATCGAAATCCTTCCATATTTTGAATTGTGAATCATTGGAATCTATAGAAATTGGTGATTACAGTTTCAGTGATTTTGCTGGAGACTTTGAATTGATGAATCTGCCACAATTACAATCCATTCAAATTGGATCTTTCGATCAAGATTCATATTGCTTTTATTCAAGTTCATTTGTGGTGCACCGTAATGCTGAGAACTAACAAATTAGTGTTTAGATTTGCCAAATCTGCAATCTGTCGTACTTGGAAGCAAAGTCTTTTATTGTGCTAAGTCAATTATATTTGAAGGTATTGAACCAAATGGCTATCATGGTAATAATATATAGATCTCCCGTCTTTGGAGACTATTGAGCTTGGCTATGGAGCACTTTTCGGTAACTATACCGATGATCAGAATGTGTTAGTTATGCGAAGTATTGCTTGCTATTATTGATATAGAATATAAAATAGACCTGCCTCAATTGAAGATTATTAACTCTGAGGGAGGAAGCCTGCGAAACCCTCTTGAGGTTACTTTAGAAAGTAATGGTCTGGTGTAGAGATTTTATAATAGATATTCCTAAACTACAAAGTGTAACATTAGAATGCTCATTTCAAAGAGTAAAAACAAAGTCAGTATTGAGTACTTTTATTCAGTGTTTTTATTTTATTCAATTGTAGATGTTGCGCCTGCGCTATCTGACTGCCTGATACTAGATAAGTAACAATTAAAAGAGAACAATGTCTTTTTTGTATGGACTATTATGAAGTAGCTCTGCTTGTTTCATACTCTCTATTAAACGTAAATTAAATAATATCATCAATATCCCAAACCTTCCCTTTCAGAACTTGGCTAAAACATTCCGGTAATGTACCAAAGGTGATTCATCTAAAGATGAAACATTTTCGAACTTATTATTCCCACTTCTACGATATAGTGATATGTTTTACTCGCATACTATGTTACTATGACTATTCCATCTCTTCCACAATACCTTCATACTGTTTTCAATTGATTCCTTGCTCTTTTTTGAGGTTTTGATAAACACTTTGACGCGAGGATCTATTACGGTTTGTCTTGAATTTCTTGTTGTGTTTGGTAAAGGTGCACTTTCGACTTAAAGCACTATTATGTATTTATAGCACGATTTGCTCTTTAGTTGTTTATTTTTGATTTTTAAGACACAGTATTATTCTCATTGAAACTCGTTTATTTAGGATACAATCCATTTTCCCTCCTTGTTCTAAGTTTTCATTCTCTACTGTATTTTTATTTGTCTACTTCCTCTCATTTCGTAATCGATATTCTTTAATGAAAAGGAATTCATGCGCAGAGTTCTATTCCGAAACCACTGCAAAAATACCAAGAATGAGTATAATCAGGCAAATTCTTCCAGTGATTCACTACAGATACAGTATTGGAGATGTTGTGCTAATTCCATCAAAGAACTTGTTTGTAAATCTTAATAAGTCCTTAAAACCGGATGGTGATGGTGTCTTTTATGAGGACGACTCCATTATACAAATGAGTTGGAAGGATGGAGTTTTGAATGGAGAAATGTTTGTTGTTGATAAGAAGCGCCATTCTCTTATTGGAATCTACAATGTGGTGAATAATGTTGTAGTTAGTGTTTTTGACGGTGTCAACCTTCAAGACGACATATTAGATTTGTCAGACAAGGGAGATAGATGGGAGGGGAAGGTTTATTGTGGAGAAGCTTGCGGATGGGGAAGTCTTTACAATGAAAAAGGGGAATTGGTATATACTGGCTTTCGATATGGCAGTAGAAATATATGCTATGGGATAACCTACCATTATTGTAGTGATATTCCTATGTATGATGGGATGTTACACAATGATGTGCGTTATGGAGTGGGAAGAGTTTTGGCAAGGAATCAGTCAGTGGTGTATGATGGGTATTGGCTAAATAATTGCCATTTAGAAACGTCTGTGGTTTATAATGCTCGATCTGATAAGCATCCTATAACGCCAATGACAAAGAAATTGACATTTCCGAGCGAAACTGTATATTTGTTCGGGGATGTTGATCTTTCTTGGTTGTTTCAATTAAAAGAATTGCATGTGAAGCAAAATTCTTTTTTCCTTTCACCGTCAAACTCGCTTTTTTCCCTAGCAATTCAACAGTTGAATGCTCTTGAATGGATTCGAATCGAATCGAATTCGTTTCAAAAAATCAACACTGTTTCGATTTCAAGTTTGTGCTTAATCACTTTCTAACTCTCTAGAATTGCCAAATTTAAAATCTCTATTTATTGGAGCATCTTGCTTTTCCGAATGTGAATGTCTTCTTCTGAGTGGTATTTCTCGTTTGCATTTGTGTCCATAGAACTACCGGATATTAAGCAGATCGTCTTTGAAAACGCCTGTTTCCATCACGTAAAGAACGTCAAAATCCAATGTTCCATTGCGAAGTTTGATTCATGATAGTTATGTCTTCTCTCCATTCTCTCTCTTTTGGTGATAACTCTTTTCAAGGAATGACGGGATGGAACGGCTCGTTGTGCCTTGTGTTTCTACCCAATCTTCAGAATGTAGCATTTGGATCTTTTTGTTTTGCTAATTTCTCCACGGTCTTCATTCGAAGTGGGAGTCATATGGCGAATTTGACTTGTAGGAATATGTAACGTACCTTTTCCAAATATTCAGTTTCGTTCTGTGCCTTTTTCGAAGTATACCTCGATCCGGTGTGAAGGTAGATATGCGTATGCTTTTAAGAAGTAGAAAGCGATTATTTTTTGCAGTGCCTTCATAGAATTATGTGAGACTTTAAACATGTTTGTTAAAAAATAAGGATACGAATTGTGCCCATTCCATTTCTGTTTTTATCTTACACTTGGTTTTCGACTATTGACAGAATGTCGTCAGAACAGTTTGTCTGTGACGACTATGACTGCATTGGTGGAGAAGGGTGGTATTTTGTTTGTAATTTTGAGATAACATTATTTCTAGGAGCGGTGCTCTACAAACTTTATATTGTCTGTAGTAGAAAGAATATTCTCAGACACTCCACCACTTGCAGCTCCTTTTCGTGAGGGATGCTCGATTCACCTTGCCAACGAGCAAAAATTGCGCTTGCCTGAAAATGAACGGAAGGAATGTAGATTTTCCACGAATTCTCCTCTCACCAATTAGATTATGAAAGTATCAAGAATTTTGTACTGAAGGCAAGTTCAGGTATTCTTCGCCAAAAGGACGACAGCAAGTATGAACTGTCCTCTTTTCAAGTCGTTATTTTCCACTATTTTACCTTAGGAATTATCGATGCTCGTTCATATCTCCACTCCCTACGAAGAAACATTTATTCGTCGTAATGCGGTCTTAAAATTTCTGCAGCGGTTTTTCTTCTTTCTCCGTATGATTTTCAGCATTCTCCGCTCTGCTCAGGTCCATCGCGCGTCTCTACGACCCGCCTATCCTGGAAGCCTCACGGCATGTACCTGCGGGTACTTTTCAACTTCCTTTTCTCATCAGAAACGCCTGTCACCTCGAGTTCTGTCCGATGCACGACATCTACGACGACGAAAAGGCCTGTACGTCTCGAAATGGAGAATGACCGCGCAGTTTTGTACCCTCCTTTGGAGCCAGGCGATCGCGTGGTTCGCGGTCCGGACTGGATGTGGGGAAACCAAGACGGGAACGCGGAAGGCACCGTGATTCGTCGGAAAGAATGGAAAGGAATGAAGGACATGGGAGTGGGGCAGGCGAGTGGCTTCGAACTAGATCACGGTGCATTGGGATAACGGCGGACACAACGCGTATCGCTATGGATACGAGAACTGTTTCGATGTCGTGGAGGTCAATCCGATGTTGAAGGACTCGTACGTGCCGCTGGGCGGGTTTTTGGACTGTGCGGAGAGTAGAGCGACAAGCGAAGGAGTCAAATGTAGCGTTTTGGAGTCGGTATGTGACGCATTATCTGTGTGGAAAGTCGCTGCGAGGCAAGCGAGCGCTCTTTCAGTTTCTTTCCAAGGAACAACTCGCGAATTTGTTACCCGATTTCGATGCGTTGGCGCCGGTGGATGGTATCGTTCAAACCCCGATCACTCCAAAATAGAAGCCTTCGCAGGGAAATCGCTTCTCTCCATCGAGAAAATCGTGAATTTCGTGGAAACCGAGTTTCTCTCGTTTCTCCAAAACCGCAAAAAGCTGAACAACGCGTATTCGCCGAGCACTTTGAGTTATCTTCTGCTTCACTCCGTTTTGTTTCCCTTTCAAATCTATCTGCTCTCGCAAGCAGTCGGCGATACGTCCTGTCAGCGAACCGAATCGCTGATTCTAGAAGGCTATCTGATGCAGCTGCTCAGCTCCAGTGTTCGCATTCTGTCGTGTGTGATCGCGACGATTTCTGAATCCCCTTCAACCCAAGCGATTGTGATGACGTCGTTGAATGAAACGGTGCTGGGCGTGTTGTTTATGCATTTGTTGTCGATGCTGTATTTGGAGGAGTTCTGCCACCACATTGCGAGCAGTTTAAGAAGCGATCTGCACGAAATGACGTTGCTGTGGTGTCGATTGATGTCGGCGATTCACGTGTCGAAGTCGCTGCAGCAGACGAAGGACGATTTGCTGGTGAAATCGGTGTATCAGAAGGAATACACGACGGTGCCTGCGTCGTTGGCGTGGCACGTGACGTTGTTTCATTTGTTGATTTCGACGGATACGAAGTATCACTTTTCGTGCTATCATTTCAACTATGTGGAGGGAAGGGATGATTTTTGCTGTCTGTTGGAGAGTTATTTGTTTAGTGGGGGATTAATGTAGGTAAACAAATGGAATGAATGAATTGAATTGAATGAGTCATTGAATGAAATGAATGAATTGAATGAATTGAATGAATCATTTCGATTTATTTCGGTTGATTCATATCATCATTTTCTCATTAATGATCTATTCACCCATTTCATTCTTGATTCAATATCTCTCTTTCTTGTTTCATTGCCGTTTCTAACCTCTTTTAGATCCAGCCGAAAAGCCACATTTCTCGATTCCATCTTCGAAAACGAACTCAGCGAATTCGATTCCATTCACGACTGGATGGATTCCCACTTCCCTGAGCCCGCGTGGAAACGAAAGCGGCAACCCATCAACGTCAATTTAGAACTCAAACTCTTCTGCGCTCTCGTTCATCTCTTCAAATACGACAAACTGCTAATCGAAGCCTACCGATCTCTCAGCGAGGGACACACTCCCAACGTCCCAAAACAGCTCGAATTCCTCTGGAGACCCGTCATTTCCTTCCGAGAACACTGTAGAAGGAAGAAGCAGGAGTTCTGCGCCCACTCCAGTATCAACTATAACTTCGCAGCTTCGCAGACAGTCACTGCGTTTCGACATAACAGCGTTTCCTCGCTCGGTCGATCCGAAAGCGCGCGACTTCGCCTCGATTCGCAGTTCCAAGAAGCCAATCTCAGCTCGCTTCCTTCCGAACGACGCCTTCAATTGCGTCGCATTATGAGTTTCGTAGACGATGAGGAGCCATTGCGACCCGCGAAATCGTCCACTGAATTGAAGTCGAAAGTGCTGCTGCGATCGCCTTTGGTGAAAGACAGTCCGATGGCTGGGAATCTGGATCGAAACGAAGAGCGCGATTTGGTTTATATGATGACGTATGAAGATTATGCCACGCTTTTACTTCAAAAACTGGAATTGCTGATGGAGTTAAATCCGCCTTGGGATCTCAATGAAGAAACCAAACGTGGAAACGGAGAAAACGAAACGCTGGTGAATGGGAGAGAGAAGATTTTGGCGTCGCTGCGAAAGAACAGCTCGTTGATGATCGAAGAGAAGGGAAGCATTCCCGAGACAATCGAAGAACTGCTTCTGAGTTGTGTGTATAAGTATCTGTACATCAATACGACGGTTTCGGTGAAGCATTTGAAAGAGAGTTTGATTCGACGGACGAACAATGCGATGAATAAGCGTCGAATCTTCACCGAGGGCATTCAATTTATGCAACAAATCGCCGAATTCCCGCAAGCCAGTCGTCTGTTTTTGCTCGGCATCTTTCACGAAATGACGGTGTTTTCGAACCGTTTTGTGGGCGGATATCACACAGGACGACGGAGACGCGAAGGAAGCTACGGAATTGATTATTTGGAAAACTGCGAAGGCGCGTCGCATGACGTGATGAGGCAATTAATCGAATCGTTACAGCAATTCTGTGAATATTTGAAAGAAGAATTTGGAAAATGCGTGGATCAATTGCAGTGGCATTTAGGCGGTGCGATTCTCTGGTTCTTGTCCACCATCGCATCGCCAAAACTCCCCTACTTTGCAGTGCAGTTGGATTTGTTGTCCTCTCTCGAATCCAACATGTGGAAGCTCTGCAAATGGTACGAAATGGCCAACGATTATTCGAAAGACCTTCTCATTTCTCCGGGGATTTTCTGGGACGCGTTATCGCAGTCTCCCATCTCGCTTTCGTCCTCTCATTTCCACAAAATGTTCCGCGAAATCCAAGAAAACAGCACCTACGTCAACATCCACGATTCCTTTCCCGGCATTTTCCCCGCGGCTGTCTTGTCATTGGCCAATCAGATCCGTCTCGCCTATACCATTCTGCTGATCCAGCAGTTCTCGGATTCGGTGTCGCGTTCGCGATTGAGTCCAGCCCAAAACAAAGAAACGCTTTACAACTGGACGCTTACCGACGTCTCGAATCTTTTCATTCGGCAAAGCGTGCCGTATCTCTACACCACGCAGCAGATCTTCGATCAGTTCGCTCGGTTCTTCGCGCGAATGCAGCGTGTGATGCGAGAGCGATGCGCAGCGTGGCAGCCGTACGCTCCGATTAGTTATAACGCGAACAATACGATCGGAAACCCTTACACGTGTGTTAAGAAATACGATGAGAAAAACATTATGCGCGGAATGATCGCGACGGACATGCTCATCTCCGCCGCGGAAGGCGTGATCAGTTCCTATCTCGCGTTGATGCTGTTCATCTCGCGGACACGTGCTTCGGCCGTGCTTCCCTGGAAAGAATACGGCAATCGCGTCTGGGAGATGGTTTACTACTCGCCTCGCCATCAGAAGCTCGCAACGATGCTACTGCAATACATTATCCCCACCACGGATTTCATTCCGCCCGTGTTCGAATCGCCACATTGCTCGTTTTCGGAAGTCCCAACCGGCACTCCGGAAACCGAATCGATTCGAAAGAACCCGCTCTTGCAGCCTCCTTATTTCCCTCAATCCGAGCCCATTTCCGAAGCCAAGCGCGAAGCGTTCATTTACTTTTTATTACATCTCGTGTCGCACAGCGATAGCTGTCCCGGCGCGATGGTCGGCGAGCGAACGTCCTGCGCGTTGTGCTGTGCGTTCTTCCCATTCATCTACAACACGCTCTGTCCTTCCTCTCCCGCCTATTCCATCCCCGCCAAAGCGTCCTATCTCGAAGAAGTGCTGATCACGCGGCAGCAAATCTTCGTGGGGCTCTGCGCCATGTACATCCGACCCGACGGGCAGACCGCCTCGTTCTGCTCGCTCGTCTTCGCGGAGGAAGTCGCGTATTTGCTCCGTGTGCTCATGCGCCAATCGGTTTGGCGTGGACTGACCATCCGCGTGTTCCAGAACATTCTCGACTTCGCGGCGTCGCAACTCGAAGAAGAAGAAAGAACAGGACAGACGATGGGGGCTGCGTTGGGTTTCCACGCGATGCTGCGGAGCCGAACGCCCTGGTTCTGCATGGCAACCGCGGTTTTGAAGGTCTTGGGGGCGATTACCCCGCGGTTATACGCGGGATGTCGAATCCGAATCCACGAATTTTTAATGGAGGGAGAGAACGACATCTCGACGCTGATCCACACGGCGTATCAAAGCCAGGGAACCGGCTCGATCATCAAATACCACCGGTCGATGGGCGAGGCGTTGGTGCTGCTGGACAAAATCGAAACGCCTCGGTACATCAACAATTACGTGTTCGATGTGGTGGATCGAATCGAGCCTCCGCACGACGAAGGCGATCAGTTCAAGCAGCTTTTGACCCCGATTCAGCGAATCATCCAGCGCGTCCAGCTGAACGCCGAGCTGTTTTCGCTTCCATCCGCCGAAATGCACTTCTTCAACACGTCCGATCTTCAGCTTTCGCCCTCCGAGCTGCAGAACGTCATTCTCTTCCTCTACTGCGTGCGTTGCACCAACCATCTCGTCATTTCCAACAACTCGTTGGTTCGCTGTCTTCGCACGGAAACCATCTCGCGCCTCATCCAAATCGCCGTTCAGCCGCTTCCCTGCAACGTTTCCTTCAACACGCTGATCGTTCGTCAATACTTCAACTGGTTCATCGAGTATCTCATCGATACGTACGTCGGCTCGGCTCGCTTGTTGCCGATGGAGCTGCAGAATGAAGAGGACGGCGAAGTGCTGCGAGGCCGCGAACGCGTCGATCCGCAGTTTGGATTCAACAAAGAATACGACGAGGAAGTTTTAATGATGGAAGAACCCGAAGGACCGAAGGTGGTTCGCAACGAAAAACGAATGAAGGCCGCGGAAGAACTCGCAGCGTTGTGTCGCGTCGATGTGAATGTCGCGTATGCCGTGCTATTGGTACGTTCCAGTAAAAACGAATCTCTCATCTGTAGCACATGAACGACGAAGAAACCGGCGCGTTTAATTATCTAACCGAGAATCCTCCGTCCGTTCTGCAGGATCTTGCCAGTCCGTTGCAGATCCCAGAAGACGAACTGACCAATCAGGACGATGCGATTCTCGCGGATATGGAGCTCGGAATCCGCGAGCAGCTGATCAGCAATGAAACTCCCGAAACGGCCATTACGGAAGAAACGCTTCGCTCGGTGATTCCTTCCTTCACGCGATTGCAGCGATTCAATCCGTCGCAACTGCAGAACATGAACAGTGTCATCGGCGTTGTGGCGTCGGTAACTCCGAAAAGCGTTCTGTATTCCCCCATCCCCGAAACCGGCGTGATAACCGCGATTACGCCGAGAAAAGTAACGCTGAGTCAGTTAAATTCGGACAGTGGGATTCTGCAGGAGAAGATCTTTCCGATGGAGAGCGTGGCGCTTCACAAAGATCGTCTTTTGTATTATATTGGGAACGTGAAATTGCTTCGCGGCACGACGGGTCGAATCTGCACGGTGTTGGCGATGAAGTACATCCGCGAATTGTTCATTTGCTTGCTGTACTACGCGCAGTGCAACGAGCTGGACGTGCTGGAGGCCTGGCCGCTGTCGTGCGACGATTTGGTTCGACTGACGAAGTACACGTTCGTCTCCAACGCGAACAATCGAATCCTGAATCCGTCCAAGCAAAATCAAGTCACGCTCGTGAGCTGCCTGTTCCGAATTCTCAAACTCTCGCTCAAGAAACTCTCCCAGTCGTCCTCGAAAGCCCCGCAGTTGATGAAATCGCTCACAGTGGGCGTCTGGACCGATTCTGCGTCGCTCCTCTCCCCCATCACGCCCTTCTCGCCATCCACCTCGTCGAGCAGCAATCTTCTTCTCCCCAAAAAACACTCCCAGCGCACCTCTTCGATCCAATTCATGGACGACGAGATGAAAATGCTCTCCGTGTCGTCGCTCCACCCGCTCTTCGACCGCAACAAATACGAAGATCAAGTCATTCTGCCCGGTGTCGAAGGGCTCCGCGTTGTCTTCGATCGGCGATGCAAGCTCGACGCCTCCAACGCCGTTCTGACGTTCTTCCGCGACGAAAACCACGCGGAGGTCATCGCGAAATTTACGGGCGATTCGACGACGTTCTGCCCCTTCACGATCCGCGGGAATGAGCTTCGCTATCAGTTCGAATCGACCGCGAAAGCGGTTCCCACCTGGGGCTACGCGTTTATGATCCAGCCGTTCGAGCACGTGCGTTGGATTGGAGACAGCGACGTGCTTCAGAGCTCCTGCTTCGACTGGAACTGCTTCGCGTTGGAGCTGGCGATGGAGATCTGCAAGGCCAAAATCGTGTCCAACACGCAGTTCTTCAAGACCGTAATGCGAAATCTGATTGGCTATCTGCGGAGCATCGGCATGCCCTTCAAATCGCGCGTGATCGAGCTGCTCATCCGCCTCCTCTATTCCTCCCACATCGCCATGAGCGATCTGCCCAACGTCGAGGGAATGTACTCCATCGTCCTTCGCTACTGCGAGGAAATCAACGCCGAGACCGTCGTTCCCGTCCAGCTCCCGCTTCTCATCGAGTTCTTGGCGTCCTACGCGAACGCTCGGCAGCTCAAAACGCTCTCCATCCCCGACGACCCCGCCGTTCTGCCTCCCTTCTGCGAGTCCGTTCCGCCCTTGGAAGACTCGCTCCGCACCGCCATCGATTCGGTTTATCTCTTAACGCGCTGCCTCTACTGCCAAACCATTCCGCCCGCGCCGTTTCTCCAGCAGTTTCTCCAGCTATCGGGGAAACCGTGGAACCAGCCGAACTTCGAGCAGATCGTGCAGTGTTTCCGCAGGTTCACGCGACGTTTGGACTTGTCGTTGATCAGCGCGTTGGAGCAGCGCTGCGCGAAGGACCACGCGACGATGCTGACGTTTCCGCTCACCGATTTCGCGCTCACCGACGACGATAAAGCGCGCTATTACGGACTGAATTCGTTCTCTCCGCAGGAAATCCGCATGCGATTAGCGTTCATTCAGTTCTTCAACGCGCAGCTGCAGCGCGTCGTGCATTTAATCGAGCTCGGCTCGCCCTGGGAGGACGGAATCAACACGTTAGGAAAGCTCCTCGGAGGGTTGACCGGGTATATTTTCCCCGCGGTGAAGGAAAACGCGCTGGAAGTGTCGATTCTGCAGACGACCTACCACGGAAAAGACTGCTATCCGGTGGTGGAGCTGGACAATCGCCGCGCGTTTACCGAGTTGGAGCGAAGCGAAATGGCGGGCGACGCCGAATTCGACGAAGAAGCGCGGAACGCGATCACGTCGCAGTGCACGTTCGCTCAGTTATTCAGACAGACACGCAAGTTTAAAGTGGATGTTTTGCGCGCGAAACTGGATTCCCGCGAACGGTTGTTGGCGGTGAAGTACAAGGGGGAGCAGGGCTTGGACTGGGGCGGGATTTACCGCGACATGATGGAGCGATGCATCGAAGATTTGTTTTCGGATCGGATCGATTTGTTCATTCCGAGTCCCAACGCGCAGAACGAAGAGAAAAACGAGGACGTGACGTTCGTGCCGAACCCCAAATACCGCGAGAGCAGCGACGCGTTAGCGATGTACAGCTTCGTGGGGAATCTGATCGGGATCTCCATCCGAACGAAGCAGTTGATGTCCTTCGAGCTCTGCAGCGCGATCTGGAAAACGATCGTCGGCGACGCGGTGACCAGCGAAGACGTCGAGAGCGTCGATCGCACTTTTATCAACACGCTGAACCAGGTGCGCGACTTCGAAGAGAGCGGAGACCCCGAAGACTTCCAGTATCTCTTCGGATTGACCTTTTCCGTGCTCGATTCCGCGGGGAACGAGGTGGAATTGATCCCCAGCGGCACGCAGGTGAGCGTTTCCTTCGAGAACCGCGAGAAATACGTGCAGTTGGCGCTGGATTATCGGCTGAATGAGTGGAAGCAGGCCGCGGAGGCGATCGCGTCGGGGGTCTACGCGCTGGTTCCGCAGCGCGCCTTGTCGCTTTTCACGTGGGAGCAATTGGAACGGACCGTGCAGGGCGTTCCGGAAGTAGAAACGTGGAAACGGAGTAACGTGTAGGTTTCGGTGGAAGTGTTGAAGCAGCACACGGTGTATATTGGATGGACGGAGGAGCACGAAGTGGTGCAGCGATTCTGGCGCGTGATGAAAGAGCTGGGGAACAAGGATCGAAGCTCCTTCTTGCGGTTTGTGTGGGGCCGATCGCGCCTGCCCAAGGTGGTGTGGCCGCGGCCGTTCAAGCTGAATCACAGCGAGGCGGGGAACGATCGATTGCCTATCGCGCATACGTGCTTCTTCCAGCTGGATTTGCCGCAGTACTCGACGGATGCGATCATGCGGGAGCGATTGCTGGTGGCGATTCATTTCGGAGCGGGAGAGTTTTTATTGCGATAACGAAATCAATAGGATGTGTGATGGATTGTTTGTTTGAGAAACAAGGAATCAATGGGTGGGTGTTGGATATTTTGAGGGTTGAGTAATTAAAGGGATTCAATAGGTGGGTATTAGAGATATTCAATGCATTGAGGAACAAGAAAACAGTGGATCTATTTTACCTGTTTGTTTGTTTGTTTGTTTGTTTGTTTGTTTGTTTGTTTGTTTGTTTGTTTTAGAAACAAAGAAAGCACAAGATATATGATTCACACCGTTAATAAATTCGTTCAAAAAACAACGAAATCACTGGAAGAGAGAACTGAAATATTGTACATATTGCTTGCTTACATTCTTCGCCAATGAAACGATCCTCACCAAATGGAATCGCCGATCCAATTCAGCGCGTCGCGTGCTCGCCTTGCATCTTCGCTTCACGCGCCTCCCCTCATTCCTACATCGCATAGAGCAGCTTCACACTGGCTTCTTGAGACACATGCTTCCCATTCGAAATGTTCTGCGCCACTTTCGCGACAAATGCGTCGTTCGTCGAGAGCGTCTACCCCTCATCCGCTTTCAAATCGCCCACCGCATGAATTCCAGGAAGCGAATGAATGAATTTCATGATCGCGTAAAGGTTGTTGTCGTTGTTGCTATCCGAATTTGCGATGTAGCAGTTGCTCAGCGTCGTGAGATAATTCGATTTCAGCAGCAAATGCTCGAGATACTCGTTCTCCACAGCCGCAAATCGCGTTAAAAGCAGCAAAATATCCGACTATTCGATGAGTCAAAGCCAGAAAACCAACGCAAAACGCAGGATTCGAAATGTTTTGAAGCAGAGTGCTGAAGCAATTTTGGTTCTTGTAGAATTGGAGAAGCTCTTGACGATACTGCGATTTCTGAAGACTGGTTTCGCCGATAAATAAAAGGAGTTTCAACGCTTTCTAGTGATGAAATGCTTCCAAACGTGGAAACCGTGGAAATGGCGGCGTTTTTGTGCTTCAATAAAGGAAAAAGAATGGAAACGAGATCGGTGTGAATGGCTTTCACCACGATTTTTAACGATGCGTCATACTCCACCAGCTCCAATCTACCAATCATCTGCGTCGTTTCATGCCAACAAAAGATCGAAATCGAATTCGACGAGATTGGAATTGGGGGAATTGAGGAGAGGAAGAAGATAATCGAGAACGTTCTGATCGTACATGTTGTGATTCAGCGTGTGCAGATTCTTCATCAATCGAAGCACGCGCAGTTTGTATTCATCTAAGTAGCTCACCGGGCGAGTTCCGGGGCGGATCGTCGAGCTGACGGTCGTTAGAGAGCAAATAATCGTGTTTAAAGCGCTGTGGCGGATGATCGTGTTGCTGTATTCCGGCGTCGTCGGCTTTGTGTACAAAAGAAGAAGCTCTAAAAGCTGCGACGCGACTTGGAAAGCCTTCGTTTTAAACCGTGGAAAAGTGGAAACCTCGTTGGACTTGTCGTAAAGACAATAACTGATCCCGTTGAATAAATACAAAACGATGCGGAGAGAGAAGAGAATGTCGATCACCACGTTCTGCGGAACCGACGAAATATTATTATACACGTTGATTAAACACCCGATCCCCGCTTTCACGTACTGCCTACCCCTCACTCCGTTTCCACGTTTCCACAGATTGTTCAGGCTGAGAAGCATCGCTGCGGAGTTGATCAATCCGCTGGTGAAGAAGATGTCCAGCACTTCGCCCTGTCCGCTGCTGAACAGCTGCAGCAATTCCACCGCGATATCCACGATTTGCTTCCGCTCCGCGCTCTTGATCGCCGTCTTCTGCGCGCTGGCGACGACCGTTTGAGTTTGGGTTTGGGTTTTGGCGGCAGACTGGCTGAGCGAAGAAGCGGCCTGCGCGGTAGAGGCGTTGATTTCGTCGGTGATGACGTGGGTAATGATGGTCAGAACGCCCATCATCATGAGAGAAATGCAGGTTTCGGGGTCGGACGTGGCGACGGACAGAATAATCTTCGCGTTACAACGCCTCCATTTCTCAATAAAAAGCTACCTTCATTCCAAGCAGACACACCTTCTCGTTCTGCAGATTCTGCCGAATCAACGTCAGCAAAGGGTACAATCCGTTCTCCTTCACGATCACCTTCGCGTTCTCCGGCTTCGTGCAGCAATCCAGCAATTCCTCCAGCACCCCTACCGCGGTTTCCGCGTTTCTCTCTTTCTCTCGCTTCGTCAACTCCTCCACGATCGCCAGACTCATCACGATCCTCGATTCGCTCACGTTCTCCATCGTATCCGCGCCTTCTCGCCTCCACGACGTCCTCGACGCCGTCCTCGACGCCGATTTCACCTTCGACCCGCGCAGCTGCAGCGTCATCGAGGGCGGCGACAGCCCCATCGCCTTCATCGTCGCCGTCGCCGAGAAGTCCTCCTCCATGTCTCCGAAGTCCAATCCGTCCAGAATTCCCTCGCTTTCCTTCGACAGACTCGACGATCGCGGGATTCCGCGCCCACTAATCTCGATCATCCCCGCGGTTCCGCTCGACGCCGCGCTGGATCGCGAGTCGGCGCGGCTGCGCGCAGGGCTGGCGGTGAAGTCGACGAAGATTCTGTTCTTTCGCTGGCTCTGCTGAGCGGCAAACCAAGGCAAGGCGAGGAGCTGGGCGCCGGATTTGCGTCGGTTCGGGTTTTTCTGGAAGCATTCGCGGATAAAGTGGAGACAATCGGGAGTGAGGACGTGCTGCGGATCGTCGATGGGGATCTCGGGGTCCTCGCAGATGTGGTAGAGCGCGGACATGCCGGTGAGGTTGAAATAGGGAGGCTTGCCGGTGAGGAGCTCGAGCGTGAGGCAGCCGACGCTCCAAATGTCCGATTTGGTGGTGGGCGCCTGCATCTGGATGACTTCGGGAGCCATCCAGTAGGGGGAGCCTGGAGTGGAGAGGAGGCGAGGAAGGTACCGAATTCGCCTTGGAGAAGGTCGGGGGATTGGGAGGTGGAGAGAACGGAGATGCCGAAGTCGGCGATTTTGATGTTGTTGTTTTTGTCGATTAGGATGTTGTCTGCTTTGATGTCGCTGTGGATAAGAAGAATTGACTATTGGAGTACCGATGAATGATGCCATGTCGATGAAGGAAGTCCAGACCTAGAAGAACTTCGCGGATAATCCGGCGAGCCGTTTCTATGTCAAACAACCCAGATTTCAGGACCTTGTAGAGGGAACCTCGATCCATATATCTGTAAAGTTAGAAATAAACTTGCGTGATGTACTCGTATATAATATAGTACTCTTTTTCAAACAAAAAGTGATCCCAGAGTTTAATCACAAAAGGGTGAGAAATTGATTTAATCAAATCAACCTCTGTCTACAAGTGATGAAATCAGTCAAACTGAAAATACTCGAACCGTAGACAAAACGGCTTGATCAACTTGATCAAGACAGATTTCTTTTATCGCTGCAATTTTGTTTGCACTCTTATTTCTTCCTCTGTAGACAGTCGCCTGAGCGCCTTTTCCGATAATCTCCTCAAATACCTATACAACAAAGCAGAAAGTGTACAACTACCCATTCTCCCACAGTTTTTATTGGTTTAGCTACTTTACTGTTGTTCATTTTATAATGGTGTAAATACTTTAGGTTGAGATATAACCGCGGTTTAATACAATCATGTTTCGTTTTATTAGTTTTGCTCAAATCACGATATAGAGTCGTAAAGAGACGTAATTCGAGCAATGATGACTGATGAAATCAAAACGCTCGTAAGGGTCCATTTGTATGATTACCTAAAGAAGGAGTGCGAAAACGTCATTGGAATTGCACTGCTCCTCAAAGACAAGTCAGTCTTCTATTCTTGTGGAACTTTTGAAAACGAACAATCATTATGTATTATTTTTAGTGATTGCTAATGCACAGTACAGTATTTGTATTTGACAATAGAAAATGAAACAATCACGGTACTCTCAGGCATTGGCTGTTAATTAGTCGTTCAAGCATAAGGATAGTGTGTTTAGAATCATTTCAAGAGATCCCAGCTCCGTGTATCCGGGAAGATTAATAATAATTACTATATAGATTGGCACTTACATCACCTATCAACAGGCAGAGATGTATTTCGATTCAATTAGTAACCTCTGGAAGATTGTTTGTGGAGTTTTATTGGAATCCTCCTCAAGAAGCCAGTACTGTACTAAAGCATATTTCACAGTTTCCATATTGTATTTTTATAGAAACACAAGAAGGTTAGGCTCGAGATAATGGCGTAGCTTAATGGGATAGTATATCCACTTTATGGTCCACAAACGGTGGGACCCACAGGATTTCTGCTTACCAGCTGACATTTGCTGTTTATGAGAACGAGAAATAATCGGAGAGTGAGTAGAGTCACGTTAGAGAATCGAGACAGGAAAACCTAAAACGATTGGAAGTGAATCACAGCAGCTGATGATTGTTATTTCAATATTATTGAGGAAAGAATGTGTTATCAGAGATAGTAGATACATACAATTTAAGAGAATAGTTTGAGGTGAATGCTTCGTTTCTCATCAACTTTAACACACTCGGTTGGATAATAATGATTTTCATATGATGCTGATGTAGGTTGTGAAGCTTAAGACTCTTGCTAGCATTTGGAAGGAAAGAATGTCTTTATAGCTGTATAGTATTCGCACGATTCTTTAACAGATGGATGAATATAAGTCTATCGAATGGAAACATGATAACTGGATAGACAAATGACGAACTACGTATAGGGGGTCAAATTTATCAACAATACCATCTGCGTATTGTGTTTTCAAACAAACAAAAATGCTATCATATTACACATTTAGTATTTACTTTTTCAAATTCACCAAGAACTTCGAGATTCCTGCATTGTTAGGAACGAAAGTTTTATCACCTTCGTGCCAATTCGCAGGACAGACTTCTCCGTGTTCATCACTGAACTGAAGTCCCTTGATCACACGGATCGTTTCATCCACACTACGACCAACTCCATTATCATTTATATAAATATGACGGATTTTCTGATTCGGATCGATCAAGAACAATCCTCGGAAAGCTTGAGCATAATCCAAACCCGATTTATCTTCATTGTATACTCCATAGTTCTTCATAGTCTCACGAGTCACATCCGAAAGCAACGGAATATTGATAAGACCACCCAGTCCACCCTCAGAACGGGATGCCTTCAACCAACTCAAATGGGTATAAGGAGAATCTCCAGAAATTCCAAGCACCACAGTGTTCACTGCAGCCAACTTATCCGCAGCATCATTATAAGCGAATATTTCGGTGGGACAAACGAAAGTCCAATCCATGGGGTAGAACAACAGAATTACCCACTTTCCCTTGTAGTTATCAAGCGAAATATTGGAAATTGTTTCAGTTCCTTGAGCTCCATTCAAACAAAAGTTGGGAGCAGTTTGACGAATCGTGACGGGCATTTCTTAACTTGAGTAAATATAGATAAATAATTAATGAATATTAATGTAGAAAGATAGCTCATTTTTGTACAAAGAAAAGGTTGGGAACAAATGAATGAAACTCCCTTCTTTTTTCAAGGATTGTGAATATACAACAATCGAGCAGTTTTTGAGTCACCATGTTGAACATTGCACATGATGTGTTAAATAGGAAGCTGTATTGTTGTAAAAATAAAGAATCGGCTGTTTTTAGAGAAAGAAAGGTGAGTTACTATTCTTATAGTCTGTAGTTATACTGTTGGCAACTATATAGTAAGAATGTTAAGAAATAATGTGATACTCTCCAGTATGGTCTGATGTGTAATGTTTATCTCCTTCATGGATCCGTTTATACTAAATAATAGGAAGTAGCATCAAAAACGAATTCTGGTAAATAGCAATATGATTCTAATACGTTATACTGATGATATGTGTTTTCACTGATAACACGTATTCATTATCAAATACTGTAAAAGTGATGTGATTTCAAACATAGATTTTAGGTACACATTGAGTTAGTTAGAATCAGCAATCAGTATTGACAATAATAGTATTAGGTTTTATATTTAAACTAATAATGGATTATTAGATATTGTAAAAATAAGTATGCTCTACCATTTGTTAAACATTTGTTTAGGTACAATATTAGCACTCTATATCATACATTATTGTCAACTATTTTTGCTCCCCATTCCTACCATTATTACGAAAGATATTACTTTTCTGAAAGATTAAGATTACATTATTTCACAAAATGCTGATAGGTGTTGTGGCAATTAGAATTACACTAAATCATTGTTTTTTGTATTTGTGATGTATCTCAAAGATATTGGTATGAGATACATTATTGTACGACTATGATGAAATAATGGCAATGTCATGTATATCAAGAAATAAACAATCACTATCTTGGTGATTAGATACTGCAAATGTAAATGATTGATTGATTGATTTTGTTCTGTTTCAATGATCGAACTACTAATAAGTCCAGAAGGCCATCCAAAACAATTTAACATAATACAATTACCAAAATGATACACTATTTCCATCAAATGGGCAGTGTTTAAATGGAATTATATTCCAATGTATTTAACAAAAAAGAGCATTCAGGAATCAATTTAGGAACGAATATTTATTTAGGGGAATGCTGGCTCTATAGTAGCAGGAGTTTCATATCCAGGACAATCCGGAGTACTGGGCAAAGGATATGGTCCAATTATTTCATTGTTAAACATGCCAATCATTTCCCAATTCCAATTGAAACGACATTGAGCAGCATCTTTCTCATCATTCATATCATAATAGTAAGTTCGAGTCATTGTTTGAGACTGGAAAGCATTGTCGTCCAGACAGAACACAGGACACTTGACAATATTATCATAAGCTTCAATGGTCACACTAGTTTCAGGAGGACAAGCATTGATCAACTCCTCTGCGAAACCAGCAGCTCCCACCAAGCTGTATCCGTTCATTCTGAAATCCATGTATCTCAGTTTTGGGAAATTGACTTTATCTGTACACATGTTATACAGCAAATCAACAATATCTCTAGTAAGATTAGCAGCATAACCAGGATGTTCGACTTCAAAACTGAAATCATATGTAGCAATGTAGTTTTTCACAACATAAATCTCCTCCAAATTATGGAACCAGCCATTGCTGTTATTTGCATGCATATATTGCAACACTTCCAAAAATCCTTCACGATACAGAGTTCCATCACCAATATACAGAATACGAGGACGTGTGAATTGAGCCAAATTCAAATGAAGTAAAGCATGTTCAGTACTGATAGTACGACCTTTAATAGGATCATGCATAATGTATAAATCGATAGGAGCAGGATTCTTTACTTGTTTACTCAGAGAATCAAACCATAATTGAATAGTGATTTTATCAACTCCGGCAAGAGTAATTACACGAGTATGAGCTAAAGCTTTCGTAGGATAAGCATCACGAATTGCCAAATACAATCTAGTAACATTGATTTCAGAAATAATCTCCTGTTTACAAACATCAGGAGTTACATAATTGCAGTTATCTCCGAGAATGAAAGGATCATAGATGGGGAACCAAGGTTCAGGAGTAGGAGTAGGAGTAGGAGTAGGAGTTAGGGTAGGTGTTGGAGTAGGTGTTGGAGTAGGAGTAGGTGCTTGAGTGGTAGGATGCTGAGTAGTAGGTTCATATCCAGGACAATCCGGAGTACTGGGCAAAGGATATGGTCCAGTTATATCATTGTTGAAACTGCCAGTCACTTCCCAATTCCAATTGAAACGACATTGAACAACATCCTTCTCATCATTCATATCATAATAGTAAGTTCGAGTCATTGTTTGAGACTGGAAAGCATTGTCGTCCAGACAGAACACAGGACACTTGACCACTCTTTCTTGAGCTTCAATGGTCACACTAGTTTCAAGAGGACAAGCATTGATCAACTCCTCTGCGAAACCAGCAGCTCCCACCAAGTTGTATCCGTTCATATTCAGATTAATGGATCTCAGTTTTGGGAAATTGACTTTATCTGTACACATGTCATACAGCAAATCAACAATATCTCTAGTAAGATTAGCAGCATAACCAGGATTCTGACCCTCAATAGCATAATTATATGTAGCAATGTAGTTTTTCACAACATAAATCTCCTCCAAATTTACAAAATAACCATTGCTGTTATTTGCATGCATATATTGCAACACTTCCAAAAATCCTTCACGATATAATGTTCCATCACCAATATATATGATGCGAGGATATGTAAACTGCAAAAGATCCAAGTGAAGTAAAGCATGTTCAGTACTGATAGTACGACCTTTAATAGGATCATGCATAATGTATAAATCGATAGGAGCAGGATTCTTTACTTGTTTACTCAGAGAATCAAACCATAATTGAATAGTGATTTTATCAACTCCGGCAAGAGTAATTACACGAGTATGAGCTAAAGCTTTCGTAGGATAAGCATCACGAATTGCCAAATACAATCTAGTAACGTTGGTTTCAGAAATAATCTCCTGTTTACAAACATCAGGAGTTACATAATTGCAGTTATCTCCGAGAATGAAAGGATCATAGATGGGGAACCAAGGTTCAGGAGTAGGAGTAGGTGTGGGCGTAGGAGTCACAACAGGATTGATAGGTACAATTACCACAGATCCAGAATGTCCCTCGTTCTTTTCAATCGTTGTCTGGATATGGGTCACAATGTCCATCGGAATTTCAACCATATACTCAACTCTTGTAATATTGCTCATGGAATAAGCTCCCAATTCTAACATGAAACTCGAACTGATCTGAGTCACAGACATCGCCAAGAAGTTCCACAGAGATTGTATTCCGACAGTCATAAGCATCAGATTCGGAGTGTTCAGTCTGAAGTATCCATTCAATTCCATCAATCGACGTGAGGATGCTAGGCTGGACATACTGTTATCAGCGATAGTGAAATTTCGCAAAAGAGGGCACACTACACTAAAGCTAGAGAGATAAGGGAATGCATTGTCTTCAATGACTAATTCTTTAAGATAACGATAAGAGAGTGTCAGGTCTGTAACATCACTTGGATCAAAATGCTTGAATCTCAGTTCTGATACTTCTAAAGGAATTTCTTCGATTTCCTTCAACACATCGTAGGAAGAATATTCTTCAGGACTAGATTTGAGTTTCATCGACATCGCATATCCAGCAATTCCAGCATAGTTTGCATTCGTGTCATTATCCACAACAGGGAGATTCATCTCGATATTCTCGCAAGGGACCACGTTGAAAGTCACGGTCCATTTCTTTTCATCGAATCCCTTCATCACACCGTACAGAGAAGGCTGGTCAGTAGCTCCGGTGTAAATGTCATCGCCTGTCACATCGTTCACAGTCTTCATTCGAACCAAGTCGAGAGCCATCAGCACAATCACAGGATTGCCCTCAGCAATAAAGTTCATCAATCCGCTCTTGTTCGGAATATCGTTATTCACCACATCAAAATAGAATTTTGGAGTGTTTGCTGAGCAAAGCTCTTCTTCTGAAAGTTGAGATGCTACTTCCACATCCATTAATCCCTTCTCTGTCACAAATGCTATGATATCCGAAGGAGTAACATCATTCGATTGGACTTCTTGACTTTCAAGGAGGCACTTCATGATATAATTTAAGGATAACTGCTCATTAATTCCTTCTTTTCGTAAAGCAGTTTCGGCAGCAAAAATCAAAGCACTTGCCCAAGACGTCGAGATGGGATGAGAGATGGAATACTTCTCAGCTCCAGTACACAAGTCACGACCAACAATATTTCCAGACCACGACGTAGGAACTTCCTCTTCAGGATCCGCATAAGAACCTTCACCAGAGTAGGTCACTCCGAGATTCATCTGCTTATCCAAATCCTCGTCACTAAAATCAGACAGAATAGAGAAATTCATAGGGTAGTTTCGGTACTCAGACTTTTTCTCGATGTCCAGACATGCCTGTTTCCAGTCGCTGAAATGATCCCTACAAGTTATTATTCTGCACTAATTATACAATTTACAGTTATTAATATCATATCCACACTTTGAGGGATAGTCAGCCAAATACTTTTTATAGCCATCCTCATTGCAAGTATAGGAAGGTAGAGCGAAGACCACTTGGGACAAAACAACAATCCATAGAAATGCTCTCATTGTTATAAATAATTAAGAAAAAAACGAGTGTTAATTTTTGGTTATTTGTAACATTTATTACATAATGTGTAAGGCAATACAAAAGTGGTGTTTGTTACTATAAATATCGAAAACAATAATATACACGCTGTTAGACCTTCATCTGAATGTTTTAACCATTCATTCAATAAGAGTTGGTTTGTGTAATACTCTTAGCGTGCTCTATACAAAATAGGCAAAAGAAGGCCTGACGACTTAAACTGAATTGTCTAAAATCCATGTTGACATGTCCGTAATGTGCAGGAATATTTATCTATTTTCCACAATATTCAAAATATAGTCAAGATTACAGCCATCTTCAATTTTAACACACCATCTGTAGAGGCTACAAAGAATTGTTTTTTGGTGTTTAATGACACATAAAGCATGGCTTTATGACTTGCAATTGAAAAATGGGAATGTGCTAGTTCTCACAAGAAAATACCTTTACATTATAAAATCATGGACTAGCTCTTGTTGTATTTTGTGTAGTGAGTTAGGTTTTGAGAATTAACGTTGGTAATTAGAATTCGTCTTTTGGTTCCCTTTGGTATTAGGATACAAGCTATCCTTAAACACTAGCATATTGCAAAGGAACTATATGCTGTTTCTAGTCGTACATTCTTATTCCTCCTATTTGGAAGAAAGTTCCCACAATCTATTAATTTAGATTGTATTGTATTGCATTAAAAGATATTTTACGCATTCTTCGATGCAAATTACCTTTAGCCAAAGTCGTGTTTTCGAAGTATGTACTATTGAAAACACTCAGGATGCGGAATTATCGGTAAAACAATGAACAACAACTATTTCGTTTTAGAAAACCGTTGTAACGGTTTGTGGCCTGATTCCAACGGGGCTTGATATCATGATACTTGAAAAAGGCTGTTGTTGGTGAAAACAGAAAAGTCGCTTGCAACTCACTTGTGTCTGATATAACTATCCATAGTGAGCACATACCCACATGCACTATCAGAATAAAGCAAATTTGAACATAGTTTAGGCAAGTAAATAGTCTTGGTATATTTCGTCATAAACATTTAGAGATGACTGTTTGATCCTATAGAAATGAAAAATGCCAGTGAATAAGATTTCTTCAAGGCTTAAGACACTTTACTTATTTTGAACAAGAGAATACGGTTTGAAACTGTATATTTACTAAAGATCATTATTGAAAGGTATTCAGAATGTGCAACATAAATATATGTACCTCCGAATTGAATGGAATGGATTTATATGGAATGTAAAAAAAGCAAATAGTTACATGTAAAAGTGTTGTTAGCAATAGAGGGTACAGGATTAGAATACCAGCTTGTTCAGAAATAACCAAGTGAAAGAGGGAACGAAAAATGAAAATCAGTCATAGCATTGGTGACCAGTCAGTGGTGGAATTGTGAAGTAATAGAAGCAAATCCCTTATATTATGATCATATATATATATATAGTTTTGATGGTGAAGATTGAAGACTACTTGCACACTCAATAAGAAATCACCGCAATTGATCGGAATCGGTCATTATTTTTACACAAAAACATCCAAAACTCACTATATTGAATTCTTGTTGTATGATGGGAGGTATTAAAATGATATTGAATAAGTTATGTGAGATCTTTTTCTATTACCATTTATCCATTCTGAGAGATAAAGGCACAATCATGCTTGATACGTACATATTATGTCACTAGAAAAACTCAAATTGTATCGATACTCCAAATCTTCCCACTGTTTAATCCAGAAATCCTTCATGTTCAAAGCATGTTAGACATAATAAACACTGCACGGGAACATTACCGTTATTCCACAGTTTCTAGTTTATAACAAACAAAAAAGTGAAAGTGAATGCGATCCAAGAAATCGCCACACAAATAAAGAGACCCCGTAACGCAAACATTTTCAGGAAGAGAATCACTCCATCCCTCATCCACATTCCTTGCAATCCGTACTTCACAAGGATTCTTCTTCGCCGCCCATTCCTCAATTCGCCACACTTTCGCCACATATCGCAGCCATTCCTCTCCTTCCATCCCATCCATTTTCTTTTCCATCCTCGCCAACTCCTCCTCTTCCATTCCTTTTCTCTTCGCTATTGACTCTACAGTTTCGATTTCCACACGTCTATAAATCATTCTTTCAGTTCATTTCAGCGCCTACGTATATTCAGGTTTCGGGTTTTTCACTCCACAAATCACAACCTTTTCGACATTCAGCTGCACTAAAGCGCTCAACAAGTCGTCGATGTGTTTATCTCGACCACAGTAAAATAACAATCCGCACTTCGAAGCACCCAACTGATCATTAAACCAGCTGCAAGCTTCCTTCATGCTAAGGGGTGTATGCGCCCCATCGAGCAAAACCCGATGATTTCCCACGGTGATTGATTGCGCTCTCGCAGGAAGTCGAGTTTCACAGAGAATTTCGTGCATAATGGAATCGTCCCATTTTTTGGAATTCCCAAAATAGGCCAAAACGTTCGCGACCAACTGCGAAGCAACGGCAAAGTTTTGCAGCAGGTAGTGTGGGACGGGAGCAGAACTATCGGACGGAGAAACGACTTGTAACGCGCAGCCTGCGATTGAATGCAAAAATGGCAGAAATACCCTCGATTTCGGCACATTGGCGAAAGACCTGCATCACCTCGGGGCGCTGCTGGAGCACAACAGCAGGAGAATTGCGTTTAAAGATTCCTGCCTTCTCGAATGCAATCTGCTCGAGCGTGTTTCCTAAAACTTGGGTGTGCTCCAGGTCGATCAACGTAATGCCGGTGGTTATGGGGTGCTGGACGACGTTTGTAGCATCCAGACGGCCTCCCATTCCCACTTCCAGAACCACCACATCCACATTCGCCTCAATGAACACTCGGAAAGCGATAAGAGTCAAGAATCGGAAGAATCCTGGCCATCGAGTGATATATGGAGGGAGCTCCGATGAAGGACGCTGCTTAATCTCCTGCAATTTGGACCAAACAACGGAGAAGTGCCGAAGATATGTTTCTTTGGAAATCTGCTTCCCGTTAATGCAGAACCGTTCACATAAAGACTGAATATGAGGAGATGTGTACAAACCTGTCCTTAACAATAAAAAGAACGGAAACTACCTGTTTTGTATCCATATCTCCTCAACGCAGACTCAACAAAGGCGCACGTTGATCCTTTCCCTTTCGAACCTGCAACATGAACAATGTTGAGCTTGCTAATGTCAATCTCCAGCTCTTGCATATAATATTCCATCATCTTGCAAGCTGTAGAACGATCCTGCAAATTCGTCACATCACAATACTCGTTGAAAAGAAGCTTTTCACTCTCCTTGTACTGCCTACAAAGTACTTTGCAAAGTAAAAGCAAACTCCTCTATACTCTTCATTGGAGAAATATGAAAAATCGTTTATTCTTTGGTTTTTCCTATTCTCATGTCGAATGATGATTTTGCCATGAGAGTCTCGGAGAAAATCCGAGATAATTCCATGCTCAGGGAGCTTCGTCAGGATGTGAGCAAAATGTGCCGTCAAGACCAGTTTTCTTCCTTTCCAGGTATTCTTATACCAAGAATCATAACTACTTTAGGATCTCAACCCGTTTCGATGAATCGTGAAAATATGAACTATTTATCGTATATCGATTATTGTGTGTGCGAGAAAACTGATGGAGTGCGATACCTTCTGCTAATTTGGGATGTAGGAAGAAGAGAGATGTGTGGAGTAGAACAAAATGTACTTTATCGATCGGCGATACGATTTTTATTTGGTAAACGAGGTAAAGCTTGCCGCATATCCTCAGCCACAATCAAACCACAGTGTGAACTTCTTAAAAGCTACGCTACTCGACGGCGAGCTCTTACTTGAAACGAAAGCGAAGTCCCCGTACGTTTCAGCACTCTTTCTCACGTAGTTACCTCTGCTTCTGGGTCTTCGATATAATGTGCTACAATGGCAATCGGACCGTCTCCGAACTCTCCCTTTTAAACCGTCTTCACCTCATCCGAACCTCCGTCATCTCGCCCATCCATTCCCTGAACGTGAAACTACCCTTCGAAATCCGCATGAAGCCAATGTACAACATCGAGCAAACGGTGTTTGTCTGGAATGACGTAGTGAAGGACCTCTCTCACGAGAGCGACGGACTCATTTTTACGCCTATTGAGGACCCTTATCAATCGGGATCCTGCTTCCGCCTGCTCAAATGGAAGCCGATCTCGATGAACTCGGTGGATTTTAAAGTCTATGCGGAATATATTCGTTTGTTTTGTTTGTGGACTCAAGCAGAGGATTCGGTTTGCTACCGATTGCAAGCTTTGAGGGACGGAATCGATGTGAACTTCGACTGGATTTCGTTTGAGGGGAAGGAGGAGGAAGCTCTCTACGGACATTCGGGGCTGATCGTGGAGTGCGTTTTCGATGAGGTGGGAGCGAAACGAAGCGAATGACGCGCAGGATCGATGGACTTATGTGCCGTTCTGGAATGGGGAGAAATGGGTCCCTTCGCCCAAGTATGAGCTTTCTGAGAGAGTTGAGATTGTTGAGGGGATCGATTTTAGGGGGCGGGATGGAGAAAGGGAGGATGGAAGCCGCTGCGATTGCGAAATGACAAATCACACGGAAACGCGGTTCGAACGGTGGAGAATGTGGTGAAGAGCATCATGGACAATATTCAGATCGAGGAGTTGGACGCTGTGATTAAGTCGCGAACCAAACATTTTATTGTTTGTTCCATTTACTCGTTGGCTGGTCAGAATCGATGGTAAAGAAAGGAAAAACAAACCGGTTTGAAAAGAAAGTGAAAGTCGAGTCTCAGAAGTCCACTGCGTTTGGAGCAGGTGATTTCTCTTTACTATAGGACAAAAGGCAGTGTTACGACGTCTGCAAAGAAAATTATAAAAAAGCATCGCGATTATCTGCGCGGTTTGGAAAAACGACGGGAAGAGTGGCTTTTCTGGGACCACACTGATGAATAGACTCATCGTCGCCAATCGAGCGACGAACAACAAGCACGAGAAGGAATTAGAAGCCGTTGAAAAGCAGATTTTGGAAATGAAGGCGCGCATCGCATCAGAACAGAATGGCGACATGCCCGTCAAGTCCAGAGCGAAAAAGTAACCGTCTGTTTTCCACAAACACTCCACATAACCAATCTCGCAATCCACAACTTCCAGCTCTTAAAAGGATAATACAGCAGCGGCAAATCGGAAATCAAAGAGATTCCGGGCCACTTTGTCTTGTACACGACAGGTTTCATATGCGAGAAGGTCTCGAAGGAGAACTTCCCGTGATATCCGCCCATTCCGCTCTGTCCCACGCCTCCGAAATATAACTTCGAATGAACGACGTGCAGCACGCAATGGTTCACCGTGACGCCTCCCGAATCCGTAGCGAACACGATATCCTCGACCTCTCTTCGCTTCTCCGAGAACACATACAGCGCCAGCGGCTTTTCGCGCTGGTTCATGAGCTGGATTCCGTCCTGGTAGGAGTCCACAGCGAACACGGGGAGGATCGGAGAGAACAGCTCCTCCGTCATGAGCGGACACTCGGTGTCCTTCATTTTCAGCACGGTGGGCGGGATGAAGCGAGTCTCCGGTTTGAACGACGCGCGTCCGCCGATGATCACGCGGTCGATCGAGCTCGCAGAGTCGTCGTACATCTTGCAGATCGATTCGAAATGGCGCATATCCACGATGTGTCCCACCTCTTCCTCCGCATTCCCGAAACTACTCGTCATTGCCTCGTTCTCTCGCTCACCATTCCTTCTCTACGCGCTTGCACTCTTCGTAGAACGCTTCCTCCACTTCCTTCTCGATGAGAACGAAGTCCGGAGACACGCACTGCTGCCCTCCGTTGAAGCACCGCAGACACAGCACGCGCTTCGCCGCCAGGCGCAGATCGGCGTGCTTCGTAATGAACACTGGGTTCTTTCCGCCCAGTTCCAGCGTCACCGGCGTCAGATACTTCGATGCCTTCTCCATGATCACGCGACCCACCTTGTGGTTCCCCGTGAAGAAGATATAGTCGAACTTCTCAGCGAGGAGAGCGGAGGTCGTGTTGCGGTCTCCCTTCTCTTCGGAGCCGATGACTTGAACGATTCTACAGGTAACGAAAAATGGGGGATCCCACGTTGGATCCATGTATTTGCGAAGCAGGCGCGTGATGAGCTTGGAGCAGGTGGGAGATACATTGGAAGGCTTTACAACCACCACGTTTCCAGCGCACAGGGCGGCGGCAAGCGGCATGAGAGTCAGCATGAACGGATAGTTCCAAGTTCCGATGATAAGAGCGACTCCGTAGGGCTGCGGGACGAAATAACCGCGAGAGAAGAGGGTTACCATGTCACGCGAGTAACAAGAGGGAGTGGACCACTTGGGGAGATTCTTGATCATGTGGCGGATATCGGATTTCACGACAGAAATATCGTACACGACTCCCTCGAAGGTGTTACGGTTCAAGTCTTGCTTCATGGCAGCTAAAATCTCTTCTTCGTTTTCGTCGAAGAGTTTGAGGAGCTGCTTCAGCTGCTCAATTCGCTTCTTAATATCGAATGTTTTGTGAGTGTAAAAGGACTCGCGCATTTCCTTTACAAGAATAGGAACGTCGCTGAGTGGCACAGGCGCCGTTTTACCGACGTACTTCCATGGCTTGTCGGGTGTCACAGGAACCATTTTCAAACTACACTCAATTTGAAACACAAGGGGGATACATGTTCGACCGTCTCCACGAGTCATAGCGTATACAGAAAATGAGAAAAACGAGAGCTAGTACAACTCCGCACGCAATGAGGATAGCAGTCTATCGCACTCAAATCCAACCTATTACGCCGTACTTCCATGGATAACGCAATAGTAGCGACTAAACCAGAGAAAAATATGACGTCATCAAAGGAATGAATGACATACGCCAAAACCCCCTAATCCCCGCTATCTCATTCAAAAGTGTACGAAACAAACACACTCTAAAGAGACATGCTATACTTATGACTCTTCAAGTGGAGCATGGCTGCATCCATCAACACTTCCAGCTTGCGCAGATCGATGAAAATGTCACTTGCGTGTAAACGATCAACGCAGGCCCTGATCACCGATTCTCCGTTTGCGTTTATTCTGTTCTTACACTCCGGAGGGAACGGTACGCTGCTGTTGAACACTCCAATGTAATGAACCCTTGCAAACTCCGAGAGAGTGTTGAAAAACAGTCCTCCGATGTTTGGAGGAGAGAACGAAATCGCTACACTCCCGGGAAGCATGTAAACCACATTAACAAATCCAGAGCCTAAAGCACCGATAAAAATGTCCGTATTCGCCAGAATCGAGACTTGCTCGCTTGGTTTGAGCAACTCCAACTTCTGTTCCAATAACTCGAATTGCTCTTGATTCTGTTTAAAGAAGGACCGAACCTCGTCAATATTCTCAATAGCACGGCCAGGAAGATTTCCATGAATGGCTTCACGAAGAATGACCAGAACGCGAGGTCGTGTGAGAACGTGCCGTGGTAAGGAAATGCCATAATACTTATAGGCAGCACTTCGAAGTGTGTCCACCTCCGACATGGAGGTAAAAGTTCCTCCATAAAAATAACTCATCAGTCTACCGACTCCTATCTGCTGGTAACATTAAATCGATAGTAAAAACGGCATGGCGGAAGCAAATGTGGCCATTGGGATCGAGCGCTAGAAGGTCTTCAAGAAAAACAGTTCGAAAGCGATGGTTTGGGGGGAATAAGGAAGACGCCACATCGATATAACTCAAGATCCATGGATAGACTTTGTCTCTGCGGAGCTGCAAAAAGGTAATGGAAGTCAAAGGTGGGTAATGGTTACGATTGTGAAGATAGTGGAAAACAAAGTTGAAAACCTCGGTAAAGTGGGCAATGTTTCGATTGGAGTGAGAAAGCATGATGTAGCTATCGTCCTTGATCCAGTACCCGGAGGAAGGAACTGTGGCGGTGAGTACTTGGAAGTTCCACGACTTGGGAGAAAAGCTTTCAGAAATGTGCTTCGACGCAATGTATTTGTCATTCTCCGCATAAACAAGAGTGGCCTGCTTCTGAACATCAAAGCAAATGTTGTCCAATGATAATAGTTCGACTCCAGAGAGTCCCTTTACCACCTTCACAGACGAATAGGAATCACCCCGTGCATCATTCACAGGGAGAAACGATTCGTCCACTTTGGCTCTAGAAAATTTACGATCAATTTAGATAGATAGCTACTCTCCCAGATTTTCAAAAAAGCGTTGCTTTCTCTGTTCTAGACGTATTTTCCTACAGTGAACCAGAACCATACAGAAATACCAGGATTCATCCCAATAATCCACCGGGTCCTCAAAAGAATCAAAATACTGCTCTTGTTTTTCCTCCCTCACAGGTTCAACACTCGTAGGTGCAGTATCGACCTTACTTTCCAAGTCTACCTTAATCCTACATAAGACGAGTCGTCAAATCATACTCTCGAGTTAATGAAGTAGTTAGACGTATATTCAGAATGATTCCATTGATGAGCAAGAGAGTAGTCAAAAGGAGATAGACGTTGCACCAATTGACTCTCATTTTTTGTTTTCATTTCAGATTTGGGATGTGTAAAGCAGTTTGTAAAACAGTTAAAATAGAGCGTCAATGGTCTAATGGTTAGGATTCTACCCTTCCAAGGTAGAGGTCCGGGTTCAATTCCCGGTTGACGCATTTTTCTTTATCTTTCTTTTTTCTTCTTTTCTCATCCAACTTTTCCACCTCCATTTCACCTATTTTTACTCATAGTTTTATCCAATCCATGCCAAACCCACAATCCAATACTCCACACTTGATTGACAAAATAATTGTGTTTTGCTTCACTCAATTCCCGCGGTGAATCGTGGAAAGGGGAAACGAGAAATGGAGAAGTTTTAGATTCATTTCATAATTTACCTTGAAAACTATCAGATGCTGCGCATTGTAAACAGATTCAGTCTTCCTACTCTGAGATCTTTCTCCTCCCGCATTACTATTGACAACATCAACCAGCACATTCGCACTGCTGACTATGCTGTCCGTGGAGAGGTTGTGATTCGCGCTAACGAGATTGACGCCGAGATGAAGAAGGGCAAGAAGTTCCCCTTCGATTCTCTGCTTTACTGCAACGTCGGTAATCCTCAGGCTATTTGCCAGAAGCCCATCACCTTCCTGCGTGAGGTGCTGTGCATCACCTCGTGGCCCGAGGTTGCTGAGAAGCATCCTGAGATGTTCCACCCCGATGCCATCCAGAGAGCCAAGGAGCTGCTGGCTGCCAACCCCGGTGGTTCGGGTGCCTACTCGCAGACTGCTGGAGTGGGTAAGGTTCTGGAGGATGTGGCTGCTTACATTACGAAGCGTGACGGTTTCCCCGCTGATCCCAAGAACATTTTCCTGACGAACGGTGCTTCCCAGGGTATTCAGGACTGCCTGAAGCTGCTGATTGACAAGCCTACGGATTGCATTCTGATTCCCATTCCCCAGTACCCTCTGTACTCTGCTTCGATCCACGTGTTCGGAGGCCAGTACGAGCCCTACTATCTGAACGAGAAGAACGACTGGGCTCTGGACCCCGCTGACATTGAGAAGTCGATCAAGAGCGCCCGCGCGAAGGGTCTGACGGTGAAGGCGATCGCTGCGGTGAACCCGGGCAACCCGACCGGCAAGTGCTTCACTCGCGAGAACATCGAGGACATTTGCAAGATCTGCGCGCGCGAGAACATCGTGATCATGGCCGATGAGGTGTACCAGGAGAACATCTACCGCCCTGGCGACAAGTTCATCTCCTTCAAGAAGGTGATGTGCGAGCTGGGTCTGAACTGCCAGATGATGTCCTTCCACTCGACCTCGAAGGGATACTGGGGTGAGTGCGGACGCCGCGGTGGCTACGTGGAGCTGGTGAACTTCCCCGATGACGTGCGCGCCGAGCTGTACAAGCTGCTGTCGATCTGCTGCTGCTCGAACGTAGACGGCCAGTACACCATGGACGTGATGATCAACCCGCCCAAGCCCGGTGATGCCTCCTACGAGCTCTTCCAGAAGGAGAAGAACGGCATTCTGGAGTCGCTGAAGGTGCGCGCGAAGAAGCTGTCGACCGCTCTGAACAAGCTGGACGGCGTGTCCTGCCTGTCGGTGGACGGTGCTCTCTACACCTACTTCCGCCTCACCATGCCTCCCAAGGCCATCGAGGAGGCCAAGAAGCAGGGAAGAGCCGCCGATGCCATGTACTGCATGGATCTCCTCAACGAGGCCGGAGTCGTGTGCGTGCCTGGAAGTGGATTCGGACAGGAGGAGGGAACTTACCATGTCCGCTCCACCATTCTGCCCCCTGAAAACGAGATCGATCAGGTCGTGGAGAGAATGAACAACTTCCACAAGAAGTGGATGGCTAGATACCAATAAATAAGAAGGACGATGAGGATGAAAGTTGTTGTTGTAGATTAACGTGGATTGTTTGTTGATATACTTACACATACATACATATAAGAATAATAATAATGAGTTATCAAATGGGAAGTGTGCGATGATAGAAACGTGACCTCAGTGATTTCCCTGACCTCTCGAAATCAATGGACAACGAAGATGAAATGATGAATCTATGGCTGGTAGCGCAGGCACAGCACATAGAATCTCTTGTTCAACGCGTTCAAACATTAGGTAACAACGAAGGATGGAATTGATTGTTTCGTAGAAAATAGTGCAGATGCTGGCGAGAGCAGCATTCAAAATTCAAAATCATATTTGCTTTCTTCAGAATCGCCAAACGCTGATTCCGATGAGTTAATACGGATCACAAAGTTAAATGAAGACTTAATAAACGAGAATAATCGCTTAGCCATAGAACTAGAATCAAAAAACAAGCAGATTCAAGAATTGCAAGCAACAATCCAAGGAGATAAGAGTAGTTATGGCGCGATTCAAAGTCAATCTATCGAGCAAATTCGCATGTTGAGTGAAGAAAACAAACGTTTAAAGGAAGAACTATTATCACTCCGTTCTGATAACGCGCTCCTAAAGAGCCAAAAAGAAATGGCATCGGGTGCTGAGAATGTGATATCCTTGAAACAAGAAATCGACCGTTTACGGAGAGAATTGGAGCTGCAGAAACTCCAGCAGCCCCAGCAACCCCAGCAACCCTTCCAAGCGCAGCAATCGCAGCAACCCCAGCAACCCCAGCAACCCCAGCAACCCCAGCAACCCCAGCAACCCTTCCAAGCGCAGCACGCGTTCAGCAAAACCCTCCAGGTCGAGAACCTCTCTGTTCCCGAGCTTCGCTCCCTCCTACAAAGCATGCACAACCAATGCGAAGGCCTGACCGACTACCACAACCATATCGAAGAAACCGTCGATCGGTTCCTCAGCGAAACGCTTCCGCAAGAGCATCTCCCCGCGCCAGGCACGCCCACCCACACCAAAATCGAGCTCCTCGTGGAGTCCCTGCGCTCCGCGTCCGTCTACGCCGCGGAAATCGCGGATCTGCGGGAGAAGGCGGAGGCGAACTATCAGTGCAGCCAGGAGTGGGAGCAGGAAGCCAACCGGCTCCAAGACCAGCTCACGAACAGCACGGAAACCAGCGACTACCTCCGCTCCTGCGTGGACTGCGCGCAGCACTACCTCTTCCGCCTGGTGGGCTCCGACTTCTCGCAGCACTTCTACGACCGCGCGTTTTTGGAGGCGCAGTTCCAGCTGGTCTGCAAGCGCTCCGAGAAGCTGCTCGCCGAGTACCAGAGCGTCCGACAGCGCCTCGAGCACCGCGCGGTCGACGCTTCGACGCCCGATCCGGCGATGCTGGCGCGGATCCGAAGGCTGATTCAGAGCGTGGGGGAGCGGCTGAACTTCCTGGACCGCGCGAGCGCGGCGAGCCCTGCGAGCTGGGCGGCGCTGGAGAGCTGCCTGCAGGACGTGTTCACGTTCGCGGACGTGGTGGTGCCGAAGACGAGGGAGACGATCGTGAAGAAGGACGGCGAGATCCGCCGGTTGCAGCGCGAGTTAAAGCGCCTGCGGCCGTTCGAGGCCTCGGGCATTCTCTGCCTTGTTTGCATCAACAAACACGCCACAGAATCACTTTGTTCACCACCGGATTGGACTCGCTCACGCTCTTGTTGGGGCAGATCGTGTACTCCGAGAGGCGCACGCCCTTCCGGAACGTCACGTCCTCGCCCGAGAACACGCTCTCCAGCTCCACGCCCTCCTGCAGGCGATTCCGCCAGCCCACGATGCAGTTCCGCACGACGCACTTCGCCTCCAGCACGGTGCCCTCGAGGATCGTCGCGTTCTCCACCACGCAGCCCTCGCCCAGCTTCACATCCTTCCCCAGCACCACGTTCGGACCCACGCGGCAGTTCGCTCCCACCTCCGCCGTCGCATGCTACGCGTTCTTCCTCTCCCTCTTCCCCACCTTCAGCACGTTCCCCTGCGCCCAGCTCGCCTCCACGAACTCGCTCTCGTTCACCAGCTGCTTCGTCGCGCCCTGCAGGCCGCGCACGTGCGACAGATAGAGCGCGGTGCCCTTCAAATAGTCGCGCGGCTGCCCGATGTCCATCCAGAACCCGCGGAGAACCATCCGGTACAGCTGCTTGTCCTCCGCCATCTTCGGGAAGATCTCGCGCTCGATCGACGTTGGCTTGTTCTACGCGTCAGAAAGGGGAAACGGGGAAACGGGGATGCGACGGATCATCGAGGCGTTGAACAGATAGATACCCGCGTTGATGTGGTTCCCCACGTATTCTTTGGGCTTCTCAACGAAGCGCTCGATGCGGCCCTGGGATTAAACAGAGGAATGGGCACTACCGTTTCGTCAGCCAGGACCACGCCGTATTTGGAAGGATCCTCCGTGCATGTCACCTAGCTTGGAGAGCGCAGAGCAAGATTACGACAATGGTGCCTTCCTTACCGTGATTTCGGTGGAAGTCAATGAGCTCCTGAAGGGGATAACAGCAAGATACATCACTAGTGAAAAGAAAAGCAGAAGCAAGAAAGTACCTATTAAACACAAAGAAAAGGTCCTCATCTTCAAGATACTTCTTGGCCAGAACGATCGGACCCGCTACGATAAAAAAAAGATTGATAAACGTACCAGTTCCCATAGGGATATCTTCCACAGAAATAATGATTTCAATACCATACTAAGCAATAAAATAGAGGAAAACAAAGAAAAACAGTTTCCTTCACGAAGGGGATCACATCAATAATCTGTTGGGGCTTGTAACTGCACGCCAAAACAACTTGCTTCACTCCCACCTCCGCCAAGGCCTTTAGCTGATGAAAAACAATCGGACTAGTTCAAAAAGAAGCACATCGTTTACAGGTTGCAAAATTCAACTAAAGGCTTCGCCTTCGTAAAGGTAAAAGGTCGGAGACGCGTTCCAAATCCACCAACAAGAATAAGAGCTTTCATTACTACGAAAAAATGAAGGAACGGGGGAAGATGCAGTTTCTCTTTTTGGCATTGACTTTTGTTATCTTCTTGTTTAGTGTACTCTGTCACAAACAACTCTAGGTAACTACTTAAACTTTTCCTCCTCGGCTGCTATGGATGCAAAGAACTCGCTGAGCAAAGCATCCTCCTCCTCCTTCTTTTCCTTCTCCTCTATCTTCTTTGTACTTCCTCCAGACTCGTCTCGGATCAGTTCCGCTTGGATTTTGCGACCATCGAACAGACGGCCATTCAGAGACGAAAAACACTGCAAAGCTTCCTTCTCGTTCGAAAAGCGAAGAAGCACGAGTAGCTCCATTTCATTCACCGCGATTCCTGTCAGGGTACCGTACTCCTGAGCCTGCTGTTCCACATCTTCTCTTAGGTCGGTCATATACTCTATAAAATGTAGCTCCACATAAAGAGAAACGCCGATCTGCACAGTTCTCTGTCGTAAACATGTTCGAGAGACGAACAACGGTTAGTTGAGAAGAGGATAGGTCATTCATCTCGGTTTTGAGAGTTTTTACACGCTCTCGTTCTACAGTAAGACGGACACCCTTCGCTACTTCCGAATGGTTATACTAGAGATGAGTTAAACGGAGTCACTACTAATTCTTTGCAACGCTTAGCTCCCTGCTTGGTTACATATTGAACGAATATTGTATGAGAAGTGGGAGTCGATGTTCTAGTAAATACAGATAGAATGGATCCAACACTTCAAAAGCTTCTACTTCTCCTGCTCTCGACAAAAAGCTTCCTACAATATGAATCGTATCATGCTACAAACCAATTTCAGATTTCGTATAGCGGCTTGGCATGTTATATATGATAAGTCGATCCACCTTTCTAAAAGTCGTATAAGAACACTGAAGATACTCGATTCGAACTCTCCTTTCCTTTTTAGGTATAGGCTTTTGCAAATAGCTCTTAATACGTGAGAGGGCCTCTTCATTTCGTTTATCTTCTTGCTAGAACAGAAAAAAGCATAAGGAGCCACATACTTCAAAAAGTTTGAGATAGGATGGGGGTAAGGTGGCTCTATAATCCGTTTCTTGATTTTTTCCAAGTAACAGACCGAGAAGAATGTGGCGATCATATATCCCAGCACTATCGATGTTTCTTTGGTATAAGAGCTCTTTAATTTCCGTTGTGGACAATTTTTCAACAGCTTCAGAGTTCATTACCAAAATTGTGTGAATCAACATAGGTGAAACGTTGTATTTTGTAATATATAACTAAAGAAGGTTTTCGGAGAAAAGAGAAGAATTGTTAATAAAGGAAACGGCGATAAACACAAGATAGGGTTTGATTTATGCGATATTTAGTTTGGAAATAGGTTTAATAATGACTGTAAAAGGCTGTTATTTAGGAACAGAAGTGGGGTTGTTATTTCTGTAATCGCCATATACTAATATCTATGAAATATTGCTTGGAATTTGTTAAAGATTATCTATTTAAATTTGCTTTTATATGGATATGCAACATAAGGATAAAACAATACTCATAACTAGAAAATACAAATACAGATTTGTATTAAAATTAACAGTAATGATATGTATGAAAGGAAATCATTAAAGGTTATGACTCAGTGATATTGACATTGATGATACTAGCAGATCACTCAACTGATGTGCTATTCCTGATTATTTAAATCGAGAGTAAGAGTGTTAGATAATAACTAGCTCAATTGTTATCTAATGATGACTACGAAATATGACTGAGATCTCAATAGTAGACGATACGTATATACACTCACACAAATGCAATCATCTTTTACTATGGGCAAATCAATATACCTAAAAGCATATATTAATAAACCCATTGTAAAAAACAAAATACCAATAATGGATCATTATCATTAAAATCAAACACAATCAATCGATTAATCAATATATGATAAAAACATGACGATGACTACTTTGACCACATCCAATATCCCTATCACACCATTCACAAATATCAAAGTTATTATCACAACAATACTCTAGGTCAAAAAATCTGTGTGTTTCATTCATTTTCAACTCTGCCCTTGATTTTCAAATGGTACAACCTTAAAACTGAATATCCACAGAATCATTTGTGTTCTTGACATCTCTATAAAAAAAACTCTTTAGATACATGATATCCCCACCAACCATTAAGAAAAAAGCCAACCAAATCTGTAACACCCTCACACACACAAACAATTCTATTTTTCACATTCTCCTTCCTACCACTGCTACTACCACCACCACCCCTATCGTATCAAACAAACACCCCTCAACTATTTAATTTTCTCAGCAAACCGCGTCTGCGACGTCTGCAAAACATTCAAAAAGCACGGCTGGGCCACCGAGATATCGTACGAGTGCAGCGTCTGTCGATGCAGCATCAGCCACACGCCCTCCTCATTCGCGATCTCCTCGCTCCCCAGAAACAGCACGCCGCTCGGGATCTTCCCCACGACCTCTCCCTTGATGCTCGGCGCGTTCCGAATATTATGCAGCGCCTGCCCTGCCCTTCACCGCCCCTCCATCGCCTACCCCGCGGGAACAGCGACCGGTAAATGAGCACGTCGCTCGGATAGCAGATGGGATCATACCCGCGCTTCTCCACGAGCAGCCAGCTCCGATCTACGCCTCACTTCCTCGCCGCTCGCCCACTGGTGGCGTCGTCCAGCAGCGCCCAGGTGCCTTCGCAGGTGTACAGCACGTCCTTCGCGGGCACCTGCATCTCTACCGCTCATTTTTTCCTCACTTCGCTACGCGCAGGGATCCGACTCGTCATTCCGCGCGCCAGCGACGGGTTGTCGCGCACTCCGCAGTTCACCAGCGACACGAACTGCGTGCCTCGGCACTGCTCCACGGCCGCCAGCGTCGCCACGCACGGCGCTCGGTCCTTTCTTCGCGCGTTGAACCGCGCCAGCTGCTGCACCGCCGAGTTCATATGCATCGTCCGCTTCGATTCGAACTGCATCCACCGCATCGAGCACGCCTGCTTCGCCGTCGCGCGGTGGTGCGGGTTCGGCACCAGCAGCGCCGCGATGAACTCCTTCGCCTCCTCGCTCACCGCGCTCCACTGCGCCTCGTGGAACTGAAACGCGCCGCTCACGATCAGACGCAGCGCCGCGAAGTCGTTCGACTGCGGAAACGGCGGGTACCCGCACAGCCTACCCGTCACGCAGCCCCGCGGGGAAGACAGGATGTACGTGATCACGCCCAGCGACCAGAGGTCCACCGCAGGACCGTAGCGTTCCCCGCGGATAATCTCGGGCGCCGAGTACCCGGGCGTTCCGCAGACGGTGCGGAGCGAGTTCGTTCCGTTGGACTATTCGTGAGATTCCCGCGGGGATACGTAAGCGGCGAACCCGAAATCGGCGATCTTGATGTGGTTCCAGTCGTTGGGCTGCGCGAGCAGGACGTTTTCGGGCTTTAAATCGCGGTGAACGATGCCCTTCTCGTGGCAGTAGCGCAGCGTGTAGAGCAGAGTGCGCACCACGATCTGTGCTTCGCGCTCGGAATACAATTCCCGGTTCAGAATGGCGTCGAACAGCTCGCCGCCCTCCGCCAGCTCCTCGATGATGTAAAAGTACTGCGCGTCCTGCAGGAAGTCCTTCAGCGAGATCACGTGCGGGTGCGACCGCAGCTCGTACATGATTCGGCACTCCCTCTACACTCGACTCCCGCGGGGAATCGCCACTTTAAGCGAGGATACGTCGCGGTCGCTGAGGTCGGCTTTGCGGATGATTTTGGCGGCAACGACTTCGCCGGTGGCGGTTAAAACGGCCTTGCGGACGGTTCCGTACTTTCCGTGACCCAAAACGTCGCCGAAGGAAAGGACATCAGTGATGATGCAGTCGGTGGGTTCGAGCTCGGAGAGACTGATGGGGTCCACGTCGGCCATGGTGTCGTCGAAGCCGTCGACGAGGCCGGCGATGTAGCTAAGCATGTTGTCGTTGAGGTACATTGATTTGCATCGCTTGAATTCCTCGAAGAAGGAGGCCGCGCTAGGAGTGATGAGAAGGGAGTAAGAGGAAGGCGGTACAAGGCTTTCTGAGTGACGAGCTGCTCGATGGGATGCTGATTCTGATACAACTCGATCTCCATGAGATAGTTCTTGATATCGGATTGGTTGTTCGATTCGTCCAGCTTACACATGATTAGACTCAGCTCGGGGTCCAGCTCGGCACCCTACCATCAATTAACAAAAGCAAACAATTACACTGTCGGAAGACAGAGAACGGGAAGTGTTGGATCGCAAAAATGCAGGTGTTGTTAATGATTCGGTAAAGAGACTATGTTCTTCCTTCCACGCTTGCTCCATACAGCAGTACCACCGTCGCGCCTCATCGGCGGTAGAAAATGCAAACCAGTAGGTTATTCTTTTAGTCTACATCGATTAAAGATTCTCACAGAACCTACTTGAACTGCTATGCAAAAATTCTTATGGTTATTGTAGCCCGTTTGGCGAATGGTAATAATCTCAACATAAGGACAACTAAAGCGAGGAGCGGTATTTTCGGTATCTGAAACTAAAATATCCTTAGTAGACACCCGTAGCCAGCACGGGACCCACCTTTTCATCACACTTTTCTATTAGATCACAAAACACACATATCTCAACTTGACGTTCACAGCTCCCTTGCATGATAATATGCAAAGAAGTAGAACTCAGCGAATTACTCATTTAGCCTAAATATATGCGTTTTTATTCTATTGAAGACCTGGCACAAAAACCAAAAATCCCCGTTACAACAGCACTCTTCTCATACTGTATTCCAAACGAATACATGCATTATCTGCAATCGCATCCTTTTGCTGTACTCTAGAGCCTACTATACGTTTATGGTTCCGAAAAAAAACAATGCTCTGGGGGATAACGGAGGGTCATGAATCCATGATTTCATGGTAGGGAAAATCGTGTTAAGTATGATAATGCACTTTATAATCCAAGATACTTGTCAAACTTCTTCGCTTGTTGCGCAGATATGATTCTCATTTCGACGTAATGTCCACTGATTTGGATGATACACTGAAGGAATTAAATCATCATGAAGTTATTCTTGATGAGAGTCTCTTATCGGATGCTGTTACGATCTTTGTACATTTATTCCTATTCATTTAGCGGCAGAACACAAGTCTTCCTGTTTGTAATTCGTTTACGTTTTATCGGTTGTGTTTAAAGAGCAATCCCACGTATCAGTGGGCATGTGAGGCAGAAGCAGAAAATCAAGTGTAGCCCTCATCTACAGAAGTGTCATAGGTGCAGTGGTCTCCGTGAGAAAAGATAAGGGGCTTCTCATCATTTCCCTTGCAGTGAAAGCTTCTTATCGAAACTATGGAGTCGGACATTCTCTGCTTAAAAAGCTGAAAGAGACTTGCTTGAAAGACAAGCTAGAAGAAATCCACTTGCATATATCCGTTTACAGCCTAAGCAGCTAGGTTTTCATAACAGTAGGTGCAGGAAACGAACGAAGATGCCATACGCTTTTACAAGAGAGAGGGGTTCATTGAGAGAGAGCGAATTAGCAACTTCTATAAGCGTTTGGAACATAAGACTGCGATTCACATGGTGTACAGAGTGTGAGAAAACAAACCAATGGTACGCATCTTCGAACTTATCAATACTTTGTCTGGAAGACTGTAGTTTGTTGTTAATAAAGATCCACTGCTTGAGATCGTGACCCTTCTTCTCATAGGATGTATCGTACATGTAGGGAAGAATCAAAGGGATGTTCTTGCAGAAAAGGACAACATGGACCTATGAATCGCGAGCTCTGGGAAATGATACATAATTGTATCCCTCTTTCAAAGGGCATGGCTTGGGCTCCGAGATGAGAATCATCTCCACACGATCAAAGTCAAAAGCGGTATCGCATTCCACTCGATTTACGTAGCAATCGTCTTCTTTCGTAATCGCCATGTGAACAGTCAAGGAAACAAGGCAATCAGCAAAAAAGATATATTATTCACTTTTACGGGCAGACAGCTGCTGCCACACGATTTTAGACGCTGTATCTCATCCCGGACCTACAGAAGAGAATGTTCGCAAAGTCTCCACTTGCTCGTCCACCCATTTCGCTACTTCCACCTCTTTATATGGATTTTCCTTTTTCTCGCTCGTTTTCGTCGAAGGAACCATTGTTTTGAAATAGTCCAGTTTTTTGGTTTATTGGATCTGTTGCTATTATCCAATTATTTAAAAAGTACCGGATTCATTATTGCTACTTGGGTAGTTGTCATCCATAAAGATTGGTTAATATCCAAACCAAACATATTTTCTCGTAATTAGGCAGTTCGATATCTTTTCTATTTCATAATTGCTTTTTGATTACTCATGGATGTTAAAACGGAAACTCCGCATGAATCTGCAAAGTTTTCCCCCGTTGAAGAAAACAAAACATATACTCCCCAAGAGGAAACGACGTCTGCAGACCCGCACCTAGATCAGTCTCAACTCGATTCTAGTGATTTGGTAACAAGTGAAACCAATCCGGGAGCATTGACTCCAACAGCAGTCGAATCGCCTATAGAAACGAAGACAGTACAGCATCGGAAACGATTTTCAATGTATAGGAAGCAGAAGGAGAAGAAGTGATGGGTGATAATTCGATTGGTGAAGGTGGGAACAATATCGGTCGATGGACAGCTGCAGAACACGCAAAATTCTTAGAAGGATACAGACTCTATGGGAAGGATTGGAGGCGTATCTCCACAATCGTTTGTTCGAGATTTTGTTAACTAAAATTCAGGTAACAACGCGAACATTGATTCAAATCCGCACACACGCCCAGAAATTCTTTCTCAAAAACGACTTCTCCACGAAATACGATCGGATGAACGACGGAGGCGAGCCAACCGATCGTCGTCACAAAGTATTTAGAATATAAACTAACACTCCCTAATCCGCTAGAAATCGAAGATGCGATCCCACAGTCGATCCACCTATCAGATCTCCTCCAAAGCGCCTTCTCGCTCTACCAACGTCGTCATGACGCGCTCGCGCACCGCCAGTCCCATCCCCGAAGAGCACACGACTCCCAAGCCCGACCTCCACGACGAGCCCCAGCCCTCCCAGCCCTCCGTGCGAATCCCCGCGGAATACATCTCGCCGAAGGACGCCAGCGACTCGGAATTGCTGATTCCTCGACACTACAAGCGGTCGATGCGTCCGTCGTCGATGCCTTTGGCCTCGTCGGACTGTTTCAGTCGTCGAATCACGCCGATGGGGTTCTATGACATGAAGGATCGGATGTGGCAGGAAAGACAATTCGCGACCGTGGTGCTGGGAATGCTCATGAAACACGCGTACGAGGAGTCTGAAGAGGAGGGGAGGAAGCCTGCGGAGAATGGGGAAACGGGGAAACTGGGAGGAAGTGGAGAAGTGAAGAGAAAGGAGGAAAAAGAGAAAGAAAAAGAAAAAGAAAAGGAGAAGGAGATAGGGAAGGAGGAAAAGGAGAAAGGAGAAACAAACATGGAAACCGAGAAGAGTGAATCGAAAGAGGAGTCAAAAGAAGACCAAGAAAAACCAAAAGAAACAGAAGAAACAGAATCGAAAGATCCAAAGCAAAATGAAATCGAAAATCAAATTGCGAAATTGAAACTAGAAATCAAACCCGAACCTTCTTCTACCTCTCCTCCCCCTCCACCCCCTGCTTCCACTGTTTCTACTGTTTCTACCAGCGAATCCTCTGAACCCAAACCATCTTCTGGACCCTCTGGATCTTCTGGACCCTCTGGATCTTCTGGACCCTCTGGATCTTCTGGACCCTCTGGATCTTCTGGACCCTCTGGATCTTCTGGACCCTCTGGATCTTCTGGACCCTCTGGATCTTCTGGACCCTCTGGATCTTCTGGATCCGATTCCCACATTCGCAAAGTATCGATCGTGGACCAAATCAAGCGTCCTCCCTCCACTTTGAAGCCCACGCTCCACCTCACAAACCCCGACACGCTCTTCCTCCAGCTCGGAAAAGACGAGGAGGAAGAGGACTACCGAGTCGACCGCAACGCTCCCAAAACGCCCGCCAACGCGAAGGGAAAGCGATCTGCTCTTCACATGGTAGCTCGCCTTCACACTCTTGCTCACTCCAAGGCGGTTCTTTCCTCCGAGCAGGACACGCGCGCCTTCCTCAACGCCAACAAAGACAGCGGATCCGCCAACGCTCACTACGTCAATCTGCACGACTCCCACGGTTTTACGCCACTTATGACCGCCACCTGTCTCCGCGACAGCGTAACGGCCCTCAACATCACGAAACTCCTCATCGAGGCCGTTTCACTCCATCGAATTCGTGAAGAATAGGGAGCCAGCATCACGCCCTGCGATCGCGACGGCAATACCGCGGTTATGTGGGCTGCGATCGTTGGAAATCCAGGTAGAAGCGCGTAGTATGGCTGACGCCCAGTGATTCTTCGGTATTTAATCGATCAGGGCGGCAACGTCGATCAGCAGAACAATGCGGGCAACACGTGTCTCCACCTCAGTCTCCTCGAGGGGCGTTTCGACTGCGCGAAACTCCTCCTCGAGGAATGCAAAGCGGACATTTCTCTCCGCAATCACCAGCACCAAACCCCGCTCTCCCTCCTCAACAGCGAATCCAGCCGTAGGTTTCCCCGTTTCCCTTCTTCGCAGCCTTCCCCGCGGAAGAGCGTCACCACCTGCGCGAGATCTTCTACCGCGTGCATCCGCGGCTTCGCACGGTCATCCTGCACCACCCCGACTGCAATCTCCACATTCCGCGCACCTCCGGCACGCAGGGCGCCAATCCGTGGGAAGCTCCGCCGCGAATAACCGCGATTCTTCAGGCCCTCCACGCGCAGATCGATGATTGGGCGGTGTGCTACGACTCGGGCTTTCCTATCGCGGGGAAGCAGGAGATTCTGAAGGCGCACTCGCTGCGGTACTTCCAGCTGCTCTACAAACTCGACAGCGAGCTCATGCAGGGACAATCCGTGGCGTTTACGCCGCACGTGCAGCAGGGATTCGGCGTGCCCAGCGAGAAAATCAAAGACGAGGGCATCTGCGATACCTCCTTCAGCAAGGGCTCCCTCCAAGCCGCGCTTCGAGCCGCCGGCGGAGCCATTGCCGGCGTGGATAAAGGTGAAAACCGCGGTTTTGTCTGAAGCGTAGTGTGCTCTGGGGAGTTTCGGAACGCGTTCGTGTGCGTGCGGCCGCCGGGACATCACGCGGGAACGGACGGGTTGTTGACCACGGCGTCGTCGTGCGGGTTCTGCGTGTTCAACAACGTGATGATCGCGGCGTTCCACGCGCTGGAAAAATACCCCCAGATCGTCAAGAAAATCGCGATTGTCGATATCGGTGCGTGTATAACAGGGAAATAACAGACAGACATCCACCACGGCAACGGCACCGAGCAGATTCTCCAGAAATACAACCATCCCGAGCAGTTTTTGTTCTGGTCCTCGCACATCTATTTCCGCGTTTTGATTGGCTGAACGGGTTTTTCGTGCAGGATCTCCACCACGACTACGAGTTTTACCCGGGCACCGGCAAAACCGACCACCTCACCGACAACATCTACAACCAGCCGCTCCAGCCGCTCTGGGAGACCGAGCAGTACCTCCGTTTCCACGTTTCCATGTAGCAACCGCCGGCACGACGGGGAGGGCGGCCGCGTGCTGTTCCGACACGCGGTTTCGGCGCGGTTGCTGCCGCTGTTGCGGAGCTTCGGTCCGGATTTGATCCTGGTGTCGTCGGGGTTCGACGGAGGCTACGGCGACGTGGGGAACCAGCGCTTCATCCCGACGATCCAGGCGGGCATGGACCTGAAAATCGAGGACTACGCGTGGGTGCTGGGGAAGGTGATGGAGGTCGCGAGCGTCTGCTGCGACGGCCGCGTGGTGAGTCTGCTGGAAGGGGGCTACGGGTCCTACAAGCGGCAGAAGGGCTCCAACGACACCGCGTTGGTCAGGTAGAAACGGAGAAACCCGGTCATGCAGAGAGCCGCTGGCGAAGAACGTCGCGGGGCATCTGCGCGGACTGCTCGGCGATTTTGTGGGGGAGAAGGAGAGCTCGAATTCCCGCGGGAGTGCTGGGAACCGCGGGAATCGCGGGAGTGTGTGCGGGTGCGGGGAGCTGCGCGATGAGGAGATGATCGAGTGCGCGGTGGGGAAGAAATGCGGCGGATGGGTGCACTACAGCTGCGCGGGAATCGAAATGGGCTCGCACCAGGAGAGCGACGAGCCGTTCATTTGCCGATGGTGCCGAGCGGAGGGAGTCAATCTGCAGGAGGCGAGGAAGGAGAAGGAGGAGAAGGAGAAGGAGAAGGAGAGGGAGAAGGAGAGGGCGATGCAGGAGAAAGAGGAGGAGAAAATGACGATGCGGCTGCGGAGTCGGAAGAAGGACGCGGATGGAGGGTATTATGGAGGGTATCGGCGCGATGGAGAGAGCGATGAGGAGAATCATCCGCGGCGAAAACGAGGTAGGAAATGGGGAGAGAGTGTGAGAGATAGCGAGATATTCGGGATATGGGCATGCGAGTCGAGAAAGCATTTTGGATGAAGATTATGAACAATAAAAAGTAGCGTGGAACCAACGGAACTGTGTTGAATGAATGAATGAATGAATGAATAATGGAATGTGTGTTTGCATCAAACAATGCACTCATTTAGATTAATACTCTGCTCCATCGCCACGATTGACCCCTCTAAAAGCGGCGGCAGCACGACTTCCTCTCTCCCTGCTTCCTTCTCGTACACCTGCAGCCCCGCGACATACTCCGCGATGGAATAAAACAGATAATGCTGCGTCTCTCACGCCCCTCCAACGCCTACTCGTTGATTCACGCTCACGATCATCTCTTCCGGATGATTAATCTGACGCACCGCCTGACGCACGAACCCATTCAGCTGCTGGCTCAGCGCCGCGTCCACTTCCTAGTCGCTCACGCCTCGCTCTATCGACTACATCGACCGGCTGATTGGCCGGATCGTCCGCCAGCGCGAACTCCGATTTCGACTGCAGGAACACCATCGAAACGCCCGGAATGCGCTTTCTACGTTTCCACTTTTCGTGGTGCTGGAGCAGATGACGTAGCGCTACATGAATCATCCAACCAATCAAATGGAAACAGTCGCGATCGGATTTGGCGCCGATCGGAAGCCTCAGAATGGTTTGCAATTTGTCTTTGTCCAGCTGTGATAAAATACCCTCTATTTTGTGAATGGCAGAAATCGGAGGAACGAGAATCGAGAAGGGAAAGGCGGTCTCTGGGAAGGCGAAAGCAGCGATAAATGAGAATTAAATGAAAGAGGAAGCGAATATTCGCGTCCCAGTGACAAAAAAAGCGGAAGAAATCCGAGAAAAGGTATGAAAAGAACTAGAGAAGCAATGGTGAGGAAACGTGGAAACAAAAGGTGAAACGTGGAAACAAAAGGGATTGGAGAGGAGAAAAAACAATCAAAAATGAATCAAAATGGGTCAAAATAGACCAAATTGTACCCAAATTGGGTCAAAATAGACCAAATTGTACCCAAATTGGGTCAAAATAGACCAAATTGTACCCAAATTGGGTCAAAACTAGACCAAAAAGATCCCCTCGCCCTCAAAACACAAAAACACAATGGAATTCCTCATCGAGCACTCCCCTACCTGGCTTCGAAACTCTCCCTGGAACACATCGGCATTGTTGTACACGAAGGCCAGCACGCGCTTCAAGATCTTCGCTCGACTCTTCTCGCCTCGCCTACCAGCACGTGCTCCTGCTCCAGCAGCCGCTTCATCCCCGTAAAGAAGAACGCGCCGTCGAACTGCGCGGGCAGCGCGGCCCTCTGCGAGAGCAGCACCCAGTCGCCTCGCTCCTCTCGCTTCCGCAGCCTCCACACGGACTGTCTCGCATTATAATCATACCGAACTACTCTCCACTTCCCCGTTTCCCCTACTCTGCTTCACACGGTCCTGTCTCACCAGTTCCTCCCACGCCGCCACCGCTTCTCCCTCGTTCTGCGCCACGCCGCTCACGATCATCGCTTCCTCCGCGTGGATCCGCGTGAATCCTTCCGCCACGCCGTACCGCCGATACGCCGACGCCTCGTACCCCGCGCGCTGCCGCAGCTCCAGCCGCACGAACGCCTCCAGCGTCCGCAGCGCGCGCAGTTCCGCGGGGAGCGCGGGGAACCGCAGCGCGGGGAAGAGCGCAGAGAGCGCGCGGGCGCGAAGCGCGCGGAACCAGGCCTCCAGGTAGGAGCAGCCTAGAGAGAAACGTGGAAACGGAGGTACAGACGAGGACGTCGCCGAGGACGTAGGCGTTACATTGAGAGAAAAGGACCTCGAGAAGACTAGACGTCAGTCCCGCGGGGAGGCGGTACAGATCGAGCAGGACGGGCTCGGCGAGCAGGCTTTCGCTAGGCGTCACCGCGGGGATGGGAGAGAAACCTGGCGCGGAGGCCGGCGGAGTTGAACTCGTAGCGCGAGGAAAACCAGTGCGATCGGATCTGCCCGCAGCGGTACTGGTAGATCACCGAGGCCTGAAACGCCGGGAGAAACGCCCGCAGGACGACGAAGAAGGAGGGGACGCACACGAAGGGGAAGGCTAGAGTGGAAACGTGGAAACGTGGAAACCGGGGAAGGCGGCCTGGCGGCAGGCGTCGACGAACTCGCACCAGGACTGAACGAAGGTGAACAAAAAGCCGTCGTTGACGCGGAATCTAGGTAGAACCGCGGGGAGAGCGGTACCGTTTGGCCCACCAGCCCGGAGTCTGGCAGTCGACGATGCTGTCGGCGACGACACACCAGTAGAAGAGGGAGGGCACGCGCGCTTGGAGGTCGTTGTGGAGGCGTCGGAAGTGCGGGTCGAGCGCGTAATCGACGCTGAGCTGCTCGACAATGCGGGAATAATCGCGGACACGGAGAGGCGGGAGGAGGTCGTCGTCGAGCGGGACGGGAGTAACCGGGGAAATGGAGGACTGGAGGTCGGGGAGCCCGTCGAGAACGTCGCGGTTGGAGGGAAACATGGAGTTGAAGGGACGGGAAGCCTCGTCGGCTTTGAGGTCGGGCTCGAAGACGAAGTCGATCATGGGGGAGGAGCGATGGGAGGGAGAGAAGTCTGGGGGTGAGAGGGAGAGAGAAAGGAGGGGACGGTGAGAGGAAGGAGTTCGATCGAATTCGGAATCGGTGGAGTCGGATTCAGTGTTGGAATTGGAATTGGAATTGGAATTGGAATGAATGAAGTCTTCAGAGTAATGGTAGGAGAAATCTTGCTGGGAGGATCCATAATAAAAGCCTTTCGCTTCATCATCATCATCATCATCATCATCATAATCATACTCATCATCATCTTCTTCATCTTCTTCCACAAATTCGGATTCAGAATCGGAATAATCGTCTTCCGAATCGGAATAATCCGACTCGGAACTACACGATGAACAATACGAATCCGAATCATCTGAATCAATCCAATCATTCGTTTCATAGGTTTCATTCAATTCACTCGACATTTTCGATTCATTCAATTCACTCATCGATCCATTTCCCTCTTTCTTCGATTTCTTCGTTTTTCCGCCATTTTCATTCATTTCATTCAATTCATTCAATTCATTCAATTCATTCATCGATTCATTTTCCTCCTCCTCCTTCTTCTTCCTTCTCGAATCCTCCCCATTCGTCGCTTCATTCAACACCGAATCCACCGCTGATGGCAAGTACGAAACGCTGTGGCTTTTCGGCAGCGAACTTTCGATCGTCGGTCCGCTCATCGACTCCAGGTTCATCGCAGAGCGCTCTTTCCGTATGATCCCCGCGGTTTGATGGAAGTCCTCATCATTGAAGATATCGAATCGAATATCTGGAACGTTCTTGCTTAATGGAGGTTGCGATTGCAGCAGTCCCGTGTAGACCACTTTACCGACAGAAGGGATGCAAATGCAGGAAAGCAAAACGATTTTAGAAGCGAAACGAAGCGGGAGAGCGCTAGAAGGGTTCTTTAGTAAAGTGATGGCCTCAATCAGAGTGAGGCGGAGAAGATAAATGAAACGTTTAAGATAGGGAAGGCGACATTGCTTGACTGCAATATAGCGAATGTCGAAACCATTGCTTTCCTAAATTCCATGACACCAAAGTGGAGTGGATACAAGATAGAATTCTTTGCGGTAGGCAATATAAGTGATAAATCGATACAGAATATCGCGATCTTGGTCCTTTACCTAAACCTCATTGGAGAATCCTAACTTCACTTCATGAAGACCATTTAAAATGATCTCCCATGTGGCTAGCAAGTATTTCATTCCGAGTATCTGCTTCTCCTCATCTTCATACTCTATAAGTCAGTGCTGTTCATGCACCCCGACCAAAAATTGGCTCTTTAAAGATGGCTTCCATTGTCTCGAGAATACCAACTCTTTTCTTCATTGTTGTGGGACATTCGACCAAGTTAGAAAATTGCTTGATCAATTTAGCATTGAACTGCATTCGCCTTTCTGAGCTCATGATGTCCGCCAATGCTTCAAAGTCGTAACGTTCTTGAGAACAGCAATCAAACAACATATATTCCCCTATATGTAGTACTATGAGCACTGCTACAAACCGTCAAGGAAGCAGCGCTGACTAAAACACTTTCTATGATTCAAGTGATGTCCACGTTTTTTGGATTTCCAGTTTCTGTATACTATCCAATTTGATTATCTTATTTTTCTATGAGTAGTAGTAGCTCGGGATTGTCGTTATCCATTAAACCCGCCGATAACATTGTTTTAAACTGTATTGGAAAGAAGGACGGAGTCATGGATAGTAAACAAGGGCGAAGACTCTTTAAGCAATATCTCGGTGATGAATACAAGCGAAAAAAGGGTACTCTATACACCCTAACCCTCACGTACGTAGATCATTATCAAACTTCGCAGTAATGCCGGAAAAAGGCTACGGATCAAACCATCTGTTTTTGCTCTCGAAATAAACCAATCAATGACTTTGGAAGGTGTGAATTGTACTGGTCTCGTTCTTTCTAGTAAAAATCGCATCCATCTACGTCGACGAACTCATTCAGAAATATCAGGAAACCAACTCTCTGGAATCGTATTTCACTTCGTTGTGTTACTATGCAGCTATCGTGTTCAGTTCAATATTGCAGCGGTGTCTGATCTATTTTACAACGGGATCAGTTCAGACACGGACAAAGACCAAGTCGAGCAGATATCACAGCAGGTGGGGCGTGAAAACAATTTTTATTATGGTCTAGTGGGGAAATATTACAAAATCCGATGTTCAACAAATGATTGTTCCATTGACCTTGTCTTATAATTCAATTCCATCTACCTTGTCAGAAGAACGTGTTTGCTTGCTTTTTATTATTTTGCTTAATTTCAGAAATCGGATGAGAGTTTGCGAAGCATTGCCACATCTGAAGTGTTTGTTGTTGCTGTTCATAACGCGCATGAACTCTAGTCACCCGAATATAAAAAACTGCGCACACAATACGACGGCCTTTGCTTGGTCGTCAAACGGTGTCAGGAAATCGTGAAGAAACTTCAAGAGGAGAAAAAGGACCTCGAATTGAAGTTTTCGGCAAAAGAAGAAGAGTTCAACACGTTGAAGTTGCTGTCAGAGCAAGCTTCGTCTGAATTGGTGGGAGTTTTTGTTTCGCTGTCAATCGCTAGAAAGTGAATTTGCAGGGCTCAAAACAGTCGATTTGGACGGGAATCACGGCTGTTATTGTAGTAATTGCGTTCGTAGCGGGGTTTGTCTTGGGTCAGTTTGCTTTTCGGTTTATGATGGAGTGATTGCTTCGTTTCGCCTTGTTTGTTTCATACTATTGATTTGATTGTGATATGATTGACATTTCCCATGTGCTGCTATTATTCGCGATTGTTGTATCCTATTTTATAGGGATCACAATTTACTCTTTGATCGCATACGTTGCTTCTCTAATCTATTATAATAATGACTGGTATAAATGATATAAAGAATGATAATGTTTGTTTCTAAAAAATCATTTTTCTTAGCCTGGGGCAGTTATTATCTTCCAATAACTCCTTCAAAATAATAGTTAAAATATAAGGAAGTGATGGTTACTATATCAAAGATAGCAGTATTACTAATTTGGCTGTTCTGTCTATGTGGACTTGGTATCGTTTTTTAAGTTGAATTATGCATAGCCCTTAAAAATTCTTTGTCATTTTTGCGACAGATAGAGCAAACTCATATTTTTACCTATTCCTTTGCAAACTCGTCGATTTCGCACTCTGTATCTACCTTGCATCCTGGAACTCATTCGCAATGCACGTCTTCCAACGATTGTGGTCACTATTCACAATCTCCTGTATCTATGAGCATCTCTTTTTTGCTATTTGTGACTTCTAGATCCCGTTCATTCTCTTTTCACTTCGCCTTCCTCTTCACGAGTTCGTGTAATACCAAGGTTAAGAGGCGGTCTGACTGCTGATACTTCCAATGCGCCTCGGATCTCCGACGAGAGTCTTTTAAAATCTCGTTCTGCGTCGAATCCGAATCCTGGAGTATCATCAGTCCGGAATGATCATCCTTTCCATTCCGCTCCGTTTTCAACTTCGAAACCCCAAACGGAGCCCCCAACTCCGCAATCCCTTGCCCTCAAATACAAGCTCCACGCGGAGAACATCTACTACTCTTCGCCGGACCAGCCGATTTCCCTTTTTCTTTTCAATTCTTCAGGTATTTCCTCGGCCATTCTTCCACCCCAGGGAAATTCCCAGTTTTCAACACATCCGAATTCGACCCGCGTCCCATTCGCAAGCAATTCAATCCTTCTTCTTCTTCTTCTTCTTTTTATCGCCTCGTTCTTTGCGTCAGCGTCGAATTCCAAGCCGGTCTTCGCTCCGTGGAATACACTTTAAAATCGCTCAGCCTGCTCCAGCAGCATTTCTCCTTCCGCGCCGTGCTCTTCTCCACCTCCCCCGCGGCCGTTCCGCTCTGCCGATCGCTCGGAATCGACTTAGTGCCCGCGTACATGTGCGACCCTTTCTCTTTTCTCTCCCCTCAGATCCAACTTTGCGACGCTACCCGTCGTTCCGGAGCTGCTCAAAGCCTGCCGGAAGCTCTACGCCGCCGACTTCTACGGCTACGTCAACAGCGATATTCTGCTCGCGCCCGCGCTGTTCCCCGTCCTCGACTTCGTTCTCGACCAGTACAAACAGGGACGCTTAACAGACGGCGTTTCGCTCCAATCGCGCACTGAACCGTAGTTCCTCGTCTCCTCCGTCGCTTTCAACACCGCCGAGCTCGCCGTGCCGCTCGGCTCGCTCCAAGCGTACTGGAACTACGTCGATCGCATCACAGCGCGCGACCACTTCCGCGACCGCTGCAGCTCGGTACCAAAATCGGGGCTTTTTTAGGCGCAGGATTGCTGGATCTTCCACCGCAGCACGGACTTCGATGTGTTTCAGCCCGTGGTGGCCGGGCGAGGCATCGTGGACACGTATCTGATGGCGCGCGTGGACGAGCTGAAGAAGTCGCTGGTGGACGTGACGTACGCGACGATGATGCTGCACCAGGGGTTCGATAATTATTTGGAGAAGTCGAAGCGGATGGGAACGCGGCCGAAGGATCAGTTCTTCAACACGGACATCTTTCTGGGGCTGAAGATGAAGAAGATCTGCATGTCCATTCCGGGGGATCGCGTGGTGTGTAGGAAAAAAGGGAAGGGAGTGATGGGAAGACTGGAGGAACCAGGAATTGATCATGGAACAGTGGAACCCGGATCCGAAGCTGAGGGAGAGACAGAGAGAGAAACTGATCGCGGAGTTGAGAAATGGGATGGTGATGCGCCCGAAACATGCTGTTTAGTGGTTGTGGACTTTTTTTGTTGTTTTTTGATTAAATACGATGAATTCGAACGAAGATGTGGAAAGCCGAAAGTACTGTGTGGGTAGAGTGTTGAGAGCGATAGACGAAACGAGAAGAATAATAGCGCTAACCAATCGCGCAAGAGACAGCGCACACTGTTTAAACAGCAAGTGGACGAAACGGAGTATGCTATAAAGAACGGAATGCGCTGTGTGGTTCCCTATATTTACAAACATGAGACTTTTTGCAAGCAAGTCGGAAAACTGCGCGTGCTTTAGTGTAGAGATGGTTCGGAAAGAAAATTATCGATGTGTTTTCAAAGGAATTCGGAGCCTACTCGCCTGAGTACTACGAAGAGGCGATTCGCAATGGGCGAATTCGTGTAAATGGGGAGAGAGTCACAAGGGATCACATTTTAAAGAATGGGGATCGAATCACTCACACAGTGCATCGACGTATCCGTCGTGAATGCCTCTTTTCCTCCTAGACGAACCTCCCGTTCCCTATTCTCCAGTTGTAATCCTCGGAGAAACCGATGACATCATTGCTGTGAACAAACCAGCGGCTCTTCCGGTCCATCCATGCGGAGCATACCGCTACAACTCCTTAGAAACCATCTTACGAAAGGAAAACAAACTCTCCGAGTTCTACTTCATTCACCGCTTGGACCGCGTAACGAGCGGTGTCATGCTTCTAGCCAAGCGCAAGGACATCGCTAGCAAACTCTCCGAGCAATTGGTGAAGGGAGGGTTTCACAAAGTGTACTTGGCGGAGGCCGAAGGGAATTGTTTTGAAAAACCGGAGATTCCGGGTGTTTTTTATACACAGCAGAACGGAATAGCGGTGGATCGAAATATCGCCGTCGTAAGTCAGAAGGAGGGAATTTTCAAGGTGGACGAAAAGGAGGGAAAAGTTGGATCTTTTTTGTTCGTTTTGTACCATGTAGCCTGCATACACGTATCTCTTCCCACTTTATTATTCGAAACAGAGTAACACAACGCTTATGGAGTGTGTGCCCATCACAGGAAGAACGCATCAGATCCGATTGCATCTCAAGTACATCGGGCATCCCATCGATGATGATGTGAACTACAATGAATCGATTCATGTTCCAAAGTGAGTTTGAATGAATTGCTCAACAGCAGACGCGAAATTCCGAAGTGGAACTTCACTGAGGTGGTGGACGATCCGCAGCTTACAGAGGGTAGAAAATGGGCAAAAAATAAGGACTGAGGCGTAGAGGAAATCGCAGAGAAATACTGTAGATGGTGTCATATGAGCGAAGAAGACATGTTGAAGGATCTCTTCAAGGAGGAGCAGCTAAGCCACACATCGATTCACCTGCATGCACTTTCCTATTCTGTAAGTTTGAAAATAGCACCCGAGCAAGAGGCGAAAGATTACTTTTTTCAAACCGATCTCCCAGACTGGACAATCGTGAAGGAGTGCAACAAGGAGAAATTACTGGAGCAGATCAATCGAAATAAGGACATCGTAGTTGATTTGGAGAGAACTTCTCCTCATGTTTGTTTCTGTTTGATTGGAAAAATTTCTGATTGGCTTCTTTTGGCTTCTTGATGCAGGAAAACAAACCGGAAAACGCTGCAGGAGGTGTAACCACGAAACAGAAGCCATTCGATTCAAATACCCTGTTAACGCAAACAGACTTGTCTCTAGATCAGAGACTGTCGATTGAATCGGTCTCTAGCTTACAGACTCAAGAAACTCTTTCGGTTCGAGAAGAGAGGGATGATACATTGTCTATATCATCGATATCGCGAGAAGATATTGAAAAGGAAGAGAAGGACTTGAAGGAAGTGTTTTCTCCGGAAGAACTGTATGTTTTAAATTTCAATTTCCGTTATTATTCGTAGTGAACAACTGTGGAACTGTACAATACCAAAAGTGCGAAATGCACAAGACGTCGCTTCGCTTCTAGATGATCCAACGCCGTTCATATATTCTGAGCTGCAGGCTGTCAAGGCTCCTGCAGTGCGCGAGGTGGAGTGTGTGGTGATCGACAAGCAACGGTTGGAAAAGCGCGAGGAAGTACTGAAAAGCTTGTCTCGGCCTTACCATCCTCTCTTTTATACCACGGTGAATTGGAAAGAGAAATGACCTGCCGACCAATCATTTTGCGAGCTCGGCAGAATCTCGTTTTTGTTTCCCTGATTTCGACTTGATCATAGATTCTTTATTATAGGTAAGTAGCTGTCGATGAACGTTTTGTGTGGACGGTGAGGAAGACTTTTGAGCAACCTGTTTGCTTATAGCAAGTTGATGATTACATGGCTTTCTGAGTCCAGTTTTCTATACTGTGCAGTAGTGTTAACTTTTTGTAGTGCTTCTAATTGTTTGTTAATAAACATTTTCACACACGCTGGATGGCATAGAGCAAAGTACTCCGAGAACGGATGTTTTGTCGAACTTCTTCTTCAGAAGGCCGTACGAGCTGCGGTGTGAGAACCCGAAACTACACAATGAAGTTATAACTACAGTGCTACCGGAGGTTTATCACTTTTGCAGTCACTAAAGTATTGTCGCACCCATCTTTTTACAATCTGAACTTCCAGACTTTGAAAACATAGAAACACGCTAATGCCTCCAGGAGCCATCATGGCAGGCAGCGTTTCCATGAATTTGTTTAAATGATCATATTCGTTGTTTACAGAGATTCGGAGTGCCTGAAAAATGCCTGTACAAGGCGTTTTGCGAGAACGCTTTCCACTCTCCAGTGCTTTGTTGACACACGTCGCAAAATCAATTGTATTTGTGAATTGCTGTTTTTCTCTGCGGCGGCAAATCACACTCGCCACATGCCGACACGTGCGATAGGTCTCTCCGGAATATTCTGCAAAAATCGCGGTCAGTGAATCGCGGTCGAGTTGATTTACCAAATCGGCTGCCGTGATTCCTTGCGACGGATCATATCGCATGTCCAGAGGTCCATCTTTTTGAAAACTGAAACCACGATCCGCCTCATCGACGTGAACACTGTTAAATCCTAAATCCAAAAGCGTGCCATTGGCTTTCGTAGCAAAAGATGCATTGGAATCGTTCATTTGATTTAAATATTTATATGTATTTGCGAAAGTATCCGTGATAATCGAAACACGAGACTGATACGGAGCCAAACGCATTACCAGCTCCTCCTTCATCTAGAATAGCAGGACTGCATCGACAATACACTGGGATCTCGATCAATGCATAACAATCGAGACGTAGGGAAAGCATCCAAAAGAGCAGCAGAGTGTCCCCCCAAGCCAGCACATCCATCAACAAACAAGGAGCTGCCTGTTTCTGGCAGAATCGCTTGTTTCAGAAATGAGACAACCTTGCAGTGAGAAAACAATACTATCCACACCTCCGCAACCATGACTGGTTTGTGAACACGCTGCATGAATCAGAATTGGAAGTTGATAGGGCAGAAAAACGGGAATCTATGTATTTCTTGTGATATGCAGTAGAAATGTTTTTCCCGATTCGGTGGGTGAGGCAACAGAGGTCTCTAGTCTTGGCCAAACAGAGACTCCACCAAAAGCACAGGCTTGTTTATCTCAAGCGAATAAATCGTCGCAAGTATCCGAAACAGCCTACGATACCTACCAAAGGCAAAGTACGGTTTACTTCTCAGTCCGAAATTTGCCATTACAATGTGAAAGTTTGTTATCCCTTGAACTTTCCTGATGGTGTAGGAATCGCCTATCCTCACGATGATTCGGCGACCCAGCTACGTTGAGTCTGTAGTCGTGTCCGAAATGGATAAGAGATAGTTGTCTGAAGAGCAGATGAAGTGTGAAGCACGCCGCCTGCAGCTAAAGATCGCAGGAAAGAAGGACGCTGTAGTCCGTAAGATGATTTCGAAAGAGTGGCTCGCCCATCTTCGTTCAAAGTTAAGCAAGCAGTATCAGGACGTGAACTACGTTAACGATGCCGACTTAGAGTCCTTTTATAACCTCCATACTCTTATTTCGTAAAACGTGAGCAAGACCGTTCCATCTAGATATGTTTCCTTTTGCAAACTAGCCGGGGTCGATACGAAGTTTTTAAGTCTTTCAACGAGCGAGTTAGCGGCCCTGCTATCCATTCATCATCTTTCACCGAGGGTTCATTCTCGATTGCATTTCATCCACGCGTTAGCGTTGTATTACCTCGACCACGTTCCTCGTATTTTTATTATCTCGCGTGTTTGTAATGTTCCTAGCTCTGGAAAACGCCTATTCGGACATCACCCAGCGTCGTGTGACAGCGGAAGAATTCATCCAGAACGCGCGTCCGGACACTTTTTTCGTCTCTTTAGGACTGGAACAGCAGCGAACGCTGAAGAATAAGCTGGAAAAGGCGCGTCGGAGCTGCGTGGAGCAGTTGGTTCGGTTTTATTCGCGGAATGTGAGGAAGGAAGCGGTAGACAGCTTGCTGACGCTGTTCTTTTTGCTGCAGCAGCAGCGTGAAGAGATTCCTAATGTTTTTGAATTGTGGAGTGTTTGTTTGAATCAGGTGTGTGTGTGTGTGTGGAGGGAGGGGAAGGAGCGAAATGGAGGAAGAATGTGGATAGAGGTGGGTAACATAGCGAAGAGGAATGGAAATGGGTTGTTTGTTTTTCGCCATGTACTCGATTGTGTATGTATATGTTATGAGAATAAACAAGTTTTATTACTCTTATTATTATGATCAGAGAAAGAAACGATACCCTCATCGCAAAGTCACCTCTGTGGGTTGCTACCCTTTCTTCGCTTCACTGAATGAACACACGTCTCCATCAACACTTTTTCCCCGGTTGTTCACTCTGATTCCAACAAACACGCAATCCATCATACACTCAATTCTAACATACACTCCCTTCTCCTCAGTACACTCCCGCCTGCTCGCACAGCGCCTCATACTCGCTCTTAATACAATCCGCGCACAACTGCATGGACTGCAGTCGTTCGCTGCAGGCATCAAATCGATTCAAGCTTTCCACGATCTTCCGCAGCGCGTCTTCTCTCTTCTTCATCTCTGCGGTCACCTTCCGGTTCCGACTCCACTTCTCATACTCCGTCTACGCCTCGTCCTCCTTCCTCTTCCCCCTACCTTCAGCTGCTTCAGCAGCGTTCCTTGTGTTCCAATATTGTCCTCCAGCCTTCGCTTCAGCTCCTGCACCACCGTCATCGCCGTGAAAATCACCGCCTCCACGTTCAGCAAGTGCTTATCGCTCTGGATCCGCTCTCGCACCACCGTCTCGCCCGATTTATCCTGCAGCAGCGACGTCAGCAGCGCCGCGCGGTCCTTCAGCAGATCCAGCACGCTGCGCGTCGCTTCCTCCACACGCTTCGAGTCCATCGGGCTCTCCGCGTAGCTGCACGTCGGCAGCGAGGCCGTCAGCGTCATGATCGGCTCGCGGTAGATCTTCGGCTCGTTGCAGCACAGCGTGATCGACTTCTTCACTTCCTCCATGTTCGACCCCAGCGTGCGCAGATTCGCTTCGATCCAGTCCACCGACTGCTTCCACTCCGCCTTCTCCAGCTGCGTCTTCACCACGCTCAGCGAGTCTACTCTTCATTCCCCGCGGTTCCTCTACCCTCCATCTCGTCCATCCAGTCCAGCAGATCGTCTCGCGTCTTCATCAGGCGCCCCAGCCCGTCGCCCTCCTGGATCGCTTCGATCCGCGCCTCCATCGACTTCGGCAGCTCGTGCCCGGCCACTCCCTTCTCCAACTACGCCTCATCCAGCCCGTGGGATCCCACAATGTCCGGCAGCAGCCGATCCAGCAGCACTTTCCGCGCCTCCGCGTCGGCCTGCGCGACCTGCTCGGCGGTGGCGGCGCGCAGCTCGCCGACCTTCTGCAGATACATGAGCAGCGCGGCCTCCACTTGCTGGTTCGCCTTCACCTCGATCTTCAGCGGCACCTCGCTGATCTCCAGCTCCTTCTTCTGCCCCTCACGCCTTTCACATCCATCCTACCATCTCCGCCTTGCAGAACGGCTGCGGGAACGTCACCTCGCTCGGCACCGACGTGATCTACCCCTCACTCCCCGCGGGAACCGCTACATAGATCCGGTAGATCTTGAAGAACTGCTGGACGTCGGCCTTGGCGGCCGCCAGCGTGGCCTCGGCGCTGATCCGATCGCTCTCTTCGAGCTGGAAGGAGTTCATGAGAGCGCGCGTCTGCTTCATCGCGTTGTCCAGAATGTCCGCGTAGCGGTACAGAATCCCCGCGTTCGCTTCTTCGTTCACCGCCAGCGCCTGGCCCTCGAAGTGCAGCGCCGCGATGGACGCCAGGCAGCTCTGCAGCTCGAAGTGCTTGACCAGTCCCGCGGGGAAGAACGAGCCGGACTCCTTGGCGAAGGCCATGGTGTCCTTGTAGAGCTCCGCAGTGCAGGATTGCAGGCGGGCTAGCGCCGCGTTGGTGAGCTTGGAGACCTTGGCTTTGAGGAAATAGGTGTGCTGGGCCTGGGCGAGGCAGAGCGATTTGAACTGGATTTCAGGAATTCCAGAAATCGTACGGTTTTGAGGACCGGAGAGGTGAGGTCCTTGGAGACGCCGAGGCTGGCGAGGTGCATCGCGTACTGCACGTCGAGGGTGTGGAAGTAGAGGGCGGCGAAGGAGAGAGCGTCGATGCAGACTTCGCAGGCAATGATGTCGGGCTCTTGCACCTAGATGATTAAAACCCGTTAGGGAGAGAAAAAAGTACGTTGATCGCAAGGAAAGCGGCTTGCGTGTACAGGGCGCCGATATTGAACAGCACGCATGCCTTCTCGTACAGAATGCTGCGGATCACTGTCTTCGACTTTCCATAGCACACTGCCCAGGACCAATTGATCGGAGCAGCCTAGCGATAACACAGGCACCATTGACAAACCTTGGTTCCTGAAAGTGGGAACGCTGCCTCGATTTGGTTTAGATAGCTGAAGTAACACTTGTAGTCAGTTATATCATTCGGACCTTGATACTCCGTGATCCTGATAATTTTATCACGCTGGCTCTGGACTTTTTCCAGAGATGACAGAGACGGTTTTATATCTTTCTAACAAGTGAATCAGGTAATACAGTGTTACGCCTTCTAAATTCTTTTTGAGCAACTTTTTCAGCTCCGTTAATAGGTCAACATTTACGCCTCGCTTTAATGGGATCGTTTGCATACTTAACTTTTTTATGAAAAATGGAGTTACACTGGATAAAAGATCAAGTTTATTCCTCATGGAATACGCCTCTGTCGGTTTGCTTTTTTTAGATATAGCTGATTGCCAAATTATCCAAAACATTATTACAGTCTGCATCAAAGGAAAAAGGGATCCAACAGACCAAATATATGAAGGGAGTATGTATCTGTGTGGAGTGTGAACGGTGAGGTGGTTACCTGCTATGGTGTGACATCCGCCCAGAGCCGAGAGATTTTTAAAGCTTTCTATAAAGAAAACTTGCAGTGGGCCTATTTGCATGTCATTCCTATAGAGACTTCAGTGATAATGATTTGCGAGGCATTGGATATTCTCTTCTTCACTGCAAGGGATATGACGAAAAGTTTCATGGCGTTGCGTGCCTTGGGAAAACAGTGAAGTCGTATACCGTTGAGGAGTTACGCAAACTTGAGCGTATTAAGTTGTTTATTTGTGTTTATTTCAAGCTGTGATCGATAATGATGTCTACGATTGGGCGACTTGCGACAATCTGTCGAGTCAAGTGATCAAAAACGTATTGATCAAGCATCCGGAGTGTATCGATGTGCTTTCTCTGTGTTTTCTTTTTATTCCAGGTCATTCGATCCTGGAAGTCAGCTCCTTCCTGGAGACAGCGAGCTGCATGTGTTTCATTACTTCACTTCGCGCGCAGAAATCTCCAAACCTCCACAATCCTCGAGATTTGCGATACGTTTTTCGTTTCTGTGTCCGCCTGACCACACAGAGCCATTCACAATCCATACCGCTTCACGCAGCTGGGCGTTGGCTGGGTGCTCCGCGACGTGAGTGTTCACAACGCACAGCTGGTGATCGACTTTCTGAACAGCCACGAAGAGTTGTTCACGCGGGAAGCGGCTCGCTACGCGACGGAGAAGATGAATCCGAAGCAGAAAAGCCAAGTGAAACTGTTTGACAAAGTGCCAAAGAGAAGGGGCAGAGCAGCGAATCAGAAGGAATCGGGAAAGGATGCAATGGAAGCTATAGAGGAAAGATCATTTGCAGAGAGTGAGGAATCTGGACAGACTACGAAAAGGAGTGCAAATAGTTTGAAATCAACAAGAAAGGCAGGCAGAAAAGCATCTTCCAAAACATCTTCCAAAACATCTTCCAAAACATCCTCCAGCAAATCCTTCTCTGAGTCATCGGAGTTTTCCGACTTTTCAGAGGATTCATCGAATTGATTCATGCCTTTGTTTTCAACAAACATTTCATTGCACGATCGGGTCCTTCCATCGCTTCCCTTCATTCCACTCATCTCGCGTCAGTCGTTCTCCGCAAATCTTCGAAAGACGCGCAATCACGAATCCCCGCCAAAAACTATCATTCGAAACCGCGGTTATTCCTCTCCACTCCAACGATCGAAGCTTCGCGTACCTCGGATTCTTCGATAACACTCTCTGCACCGAATCCTCCAGTCTTTCCTTGATGTTTGGAATGGAAACGCCCCCGCCAGTTAGAATTAACCGCGGGAAAACGTGGATTCGAACGTCTTCCGCGAGGGAGCTCAGGACATTCACGATGGCGAGAGAAAGCTCGGAAATCAAAAATTCTTTCGCTTCCTCCTTCTCTTCCTTCTTCCAATCTTCCATTCCATACTTCAGATCTAATCAAACAGGAGATGAGTATGCACATACCATCGTAATTCATCAGATCACACACTCCAAAGGCAACTGGGAGAATTGAAATCGATCGATAACCAAAATCAATCACTAATCCAGATGAATATCCAGTTGTCAACACGGGGAGATAATTCTTTGGCATTATACGGACTTCTTTAAATTGAAATATATAGAAAAGCGCTTTTTGAGACTCTTGGATGAAACGATCACAAACGAACATAGGACGAAGGATAGTCATGGTTTTGTCCTTTGTTTTCACTTTGAATGATCTACATAACACAACCCTATATCGAGAATACAAGTTTATTACAGCGTCCCATAGATCAAGTATATTTTTATAATATGTATCAGTTTCGGATAAAACGTCATTATATAAGGAGGAAAATGCCTTTGAAATTAAAAACAAAATACATGCCTTACAGTTGAATCAAGACTACCATGAGGACGTGAACTATTGGCAAATCCATAGCGTATGTTCCATGATCCCAGCTCCACTACAATCCCATCATCAAACATTATTTATCTATAACAATTTTATATATTGCTCACTCCTTTTGGTTTTCAATTGTATGCATAGTGTACTTGTCTACGCTCCAATCGACATGCTTCGCAGTAAAAGCCCTCTTTAATATGTATGTCGGCACTTTCTCAAACTACCATAATTTGTTTCAATAGGGTAGGTATCTGTTCAATGGGGTGCTGCGGGTGTTTGCGGTATAGGGAGATAGTGTTCCTATTACCTCCATTTGCTCGCTAGAGTGAATTCCACAGGATATCAACGCTGTTTTTGCAGCTCCCAGTGGAGTTGTGAGGAAGTTCGTACCTGACACTTTGTAGACAATTTCCTAGCTTTTCGCTTGCTCGCTCGTCTTTTTTTAATTTTCATTCGTTTTGTCTTGTTTGTTCAACAAGCAGTCCTAACCATTCAATAGCTTACTAAACGCATAGACTGCTTTCGGATAGCTGTATATTACAGTAAAAAGGTTTTCATAGGTCGCATTGTAATCAACATATCCCACAGTTAGGAACGTTTCTAATGCCTACAGATCACTCTCTGCCCCTTCTCTCACGTTCTGCAAAATCTCCACCACTCGCTTTTGCCTTTCTGAACCCTTCTCCAATGCATTCATAAAGGCTTCAAACCGCTCGTAGTTTTGCTGCTGAAACCTTGTTACTTTATTGAGAAGCGCTTTATCCTCCACCTCCTCCACTTTTCTGCGCGAATAAATGTACCATGAATTCGACATGTCAATCTGCACCGTCCACGGATCAACAAGCTGTCCAAAGCAAAGAACTTCCTCGCAAGCGTGCAGAATGTAAGGAATCGTAATCGCCAGTCGGCTGCCTGTGAAGCAGCGGTCGAGTTTCTTGCTTTTGGCTTTATCGAATGAAATGTCGAGATACGACGCGAGCAGCTTGCGCTCTTTTTTCTTCCCAGAGAGAAGAAGCAGACAGCTGTCGATATACTTCTGTTTATTCTCGGGAGAGCGAGAGCAGAGATGGTTCATTACCAGGCGGAAGAGAAACCACCAGCGAGGACAGAAAGCGTACTGCTGGCGGAGGTACGACATAAATACACGCAGCGGAGGACTCGGATTGTCCGTAGTCTTGGTTCGCTTCACATCTGCGGTTGGAGCGAATTCGGCAGAGGAACGTTTCCGAAACGGCTCCGCAGTCACGTTGGAAGGTACATAACACACAACTGGAACAGGATAGTAGGGCGGCATTGCTGTTGGAATCGCTGCGACATTAGCTGACTGATGTTGCAGTACGAAACATTTGAGGATAATGTACAATCGAGGCAGGATAGGGAGGCTCATGGGGCAAAAACTGTGTGCGGTCCCGATATGGGTCTGCTATATTGTCTGCTGCTTTGCGTTGACTGTTTGTTCCAGAAGGCAAAGCCTATTGTTTAAAAATACAACTATGCACTAGTTACGTGTTGGGATGGGTTAGATATCACTGGTACTTGCGGATAGAGAGAAGGTGGATTGGCATGATCTACATATAACGAATCTGCAACAATAGTACAATTGGGTTGTATATTGGGCGGAACCGCATTGTTCATTCTAAGAACAATATGTAAAAATGCAAATTGGGGGTGTTTTTATAAAAGTGTAAATCAAACAAAGCAAGAAAACAGTCCGAAAACGAAGTTTATTGTTGCAAAAACGAGTAACTGGCTAACTAATAGGATGAAGCTTCCCTGTACATAATATTGATTCAATGAGCATACCAATCCTTGTTTCCACATGGATGTTATCATTTCGCACACCGTTAGCGGCTTCTTATTCATGGTCTTTCTGTAAATAGACTGCAGATCGGATGCGATATTATCCCAGTTGTATCTATTCAACAAGGGCGATTGTATTCAAACGAGTCGAGAATCGCTTTGTCTACCTCGTCCAACACTCGAGGATGAGCAACATGCTTGAAATCGATTTCAACGAGTGCTTCTTGAATACCCTCAAAGAGTGAGTTCACTGTCGGGCTTTTGAGAGTAATACAGTTGGAAGGAAAGAGCTCAGGAACCCCTCCCACATTCGTTGATACAAGTTTGCAACCCGATCTAGAGTTGATTTGATGGCAATAACGCACACAAACGCTTCTAAAAGAGTGATATTGAACGACTCTGTAAGAGAACAAGATAGAAAGATATCTCCGCACGACTACTCGTGAGTGACTCTTCGTATACACAACCAAAAAGGGAGCTACCAGATCGTGCTCTATTGTCCCTAATAGGAAAACACGCGTTTGCTTACACACTGCATTCCAGTAATCCGCTCGTTCCCTTATAATGCATTCTTGCTTTCCACCTCCAGCAATCACATAATTCACAGAATCGTAGTTTGAGAGCACTCGATCAATCAGTTCTTTTAACAGAAACACTCCTTTTCGATACACCAATCGACTTAGTACAGCAATCGTAACATACTGGCCATTTCCAAATTGATTTCGAATCCGAATCGAGAGAGGATGGTTTGAAAAATCGTGTTGGAAATCCTTCGCATTTACTCCATTTGGAAGAACATAGAGGTTGTGGGGAATAGAAGATACTTCGAGTCTTTCGCAGAGATTGGAGCGATCCGCTTTGGAAACGCAAATCAACGCATTCACATTTGAACAGGAGCATTGGAGCACTTTGTTGATTGCTATTCCATCCAGCTGGTTTGTATTCATTAAGGAATGATCCGTGTACACTGTGCGTATCCCCAATAGCTCCACTTCCCTGACCGATGTGTGAAACATTCCGCTGGTGTATTGGTGGTAATGGACGACTTGGATTTGTTCAGAAATGAGGATGTGACGAAGAAAGGGAATCAACAGAAAACAATAAGGATAAATGGATCCCAAAGCCATTTCTTCAAGAGGCAAATAATACACTTTGAGCTGTTTGTTGAAATATTCAATCCCTTGGTGGTGTTCGTCGCCTCGTGTAATGACGATAACCTAGGTTTGAGCTTGTTTCATGAATAATGAACATGACAGCCTTGCTTCAACAACGCTTGGCTGATTGAAAATACATGCATCTCCACGCCTCCACATCGAGGGTAGAAGAATTCCGTTACCATTGCAATTCGAAGTGGTTGGTGACTGATCTCCTGCAAAATCATATCCCAATGATGTAGGTTTTAATTCTGAATTCTCAGCCTTCTGAAAGAAAAGGAGGAAGTGCGGGTTCGAGGTATTCGTCTGGTTTTCAATGAGTTGTCAACATGATTTTAATCGAACTGGAAATCACGACACCAAAAGTGAATAGTATTCAGATGGGCCTATTTGGTTAAATTATGCCATGTACGGAACACATTTTGTTCACACTTTTTCTGAAAATGAACAAAAATAATAGCTCTTCATCTCGTAGATCTGTTAGTCGTTTTGTAAGTCACCGTTCGTTCTTAGTTCTAATCTTCATAGTTGCAGTATCGATTGGAATAATTCATATAATTTTGTAGTTGTTAAATTTCATTAGTCCGTGTGATGGAAGAGGAAGTAATCTCTTCGTGATTCTTTACAAAAAGCTTATTGGGGCCTATCATCAAAATCCATTTGGTATGTGCTTTTAGATCTGTATCTATTCGTTAGAATTCTCTTCCTTCCATTTTTCATTAACAAATACTAGTTTTGTCTCTGCTTCCGAAATTTCTTTTCACTACCGCGCAACACATCCATCCAAAGTGGTTTGCATAGTCGAAGAAGCTGATGCTACTTTAAGTGATGTTTCTTACTTGGAGTCGGATGTGAATCGCTTTTATTTCCATTCTGGAGTCGATTCCACTGCGCTCATTTCCTTTTCTCCTGCTGTGGGTGTGGAGTCTCGCCTATTTTGCCGCATTACGGATCTCGGAATTCCCGGAAATCCGGTCTACGAATACGTGGGCGATTCCTTCGTCGTTCGCTACACCTCCATTTCCCTCGAATACCTGGCTCGTCAGAACGCCACGGTGACGTTTACCCTGCTTCCGAAGGGTCTTTACCCTGTCTTCAAAACATCCAATGGGTCCAATGGGTCCAATGAGCCTAATGAGCCTAATGATCTCAATGAACCCAACGAACCCAATGAACCCAATGAACTCAATGAGCCTAATGAACTCACGGGTTCCACGGGTCCTTTGGGGTCTGTCTCTGCGTCTTCGGTCGTGGAGAAAGGGCTGCTGCAAGTGGAATGCAAGGAGCAGCCGTTGTTCACGTCGCGCCACGAGACAAAGCGCATCTCCATCCCCCCGGGGCCGCTTCCCCTGCAATTCACCGTTCTGGAAGACCCCAGCGTGAACTACCAGCTGCAGTGCGCCGTGTACTCCGTGCAGCCCGGCCGCCCCCGCCGCGCGCTGCTGTCCCGTCCGCTCAGCGTGGTCGTGGCGCCCATCTCCTCGGAAGCCGCCGTCCTTTCGTCCCCTCTTTGTTGAACAAACAACGCAATGGTGGCGACGCCGCTCCAAATACTCCACTGGGTACTTGTCCTCCAGAATACTATGCACCTGCCTCGCGCGCTTCTCCTTCTTCTTGAACTCTCCGTACTCCTTCCACGTCTTGAACCCCTTCGGGATCTTGCTCGGCTTCTTCTTCGCCGTGTGATGCTCCAGCGTGCTCAGATCCAAATAATGCATCAGTGCCCGCCCGTCCGTGTCGCGCGGCATGCTTCCGCGCCGGAAATCGTCCATCGCGTTCGAGATGAAGCTGCTCGGCGCCTCCATCGCCTCCTCCTCCCCCGGCGGCGCCTCCCCGCTTTCCTGCGGCATCCCCGCGGGCGCCGCGTAGGCAGGAGCGTAAGCCGCGGGGACCTGCTGCACGGGCTGGTAGTAATAGCCGTAGGCCTGCGCGGCCTGCATGGCCTGGAGGTTGTAGTCCACAGGCTCCTCGCTCGCGTCCACACCCGGAGCGCGCTCGTCCCCCGCGTCCTCCGCCTCCCCCGTGGGCGTTTCATTGTGAATGGGCGTTTCATTGTGAATGGGCGTTTCATTATTGATGGGAGTTTCATTTTCATGATTGATGGGCGTTTCATTTTCATGATCAACGACCGTTTCATTGTCATGTTCATTGGGATTGGTGGGCACGGAGTCGGCATAGTTCTGTCTCTGCTGCGTGAACTTGTGCGCCAATCCCACGGCGCCCTTGTTTCCGAGGAGCGAGTCGCAGGCGGGCGGCACCATGGGGTTGGGCCGCAGCGAGGGCTGCTGCGGGATGGTGAAATCGTCGGGGATCGGGCCGTCCGCGGTGGCCGAGCTGTTGGCGATCACGATGAGCTCGGCGGGCTTGTCGTCGGCGTCGCGCGGGATGGCCAGGGCGTTGCGCAGCACGGCGAGGCCGCGGACAACGCGGCCGAAGAGAGAATGCGATTGCATGAGCTGCGGCGTGGGCGCTGTGGTGATGAGGAAGCGGCTCAGGTTGCTAGGAGTGAGAGATAGAAGGGGAGAGAGAACAGGTTGGGGCCGTCGTTGAGGCTCACGAGCAGGCCGGCGCGGTCGAGAAGCTTGTTGAGGTTTTCGTCTTCGAAGGGAGCGCCGTAGATGCTCATTCCGCCCTTGCCTGCACGTTAGGGGAGAGAACAGGGAAAACCGTCGCCCGAGGAGATGTCTCCGCCCATGAGGCCGAGGCTCGGAGTGCAGCGGTAGAAGAAGGAACCCTTCAGCCTCAGCTCTTGGCCGTCGATGGGAGGGAATTCGCCCGTGCAGAGGCAGTAGAAGTTGTAAGCTGTGAGAGGAGCGACGTCTGCGTAGAGCTAGAGTAAAGGAGGAATTGCGTAGCTACTTCTATTGTAATACGTCCTCCGATTCGATCTCCAAAGTTTAAATCGAGGTTTACGCGAGGTCTCGGGTGAACTAAGCAAATAAGATATAACCTTTTACGAAATACCCTTGGCAAACTCAACACATTCCTCACGACGCCGTTGCCTGTGAAATTACACCACTCATTAGACACCATACCAGATAGCAGTGTCGCAGTTTCGAAATTTATTCAACTGAGCGAGATACGGAGATTCTTTCGTTTCTTCTCCAGTGATATCGTTATGATAAATCACATGGCCGTCGTCTTGAACAAGAACTCTCCACTCGGGCTTTAGCGACTCGGACATATTAAAAATGAAAAGTAAAAATGTGGTCAAAAGCGCGCTTCTCCCGCGGACACTCAGAAACAAACGAAAGTATCATGCTAACAGCAACGCAATCGATTTGAAAGGAACAAAGAGTTGAATATCAGTAAGAGATAATGGTCAACAGTTAAGAAGAACGAGATGCAGCTCAAATTGACTGGAGTCGACTCTATTCTCTGCACAGTGTTCACAATTTAAAAGCAGCATGCAATCGAACATTCGAATTTAGAAAGCTAGGAAAATGTAATGGAAGCCCTTTGCAAATCAACGACCACTACACGTACAATCTTGGTTTATCAATAAAAGACAATGGAAGAGTACTTTAAATTAGCAGTGAGGAAGAGTAGAAAAAGCGTGGCATTGTGATAGTATAGGCAAAAACGATTACCCTCACATTCCTGAAAATTACTATCCCTATGGATACCAATCTAAATATGTCGAAGAATCTAAAGACGAAAATGGAGAAATAGTGAAAAATGTCTACTTTTTACCACCCCATGAAAAGGAAGTCCTGCAGATATATAATTATGGAGAAGGAGATCTGGAAGAGTTCTCGCTGGTAGAGGAGCAGGAGAATGGAGAGAGTTTTGTGCTTATGACAGGAGAAATGATGGATGGAGTATTAGAGGGCTATTGTCAAATTTTTGAGCCTGACAAAGGCCTTGTTTTTGAAGGCAACTGGTCCAATAACATGCGCTGCGGAACCTGTGTGGAATACGACTACGAGTGCGTATCCTTCCAGGGAAATTATCGGAATGATAAGAGAAACGGCTATGGCTGGGAGTATGATCAAGACGAGCTCCAACGCGAGGGAGTGTGGATCGACGGCGTGTACCAGCAAGCCTACCGCATTGTGTGGGAGGAAAACTTCGTAGGGGTCGGTCTGGGCATGCACATCACGCTCACCGACAATGACACACACATCACGACGGTCCGCTGGGAGGACGGCAAATGCAACGGCCGCGCCCTGACCTACAGCAAGAACGAGAACCGCGTGATCCAGGAGCGCGTGTACATGCACGGCGACGACATCGATGTGGTTCCCATCTCCCAGCCCGCCGCGAGGCGCGGCGTTCTGAAGTTCCCGAACGGCTCCACCTGGGAAGGCGACATCTCGCTGGATGCGGCGTGCGGCGAGGGCTCTCTCTTCTCCCCCGAGGGCACGCTGCTCTACCGCGGAGGCATGTTCCGCAACCGGCGTTTTGGCCGCGGCACGAGCTTCCACCCGAACGGCCAGCCGGCGTTCGAGGGCCTGTGGAGCGAGGACGTGCGCATGGGGGACGGGCGGTCGTTCACGGAGCGCGGCGAGGTGGAGAAGGAGGGCGTGTGGGTGGACGACGCGTTCGCGGAGCGCGTGCTGGACGTGCCCAGCGGAACTGACGCGGTGCGCTGCACCGTGCTGCTGCGCGAGCTCTCCGTCGGAGACAACGCGCTGAACGAGGTGGTGGAGCTGGACTTCCGGCGCTTCGCGCTGCTGGAGCGCGTGCGGATCGGCGCGAACAGCCTGAAGGAGCTGGGCGAGCTGAACTTCAGCAACCTGCAGCGGCTGCGCAGCGTGGAGATCGGCGAGGACGCCTGCACGCTGTGCGCGCGGCTGATCTCCCCGCTGCACGCGCCGAAGGAGCGGCAGGACCTGCAGGCGAAGTCGCTGTCGCTGAACGAGGGCAGGGTGCGCGAGGAGATGAAGCGGATGGTGATCGCGAACTGCCCCGCGCTGGAGAGCGTGGTGCTGGAGCGGAACGCGTGCTCGGACTTCTTGAACTGCACGATCGAAGGTGGGCGCGGAGAGAGCGCGTGAGGCGTAGAAGTGCCGAAGCTGCGCGAGCTGCACATCGGACGAGTGGACAAGAACGTGTGCGAAGTGATGTCGTCGCTGAACTTCCTCTACTGCGACACGTTCGAGCTGATTGGTAGGGAAACGGGGAAACAGCGAGGGTAACGCGAAGGCTTGCCTGCGTTGGAGGTGCTGGAGCTCGGGAACCACGCGTTCTTCTATGTGAAAACGCTGCGACTGCACGGTACGCGATGAGCCACGCGTCGATGGCGTCTAGACTTGAAATCGCTGAAGAAGATCGAGCTGGGCAGCAAGGCCTGCTTCGGAATTAAAGAGCGCGTCAAGGAAGTGCTCGTGAACTCCAGTCGCATGTCCTTCCGAAGTAGGCGGCGCGGGCGGAGCGCGTTCTGTGTAGACCTCCCCGCGCTGGAGTCGATGAGCTTCGTGAACAATTTCGTGTTCTTCTCGAAGTGCTGCTTCGAAAGTGGGGATTGCCGAGGTTGATTCAGCGCAGACATTCCGAACTGCCATCAAGTGTCCATCCGATCGCGCACGTTCCCGCCCGAGAAGTTCCCCATTGAGTACGGAGAAGGTAGAGCGTGTGGCTGGATGGAGGTGATGCGCAGGGCTCAGCCAGGAGATTCGTGAGAAGATCGTGAATTCGAAGTGATGTGGGTTGAAGGGTATGATCGGTTGTTCATTGACGCGTCAACGATTATTTGTTGTCTGTTCGCTCGTTTGTTTAACACGCACTCCAATAATCGCTCCGCACATTGACAAACACAAACTCCGCTGCTTCGCTCCGACTCTCGTTCGCCAGCGCGTATTCATTCTGTTTCGGCACCCAAAACACGTCCGTCGCGCTAAGCCAGAACGAGTTCGCGTTGATTCGAAGCCGAACTTTGCGGGCTTCGCACCGCAGCACCACCACAATCAAGCAATTCTCGCCGCAATTCTCGCCGTTCTTTCGGCTCTGCGCTGGAATCACGAACTTCCCCGCGATGAAAAGGTTCTCCGCTTCGAGCGAGGCGCCGCCCGCGACGGGCGAAGCGTCGGAGTAGAGCGGAACGAGCGGGAGATCGGCGTTGTGTCCGACGAGTTGGACCTCGCATTTGTAGGAAGAGACAAAACGAGAATCGGAGAGAGAAGCTTCGGACACGATTTTATCGTAGAGAAAGATTTGTCCGTACTCGGTAATTAGGCTCTGGGAGTGAGGGAGAGAAGGGAGGAGCACGGGGGAGGCGGGAAGAGAAGGCGAGGGACGATCGATGGAGAGGGAAACCTCGTTCTCGGGGGAATTCGATGGGGAATTCCGTGGTGAATTCGATGGAGAATTCCGTGGTGAATTAAGTGGTGAATTAAGTGGTGATTGTGGTGGTGATTGTAGCGGTGAATTAAGTGGTGATTGTGGCGGTGATTTGGATGGTTGGGATTCGGTTTGTGTTTTTTTGGCGGGTAAAACGTGGAGGGAATCGAACGATTCCTGGGTGTGGATGGGAGACAGGGAGGGAGAGATTCGTTTAGAAGTGGAAGATGCGCGGGAAGCTGCGTGTGAGTTTCAATTGGAGGGGAAACCGGGGAAACGCGTCTCGGAGAACGATTTCTCAGAGAGACTCAGAGAACGGTCGCGATTCGGAACGCGATGAAGCTTCTTCGTTTCTTTTTCCTTCACAACCAGGCTGTCTTCTGCAGAAGAAATCGAGCTTGAGATCGAATCCAAATCTTGCTCTTCAAACTCTTGGCTCTCCGAGGGAGCAGTCGATTTGGTCTTTACACTCTTGTTTCTTGTAGTTTTATCGTTTATAGGCTCTTCCTTATTGCTTGTAACAGGACTTATATCAAAAGAGAACACTTCATCGTCACTTATATCTCTACGAATTATAGTAAGCAAATGCACTCTACACAATATCAAAATCAGACAGTGAGTCGTCATTTGAAGAATCTTCGGTTTGTTCATACCGCTTTTTCGATTTTATACCACCCTCTTCAGAATATACAAGACTTACTTTCCTTCTTTCAGAATCGAGTGTTCGCATGACACCTCCTTGTTTCATATACAATCTGTCAGGAAAACAGATTCTGAAAAATATAGGAACAAAATACTCTTATTTAGAAAACAATGTGATCATTTTCGAAAAGGAGGGATATTGTTTTTATCAAACAGACTCTAAATTTCACGAATCAGACACGACTGTTGGCATATCAGAACTCGTTGCGATTTGAATTTGAAATCGTTTCTTCAACATCTTCTCGATACGCACAAACTCCGACTTTACTTCTGCTAACACAGATTCCGGTTCTTCTTCAATGATCTCTTTCAATGCCTACATGTGACTACAAAAGCGGTAGAAACATACTTCGAGACACTTGATAACAAAGTTTTTGCTGTTTATTCGCTTCCCTCTATTACCCTCTGTTCCATCATTCAAAGAAAAGAAATCCTCCTCCAGCTCACTCAGCTGGAAGTAGGTCGCTTTCATGATATTTTCAAGGAACGAAGTAATAGAGATATCCTTGCTCTCCGTCAAACACGAAAAAGCGTGAGTGAACAAAAAGAGGATGTTCTTCCATTGTAGCAAACTTTCAAAGTCTTGGCCAATGTGGAACATGATAAAAGAAAACTCAAATTCGCCCAAAATAGCAAAGTAGGGTGATTTGGTACAAGAACGCCATTTTTCTGCTAATTGGCTTAGTTCATCGGAGGAATCAAGATACAACTGAGAGATTTGCTGCGGTGTTCTGTGTTGGGTTGAAAACCGTTTTGGGTCAATCAACGCCGAAATGTTTACTGTTTGTGTGTAATTGTATGGGTGATCCGACTCATCATCTAGTATAAATCTCTCCGCAGTGGGGTCTGTTAGCCTTTTAAAGATATCCTGTGTAATGTAGGAAGTCATACTCATCCACTTTCCCATTGTTTCGAAGGGATAATAGGCGGTTTGCTTGTCAAATTGGAACTGAGAAGCTCCGTTCTTGTATTGCTGTGCCTTGTTGTAGTCCACTTTCTCCACTTCAAATAGTTGCTCTTCCTTAGGATCCCATTCTAACACACAAACTTCTTTCGAATGTAGAAACAGAGGAATAATCGTTCTGGACGAAAATTCATTCTCTTTACTCACAGAACTATGTTTTAGAAGGTATAATTTGAACTACCTGTAAAAAAGACAGTGAAAACCGGGATTGATCATCTTAAACCCCATGAATTGCTCTCCTACTAGCCAGGAATTGTAATCTAGACCGATTTCTGCCCCAGTCTGCATGTTCAGAATGAGAATGATTGCTCCTTCTTCGTTGAGACTGTTAGCTAGACCTTGATTCATTCCCTATATATTACCATATAAAAAGCCATATCTACAAAATTCCAAAAAAACAATTGTTTTTCTATAGTTGATCAAACATGTTTCGTTCATCATTGCAATTATTGGATGTTGTAGAGAAACCATTGTCATTCGAAATGTAGAAATTGTTGAATGGGAAACTATTTTTAGAACAAATTTGACCAAGGAGGAAGAAAGAGAACTAAAAAATATATTAACAAAGTATAAATTGGGAATGGTGTGAATATTCCGTAGCGATTTTGCTCCCGAGTTCATTGCAGATAAAGAACAATGCAAATGGTCAAAGGAAACAACCAAGAGGAAAATAATGACGGAGCCAGTGTCTGTATGATTGTTTGGTTCTGATTTATGTATGTAGGGTTATCACAACAAATATGGTGTGGATTATAAACGAAAGGAAAGTCCCCTCGTGGTTCGTGGCATGAACGAATGCTTCCGCGAGCTTTCCCGGCACAACCTCCGTCTTTTAGTCATTAACATATCAAACAAGTGTGTTCAATTGTTTATTTTCATTTAGAACCCAAGCTCTGATCAGCAGCTTTCTCTTTACTTGTTGGAAGCAGCAAGTTCCAATCATCCCCCTCAAAAACTCCCCGCGGGAACTTTCCCGCTATTTTAACAATTCCCGCGCTTCCACTTCCCGCGTTCTTTGCTTTGGCATCACACACGTACTCCCTCCTCAATCGTGGAAACGTAGAAACTCCCATCTTCTCGCAGCGCAGTGAGTCGATTACTCCAATTGGAACAGTATTACGCGGCCACACCGCATCTTTCCTTTTCCTTCGCCTTGCCGCGCTCCGCTCCGCCTCTTCCCCGCGGGAATGATAAAACGAAACGCCCAGAACGACAAGGACACGCCGACCGAATGGCGAAACGCCGGCGCGTGATGGAGAACCGAATCCAGGTTACGGATTGGATGCGTTGTCATCCGTGGAATGCACCGGTGTGGAAATCGGAGAAATCGGAGAAACTGGAGAAACCGAGGGAGGATGTGAGGGAAATCGTGCAGGAAATCGAGAATTCCCCGTTGAATCATAATGTGGAAACCGTGGAAACCGTGGAAACCCCAGTAGAAGCATCGGTGACCCAACCCACAGAACCAACCCAAGTGGAACCAAACGTGGAACCAAACGTGGAACCGCCTCGTGTGTCTCTGAAACAAAAACTCCGCAAAAACATTTTATTTCGCTTTCATTCCCCTGTTTGTTGGACTCCTTCTTCACTCGGCTTTGCGCTTGTAAATGTCCTCCAGACAGGGATATTCGTTCGTGAACATGCCGCGTCGCTTCGCGATCGGAATAATCATCCGGTACAGATAATCCCGCGCCAACTTCGTCATATCGCGTACCAAAAACGACGTTGCCAAGTTATAACTTATGAACCTTTCCCGCCATTCCCTACACCATATTGCACTCAATCACGCTGTAATCGTGTTTTAAACCATCGATGATCGTCGCTGCCACGTCCTCCACTTTCAAAATGTACGAAGCATTTTTCCCGGTATTCGTGTCCAAAATAGGCGTGTCTGTATATCCTAGACTCTCGTATTTTATATTTGAAGTATACCAGGACAGACGAGATTCACGAAAACACCGTATGGATAGAGCATGCACCGAAGAGCTGGACATTACCTTGGCTACACAAAGAATACCTTCTCCGAAGGCAAAGTTGGCCATTTTGGTGGAAGAATACATCGGACTGATGAAATTCATTCCCAGTCCAGCCACAGAAGACAAAATACAGATTTGACCATGACGACGCTCTCGGAACGAATCGATCACAGGAAGCACAGCATTTTTGCAGGAATTAATGTTCGTGTTGATAATCAAATCAAACAACTATGAGAAATAAAGGAAGGTCGATAAGAGTACATCGGACAACTTCATCGAGCATGCATTCGCGGGAGTTACAATACCCACACCTGCAATAACGAGGTCTAGCTAGAGTCAAACAGGAATCGTAAACATCACCTTGTATTTTGCATCCTGCTCTTGAATATACTTTCTCATCTTTTCTTCGTCCGTTGCATCGATCGAAGCAACAAAAACGGTTGCACCCTTTGCTCGGATGATTTCAGCGGTCGCATTCAGTCTCTCCACGTTTCTCGCAACCAGGAAAAGTGTTACGCCCTAAGATTGATCCGTTCACTCACCAATTACCGGTTTCGCGTATTGAATCGCCACTTCTCTACAAATTCCGGAACTAGCACCTGTGACAAGAATCGTATGCGGCTCATCTGGAAGTTTCTTAAAGAAGAGATCGTAGAGGCTTCCAAAGAGGATGATGGGAAGTGAGAGCACTGTAGATATAATTCGGATAGGAATTGATAAAATAGAACTTAGAGTTTCCATTTTTCTGTGGAATATCGAGGGAAACGATGGATTAGGAAATAAACAAAGAGATAAAAATAGGAGAAATTGTATTACGTCGTATGGATGGATGTTACGTAAGAAAGCATTTCCAACTGAGAACCGCGGGTAACCTAACAGTATTCTAACATTTTTGCGATTTAACGTTTGATAAAAGTTATAAATTAATTAATTAATTAATTAATAAATTTAAGTGATTTACCAGCTTCATACCATGAGCAGAGGCAACTAAAGAGTTCCAATCACATCCCCCTTCTTCCAGTATCCAACAAACAATCCTTCTAAACAAAACTATTCCGGAGACCACATTCCCAACCGCGTATCGAAGTTCCACCGATAGATCTGATTGGTTTCCTCGGTCACCTGGTTCTCTCCCTTTAACAAAAACCCGTCCACCACGACCAAAATCCCCACAAACCCGATCTCCTAAAAATAAAACACCCCACAGAGACCGACCAGCAGCCACAGCCACCATTTCACAGAGACGATCATGGTCGTTTGGAACATGAGGAAGCACCGGACTTCTCCCACCACCCACTACAATGAAACTCCCATCAAAAGGAAACGGTCAGAAGCAAAATGGTCACAAAAGAGAACACTAAGCTCCGCATGTTGGGCTGGTGGAAATTGTGGAGAATATTGGAATTCCGGTTGAGGAGCATCACACAAAGAACAAACACAAAAATCTCAAAGATAATTGTCATAAACAAATCCGTCGTGTTCTTTATCAACGAAACGCCATCCGATTCGCCGTTCAGCCACTGCAGAATCTGGATTTTAACCCTAACAAACAACCTCGTTACATCTTGATTCCAGAAAAAGGTCAGAATTTGGACATTCCGGAATTCGGGGATATTTCGGATCTGGAAGAACCACGTGACCCAATAAATGACAATCAAAATCAGACACATCAAAATCAGACGAATCACGTGGCGAAGCGAAAAAGCGCGGGGAACGCTCAACGTTTCTCCCTGACGTTTCATTAAAAAGAGAAAAAAGAAAACGTGGCTGAGCGGCTTCCAGGGCAGAAGTTTGAAAAGATGCGAATCGCTGACCTCAGGTTCCGCCGTGAACAAGTTCAGCGAGATGATTGGAAGTGCCAGAAACAGACACACATACAAAAATCCAGCTACATAACAAAAATACCCCCGATTTTGTACATCCAAAAATAGGCGGGAAATTGACCAGCCAACTAAACAGCATGCAAACATTGGTCGCATAAATGGCCGAAACGCCCACTAACAGCATGTTATCGATGTTGTTGTCCAGGATTTTGCATTCATTGAAGAACACCGGAACAATGGAGAGATTGGTACGGTTATCAATATGGAGCGATGCTATGCATTATGGGCCCTTAACAAATAGGGACCAAAGGTGGAATTGATTAATTCGTTAATGTGGAAAATCCGCTTGTTTTGATTCGTCGACGTGTAGAACCGAAAGCGTTCATTGCTTCCAATGTTTCCCTGTTTCCACGTTTCGTCGGGTTCTAATGCATGATTCCCCGTTTCTCGCCATCCTACCGTTAAACTCGGTACTCTTCAGCTCCCCTCCGCACATCACAAACGGAGCGAACTGGTTCATCGATATCAATAATCGGGACTATTTTTGGAATGACAAAAGTCGGTACTTTTTTGTGCACATCCATAATTCGAGGAAACGACGAATTACACACAGAAATAACGCCCTCTCCCCATTCCGTCATCACCTCCATTAAGCTCACGATCGACCCGATCGTTCTATCGATGAAACGCCCGATGAAACGCCTACGCATGTGTGTAAATATGGACTAAAAGTGGCACATTGTCCTGCGTGAGAATGTGTTCCTTAATTTGTTCCACGCCGTGGGGCAGCTGCGCGAAGGACTCCCACTCCAACCCCTCATCTAATCAATAAAAACAAACCAAAAACAGCAATTGGGACATACCATCACAATTGTCGCTTAATGAGATGGCCGTATTCCATCCCGTGTCCAGTCCCATTTTCGCCGCTAATTTACGCGAATGACGATAATTATAGGGACTGTAGTACACATAACGGATTCCTAATTGGGACATTTGTTCGATCATGACCGGTAATTGTTCCTGCCCTTGAAACGCCCATCCAATGGTACCTTAATCACATCATCGACGCTCATTAAGGACAAGAAATGGGACTCTTTCAACAATTCCTTCACCAACTAATTGGGTCAATTGTGTTCCAATTAGGGTACCTTCGATGGATTATTGTTCTTCATGGTCACGTACAGACTGCCATTCTTCAAGGGACGCAGTTCCGCGGTTGCGGCCGTGTCCCAATCCGCGGGAATGGGCAAGGAATTGTGGCCAATCAAAAAGGTGGGGATGAATTGCTGCTCGTTCTTCGCTTTGAGCGCCAAAATGGAGTTCCGAAACTCCTCCGTGAGGGGTTTCAAGTGATGGCCGGTCCAGATGAACTTCAGATAGGGCAGAAGGAAGTCCTGCTTGGTCATGCGGAACACAAATCGAAACAATATTCCCGATGAACAGAACGTCCAGGGAGTTCTCCATCGTTTTCAAGCAGAAAAGATACGCTTTGCAGAACGAAACGCCCCCCATTTTGAACTGCATGCTCTGAAACGCATTCTCGGAGGTGGGGGATCCCACGCTTTCTTGGTTGAGCACGTTCACATGGCTGAAAAGGTACTGCGAATTCAAGTCTTCGCGGAGAAACCCGATCAAATCGGCGATTTCGAAAAAAGTCTGGATTTATGGAATTCCAAAAATCTACTTCTCGGTAATAGTTGTTGGTCAGCTGCATCAAATATTGGCTCAATTTCACCAAAATGTCCTCATCGGGAGCTGGCTCTTTGATTGGAATATCTAGCAATTAGGGACATGTTCTCACATAAGACCCTCAATATTGCACCCCATAATTAGGGTCAGCAATCCCGACGGTTTCAACGTGTTCAGCTTCTTCTTCCACGAATTATCATAGAAATTGAAACGCCCCTTCGCGTGGTATAATGGGGTCATGGTCAGCTCATATGTCGCCTTATTCTTCGGCTTCGTGGAATCATCGAAATTCGATAGAATGATCGTCGATTGGCCTATTCACCACCGGGGGTTTCGTCCTACTGGCTCGTCGCTTCTGCGCAGTGAAGAAGCTCGTGACCTATCCTTTATCACCGCCCTTCCGCGCTCCCACCGACGGATAATCGCGGCAAACGACGTTCTTCGTGAGCACATTGAAGTTGGTGCAGTGAGGGAGCGACAGCAACGCCGCGGACGCGATGCTACGCCTCACGGCCTTCCAAAAATCGGCACAAATCCAGCGAGTTCCGCTGATAAACGCGGAAAGCGTGGATCAATTCGCGATGTCCCGGGATCGACGCGGTCTCGTGCGCCTACCGATGAGCCTCGTCGACGCCCAGGCCGCGTACGCGGAGGAAGGTCCAGCAGGCGCGCGTGCGAGCGAGATAGAGCGCCTCGTAGAGCGTCTCGAGGACGGTGAGGGCGAGCGGACAGAGCAGAAAGGTGACCAAAATCATGCGGAAATCGGGAATGCGGAACGAGGGGAAGTGGAGAAGGAAGATTCCCAGCGAGGCGATCCACGTGACGATGGTGCACACGCGCGAGATCGACACGAAGAGCTTGCGGTACGCGGAGTAGTTCAGAATCTTGGAGTCCACGTCGCTTTCGGCAGCGGCGGGCCGCGAATGGAGGTGCAGCCAGCCGCTAAATCGATTCCAAAACGTCTCCCAGCTCTTCAATCCGAAGAACGAAGACGAGTGGACGTTGCTCATCCCCACGGAGCTGCGGATGAACACGGGGAGCGGGGTCTGCGTCACGAGGAAGAGCCCGCTGGACGGGTTTTCGTGGACGAAACGGTCGGAGGAGGAGATGAGCGGAGAGTTGTGGGTGGAGGAACGCTCGCCGATGGGGGTGCAGGCCACGAAGGAGTTGTCGTAGACCGACTGGAGCGAGGGGAAACAGATTACGTCCGATTCCACTACGAGGAGACTCAATGGCAACATCGCAATGGGGAGTACAGTGGCCAGCGAAGCCAGCGCTCGTCGCGGTATACATAGACGTATTGGACCTCGCCTTCTTCGAATTCGACGGAGAGATCACGCCAGGAGGAGGGGGAGTCGCGAATGGAGCTGGAATAGGTTATTGCAGAAAGCAGCGAGAAAATACATGAGCTGGGAGAGAATCGCGTCGTAGCGGCGGAGACAGCGCCGTTTGTCGAACCACTCCTGAAAGAGCTTCCAGTCACAAAACAAAAATAGGATTGGAAGAATGATGATGATCTCAATTCGAAACTCGGAGCTCGAAGAGCCAAGTTGAGGGTGGACAAAGATGAAAAGCAAAACGATCGCTATTACATACAGAATAATTTCGACGATTAGAATAGGCAAAAAGAGTCTACGAATCGACAAAATGAAAGGCACTAGAATACCGCTTGATGATATTTGTCATATTTTGGCGTATACTACTCAGACACTCTGAATACTCCTCGACTAAACGTTCTAATGCCTCCATCATAGTGAGTCCTGTGAATCACGCACTACGATCGATAGAATACCCGTAGCTTGCTCGATGCAAAGTGGGCTGCGTTCTGAAGGAGTCGTGTCCATTTCGAAAACAAAAAGCTGAGCACGGACACAAATGAGTGGGATCCCAAACCCCTCTCAAAATGGAGGACAACGACAGCGACAACTATTTGCTGGGAAATGCAAATAGGCGGCTGTTGTTTTCTAGCCAGCTGAGTCAAGGATTTGACACGAGTCAACGACTAAATGCCGCGACAAATGAAAGCAGCATCGATAAGTCGCTGGACATCCGACTACTATCGCAGATGGATTTTCTAACTCCAGCGGTAAGTTTTGGTATTCATGTTTAAGTTTCAGCTCACCGAGGAAGTGCCTTCTCAAATCTTTGACTCCGTGCGTGATTCTACTGACACTTCTGGAATCTTTGGAGAGACGCCGCAAAAGAAGCATTCCTCTGGGGCTCGCTCTTTTTTCAAACGAAAACTTGGATATGGTAGATTGCAATTTTGTGTGTATGATAGAAAGATGTACAACATTCTGAAATCAAAAAGACGAGTTTGTTTCCTGCCACCGAGCGCATGACAGTAGCGACGCTTCAAGCTCCCGATGAAAATAAATACTTAAACCTTCCCGAAGATATCAATTCGAACCTGCAGAAACTGTTACAGAAACCGGATTTTACCGTTCTGGACGAGACCCGAATTTCGCGATATCAGCGCGATTTCAAAGAGCTCCAAGTCGAAGCATCGTTGTGCTGTTCACAGTAGATGTTGGGAAAGGGCGTTTCATCGACCGTGACGCTGTGCAAACATCGAATCGACGGGTGCTACTACGCGATAAAACAGATCTCGGTCGATTCGCAGCGACGTTCACCAGCTTTGTAAGGTTTTTTGTTCGATTTTGTGAATTCCAGAAAACGAGCCAAAAAAGAAGTGAAAGTGTTAAGTACATTAAGTAGATTGGTTTTATCCCTGCATTACGCTCCAGGCGAGGCGCCGAACATCATTCGATACTTCACATCGTGGCAGGAAGACGATTTCTTCTTCATCCAATTGGAATACTGTTTCTATGGGTCCGTCTCGAAGTATCTGGAGCATGTTTCCCTTTTTCCCCTTTTCCATGGGATCTAGAAAGCGTTCAACGAGGAAGACGTCTCCGTGTTGCTCTGGCAGATCGGTCACGCGCTTCGCTGGCTCCATCAGCGCGGCTTCGCTCATTTGGACGTGAAACCGGACAACATTCTGATCTGCAAACGGCGCGAAGCGGAGGGCAGTCGCACCGATTGGCAGTTCAAACTGACCGACTTCGGACTGACTGCGCACGTGGTGGACGAAGCTTTTGGGGACGGGGACTGCCGCTATCTGCCGCCGTTGGGTTTGGATGGAGGAATGGAGCGTAGAGAGATGGTGACCGCGGCGACGGCGCAGAAAGCGGACGTGTTCGCGCTGGGCGTGAGCGCGATTCAGCTGGTAAGGAGCGAGGGAGGCGTGTGAGGTAGCTGTGTCCGCGCAAGCTGACCGAGTCCAAGGATTTCTTCGTGTCGATTCGATCCGGGAAGATTCCGCCCGAGTGCAAGGTGTCGCCGCATCTGCGCATGCTGCTGCAGGTGGGGAGCACGCTGGAGGTGATGAGGGGTAGAACATGATCGCCGTGTCCGAAAGCGCGCGGTTCTCGATCGAGCAGGTTCTCCGCCATCGCTATTTTGATAGTTTGCGAAACAAACAATGAAGCTGTTTTTCACTAAAACACTCGCCTTGCAATCGCGATCTTCCTGCTCCACTTACAACTTCTTGCTCGCAGACACCACACCGTCCTTCACAGCCACCTCGAACTCGAAGGCGGCGGCCAGCTTCTTCATCGCCTCGTTCTCCTCGAAGTACTTCATCACCAGTTCCTTGACGCCCTCCTTCTGCGCGGCCTCCACGCACTTGGCCACCAGCTTCTTGCCCAGACCCTTCTTCTGGTAGGCGTCGGCCACTTCCAGCTGCAGCGTGGCGCGCTCCGTCAGCGGGACCTTCGCCACACGGGCCAGCGCCACGACCTTCTCTCCCTCCAGCACGATCAGCGGCACCTGGCGGTCGTAATCCACGTGGCACACGGGGATGAGTCGCTTGTGGCTGGTGCGGGTCTCCACGGACACCGCCTCGCCCATGTACGCAGCCACGGTCGCCTCGCTCAGCGCCTGCTCGAACTCCGCCATCTTGGGCTCGTCGTCAGCGCGGATGGGGCGCACCGCCAGCTCCTTGCCGTCCACCTCCACGGAGCTCACGTACTGGTGCGGGTAGCCGCGCACGGCCGTGTAGGACAGCTTCTCCACGGGGGTGCCGGGCGCGTGGAGCACCACACGGGCGTCCAGCGCGATGATGTCGGTGGGCGTGGCCAGCATGGGGTTGATGTCCAGCTCCTTGATCCAGTGCTGGTCGGAGATCAGCTCGGAGAAGCGGACGAACACCTGGTCCAGCAGGTCCAGATCGCAGGGCGCCTTGCCGCGCACTCCCTTCAGAGCCTTGTAGATCTTGGTCTTGCTCATGCAGTGGCGAGCCTGCGCCGTGTTCAGTGGCGGCAGCGCCATGTTCGAGTCCTTGTACACCTCCACCAGCGTGCCTCCGGTTCCGAAGACGATCACCGGACCCACCTGGTTGTCCAGATTGCAGCCGAAGATCAGCTCGTAGCCGTCGCTCAGGTTCAGCTGGCGCTGCACCGTCACGCCCTGGAAGCCGTCCAGCTTGCCCAGCTTCTCCAAATTGTTGCGGATCGTGTTCCACGCGGTCACCACGCCCTCCTTATCGCGGATGTTCAGCTGCACGCCGCCCACGTCGGACTTGTGCGTGATCGTCTCCGAGTTCAGCTTCACCACCACGGGGTACTTCATGCCCTCCGCGGTCTCCACGGCCTTCTCCACGGTCTCGCACACCACCGTCTGCACCACGGGGATTCCGTAGCTCGCCAGCAGCTGCTTCGACTCGTTCTCCGTCAGCAGGTTGCGGCCCTCCGCCAGCGCCTTCTCGATGATCTTCTGCGCCTCCGAGGGGTCCGCGCTGTGCAGCGGCGCCTTGGGCACCTCGTACAGCTCGTTCAGATGGCTGCTGTACTCCCAGCAGAAGTTGAAGATCTTCGCCGCCGTGTCCGGAGACTCGAACACCGGAATGCCCGCCTCGCGCAGGATCTGGCGACCCTTCTCCAGGTCGTTGCCGCCCATCCACGACGCCAGCACGGGCTTGCCCTCGATGTGCGCGTACTTCGCCAGCTCCACGGCCGTCTCCGTCGGCTTCGTCACCGACTGCGGCGTCAGGATCACCAGCATGCCGTCGCTCTCGTGGTCATCACCGGCCACCTTCAGCGCCTTCGCGTACATTTCTGGGGGCGCATCGCCCAGCACGTCCACAGGGTTGCTGTGCGACCACGCCGCGGGCAGGAACGAGTTGTACTGCTCCATCGCCTCCGGGGACACCTTCGCCAGCTGGCCTCCGCCCGTCACGATCTCATCGGTCGTGATCACACCCGGGCCTCCAGCGTTCGTGATCACCGTCATGCGCGGACCCGCCGCCAGGGGCTGCTTGTCCAGAGCCGCAGCCATGTTCAGCAGCTCGTCGATGGTATCCACACGCACCACGCCCGCCTTCTTGAACGCGGCCGTCAGCACGTCGTCCGAACCCGTCAGAGAGCCCGTGTGCGAGGCAGCCGCAGCGGCGGCGGCGGCAGTGCGGCCCGGCTTGATCACCACGATGGGCTTGCGCAGAGCCACCTCACGCGCCGCAGACAGGAAGGAGCGGGCGTCGCCGATCGTCTCCATGTAGATCATGATCGCCTTGGTGTTCGGGTCGTTGCCGAAGTAGTAGATCAGGTCGCCCCAGTTGACGTCCGCCATTGAACCGATCGACACGAACGCCGAGAAGCCGAGACCCTCCTTCAGCGACCAGTCCAGCATGGCGCACATCAGAGCTCCGCTCTGGCTGATGAAGGCGACCTCTCCCTTCAGAGCCATCGTGCTGGCGAACGAAGCGTTCAGACCGGTGATGGGCACCATGGCTCCCAGGCAGTTGGGACCGATGATGCGCATGCCGTACTTGTGGGCCTCCTCCACGCACGCCTTCTCCAGAGCAGCTCCCTCCTTTCCGACCTCCTTGAAACCGGCAGAAATGATAATGATTCCGCGAACTCCAGCCTCTCCGCACTCATGAACAGCGCCCAAGACACGCTTGGCGGGAATGCAGATCACAGCAAGATCAACTTGCTCCGGAACGTCTCCAATCGTCTTGTAGGCCTTGATTCCAAGCACCTTGCTACGAGTGGGGTTTACGGGGAACACACCTCCTCCGAAGGGGGTCAGCAGAAGGTTCAGCAGAATGGTTCTGCTCACGCTTCCAGCACGCTCCGAAGCTCCGATCAGAGCCACGTTGTTAGGCTTGAAAATGGCATCCAGCTGATTGTACAGCTCGGGAGAGAAACGACCCTTCAGATCCGATCCAGTAGCGTCCCAAATCAATTCAGAAGACATTGCAAGAAACAAGTTCTAAAAAACCGAAAAATGAAGATAGAGTACAAGTGGAAATTGGTGGAACTAAGATAATCGCGGTTATCCTACACAAACAATTAGCGTGTCAAGGATCAATGAATTGCTTTTGCTGTGCGTAACAGAATCGTTATGAGTTGGTAACAGAGGATTACGAACGGGAAGATCAACGAAAAGTTGTAACAATCGTATAGCAGGCATGAGTGGATTGATACAGAATACAATTTGGCAATGGTTTTTTCCTCCCAAAAAGCACATATTACAAAAAATCCAAAAAGCATGTCGCACCTCCAAAAGTGATAATTGAGCTACCCCCCAATGCAGTGTGTGTCGTCCGCTGAATGTAATCTTTAGATCATTATTTCTTGGATCAAATCGCCGTGCACATTAAATCATGGATATTATCAAGAAGGTCACTCAGACTACCAGCAAATTCTTTGGAGATAACAAGAAAGGTTCGATTCCTTTTGAGTCGCCTAATACGTAGAAGAAGTAAATGAACTGAAGCAGCAGCTTGCCTCCAACAGCGTCGATGAGAAAAAGGACGCTTTGAAGAAGGTCATTGCCTTGATGACTATCGATAAGAACGTCTCTGATCTTTTCATTGATGTCATCAACTGTATGCAGCAGGGAGATATCGAGATGAGAAAGCTTTGCTACCTGTACCTCATCAACTACGCCGATGAGCAGCCCGATCTGGCTCTTCTGGCCGTGCAGTCCTTCATTCGTGTACGTCTCGTCGTTCCAGTTCACTTTTAGGATGCTGCTGATCAGAATCCTTTGATTCGTGCTCTGGCTGTGCGTACCATGGGTTGCATCCACGTCGAGCGTATTTCTGAATACCTGACGGAGCCTCTGCGTACCAGCATCACCGATCCTGTACGTTTTTCGTTTTGGGTGTGGTTGCTAATGCGTAGGATCCGTACGTGCGCAAGACCGCTGCCATGTGTATCTGCAAGCTGTACGATGTGAGCCCCACGCTGGTGGAGGAGCAGGGCTTCATCGAGTCCCTGCACGACATGATCTCCGATGAGAACTCCGCTGTGGTTGCGAACGCGATCGCCGCGCTGTGCGAGATCCAGGACAACTCTCCGCGCGAGGTGCTGAAGATCTCGACGTCGATGCTGCAGAAGCTGATGGTGGCGCTGACGGAATGCACGGAGTGGGGCCAGGTGTACATTCTGGACTGCTTGGCGCGCTACGAGCCGCGCGACGAGCGCGAGGCGGAGGCGATCATCGAGCGAATCCAGGCCCGTCTGAACCACAGCAACACGGCGGTGGTGCTGAGCGCAATCAAAGTGATCATGGTGTACATGGAGCACATCACGAGACAGGACAGCATCCGATCGCTGGTCCGCAAGATGGGCCCGCCACTGGTGACTCTGCTGTCCAGCGAGCACCCCGAGATCCAGTTCGTGTCGCTGCGCAACATCAACCTGGTGGTGCAGAAGCGTCCGGACGTGCTGCAGACGGAGATCCGCGTGTTCTTCTGCAAGTACAACGACCCGATCTACGTGAAGAAGGAGAAGATGGACATCATGGTGAAGCTGGCCACCGAGCGGAACATCGAGCAGGTGCTCACCGAGTTCAAGGGCTACGCCCAGGAAGTCGATGTGGAGGTGATCCGCAAGGCGGTGCGCTCGATCGGCCGTCTGGCCATCCGCTTGGAGAAGGTGTCGGAGCGCTGCGTGAAGGCGCTGCTGAGCCTCATCCAGGAGAAGACGAACTACGTGGTGCAGGAGGCGATCATCGTGATCCGCGATATCTTCCGTCGCTATCCGAACAAGTACGAGTCGATCATCGGCACGCTCTGCCAGAATCTGGACACGCTCGACGAGCCCGAGGCCAAGTCCGCGATGATCTGGATCATCGGAGAGTACGCGGACCGCATCGACAACTCCGAAGAGCTGCTGGAGACCTTCCTGGACGGCTTCGACGACGAGCCGATCAACGTGCAGCTCTCGCTGCTCACCGCCACGGTGAAGCTGTTCCTGCAGAAGCCCAACGAGTCCAAGGACCTCGTCAAGGACATCCTCAACACCGTCACGCAGAACTGCGATGATCCCGATCTCCGCGATCGCGGCTACATCTACTGGCGATTGCTGTCGCAGGACCCGGAGACGGCCGCGGAGATCGTGCTGGCGGAGCACCCGGTGATCAGCGATACGGCGGAGGGCGTGGAGTCGTCGCTGCTGGATCTGCTGATTGCCAATCTGTCCACGCTGGCAGTCATCTATCAGAAGAACCCGGATCAGTTCGTACGCAAGGCGGAGATCCACGAGAATAGAGAGGAGGACGATGACGATGAGGATGAAGACGATGAGGAGGATGATGATGATGACGATGAGGATGACGATGATGACGACGATGACGATGACGACGATGATGACGATGATGACGAGGAAGAGGAGGAAGAGGATGACGACGAGGAGGAGGAAGAGGAATATGATGAGGATGACGAATAAATTGCGTACTTGACTGTTTGTTAAAACAAGGGAGTTTATTTTCTTTCGGAACTAGGATTATAAACAAGATGGGTCATGGATTGTCGAAGGTAAAGAAGATTTTGCTCATAACCGTTGCCCTTTATTTGTTGTGTATGATCATTGTTTCCATTACCCGTAAATATGGTATATATTATGATTCTGTCGGACAAAAACCTAAGAGTGCCCCCTTTCGTGCTATATCGTGTATTCATTGCCTTCATTACCCGCTTTACCGAATCCCTAGGAATTTGTCGATTTCACCGTAGTCTATTTTTCGATGGGTCACAAATAGAATTGTTCTCCCTTGCTTTCGGCACTCCACTTGGCCAACACCAATAGAGCCTGTATTAGAAAAAGGAATTGTATTTTATGTATACTCACCCAACATGTGCAGTAAGGGTATAAAGTATATGTACCAAGTGTTGAGCAACAGTCGAATCATTAAGCAAAAGACTCCGAATGCATCTATAGCACTAATAACGAACTGTGATATTCCCTATGAAATTGCCAAGTATCTAGACGTCATTGTACCAATACACAACCGAGACGTTTTAAGTCGAGGAGAAAAAGAATGGACGACTCGTGTATTATACAATGCGTACCTTCCTTTCAACTATTCGTTCATCATTGACACTCATGTCTTCCCCTGCGACGAAAATGCTTACGATGATATCCTGGATAGCTTCAAAAGGTCAAACAACGATATTCAATTCTCCAGTCGTGTGAACACATACATCTACGCCTCGGGAGGTGGTGTGCTCTCCAAATTTGGGAAACCAAGTTTTATTTACTGGCAGCGATGCTATATTCATCAAATGAGATACCATTATTCTGATGATCAAATCCCCATGACGAGAACCATGATCAAATATAAAAATGATATTAAATTCCACTGGCTTAGTAGTAATTACTTTTTTGCTTCTCATGGAATCACGTCGAAGGGCGAATTCATCGGTTCTTCGAAGTGTTATCGCAGTTCCATCGTTGTAACAGGGCGAGTTCGATGGATTCATGGATCTCCATCGGATTGTGCACTGATGAACGGGAAGAATCTGGAGCATATTGGGCGAAATCGAGTGTATTTCCTCAATGGAACCTGCAAGACAAATCGAACGGGGCTCACTGTGATTTTTTCTGAAGAGGAGTTGGCGCAAGCGGTAAGTCCGCAAAAGCCTCCAGAGTTGAATTGGACAGATACAACGTATCATTCGAGAAATGGAGTGGAGTGGGAGTGGAATGCGCCTATTTATCATACCCTTTTTTTTATTTGATGGAACAAAGAATGATTTTGTTTTGTTTGATTAAATGAGAGGAGTGGAGAGGAAAGGAAAGGAAGAAAGATGGAGGAATTAGAACTCACTTATTTTCTCTTTGAGCGTAGTAAACTAGCTGCAGATTCGACCTCACGACATAAGAGCGCTTTGGGATTGTTTTCTTCTTTACGAAGATGAACATAATTGAAAGCATCGTAGCCTGGAGGAAAGGAAAGATTCACCTCAACGTCCGAAATAGGATTTCGAAGTAACAACGCCTTTTGCAAAACTATATCATGATTTGTATCAATTCGACCTAAATAAGAATGATCTTGGAGATTGAATCCTTTCGCAGGTTCGGTTAGCGATCGTTGTGTTTTCGTCACAGGATCAAAAACGATTTGATAATGAAACGTGTAGTAGGCTTTCATGAAATCTTGCTTATATCTAGAATGAACAAAAACAATCACACACACAATTCGTCCATATGGGCTCTTTCACACACTAGTTCAATGATTTGTGAAGCTGTTTTGCCCTTTTCAATAATAGGAAACAACCGTTTCCAACCCCATTGTTTCGGGTTTTTCAAATAATCACATCCCAAAAGAATGAAAAAGCAAAGAGCCATTTCTTCCGTGAATTGTGTAAACGATAAGGATTCAGAGAGAAAAAGATCCTTTCGAGAAAACTCGAATCCAGCACCTTGGTTATTCAAATCAAACAGAATCTTCGAGCAGCCAAAAGCAATGAGATCGCTATCGATTGTTATTACAAAATCCACCAAATTCATCCGAGAAAGGTAGGCCAACTCTGCGTCGGCTTCATAGGGAGCCACAATATACGAAATGTTATGAGCAATTAGTTCCTTAATCAAAGGGATATACAGATCAGGAGTAATGTCGACTGCAGAGGAATAGTAAATTAATGCATTCTTGACGTCACAGTTAGCCTCATATTCTTTAGCACGTTTCAGAGCAAGAGAACGCTTTCTAAAAATCATATAAGGCCCAGAAAATATACTCTTTGCGTTCGTTATTTGTAGCTTCCTTTATTGGAAGGTCAGCTCCATCAAACACGATAATGGGGACAATATCATTCTGCAGTAAGAGATTGACAAACCGCATACAGTAATTTACATATCTAGTTAAAAAGACAATAAAATCGTACTTTTTTGTTGGCATTGACAAACACAGTTCTTTTCCACATGAATATATGCCTTTGTGTAACCTACTGTATTAGAAAAGCAATAAGCATTACCAGCACATAATATCTACTGCTGCTCTCTTTCCACGGTAATCACTAAGATTCACAGGTTTCAATAGCTCAGGTTTTATTTTCTTGTATGCATTATAAATTCCCATAGTGGTAGAGCTGCTAATAATTAAAGAATAAGGTAATTGAATGTAAAATGATGCGATATAAATACTGTACATTCATTATTCTTTACTGCTTAATTATATGGTACTCGACAGTAAAAAGGAGTGAGAATAGAAATTGATGAATTTATTATTATTCCCATACCTATATGAATGTATTGTACAAATAATTGCTCGAAAGGAATAAACAACAAGAAAAGGCAACTGTGTAATGAAAAATAAAGGTAGTTCGAGAAAACAAGAAAGTACTTTACGAAATACCGATGAATCGCTTATACTCCGTTATAGTTGTTTTTGTGACTACTTCCACAAAGTTGGTTTCTGTAGAAGCTATGGCACTATCAACAATTTCTGAACCAAGTGCTGATTGCATTCTTTTCATCGTTAGCGTTATTTGGGCAGCACTAACAGGCATAAACATCACTCTGATACTCGGTAAAGATCGGATATCTCGATAAATGTTACTCCAAAGCCCTTCAATACTCTCACCTTTGTAAGTTTGAGTGATTTTACAACCAGGATGATCTCCATGATTGGGATAATCTCCAACTATTAGAATCAAGTGATTATATGTATTGTATGGAGGTCGCTTCATCTGTTCCAAAGCTCGTATCAATCCTCCTTGGACATCTTCGCACCATCCATATCCACATCCTATCCCATCACACCCACCATCAGGGCAAAATGTCGCAAGTTTGTTTCGTAATCTACCAAAATCATTCGTGATATACTCAGCAGTTTCACCTGTCATTTCATCAGCATAATCCTTGTATTGAACAACTTGACCAACAATTCCTCCTTCAGGAAGATGATAGTCCTTCTCAATTTGCTTTAACTTATTTAGAATTTGTACAATGTTTTCTCTAGCTGCATTAATATAACCACTCATCGATCCTGTAGCATCGATTAATACAGTCATACAGAAATTCATTTGTGCTTTTTTACTTTGCATTTCTCGTTTCTCCATTGGTCTTAATCCAGGCAGTCTTATTCCGTCCATTTTAATTCCAGATTTCAAGCTAGGATCCTTAAATCGATCTGCTTCAAATGGCTCTGTGTTACACAACCAAACTGCGGCATTGCTGATCCATCGCGCTGTTCCATCTTCGGTGAACTCCAAAAACAGTTTGGAGGCAGCGGTGTCTATTATCACTCGGCCTTCATCACTTCCTTTTTTCTTTTCTTTCACCATAATCGTAGCATTTCCTTCACTTTCTCTTGCAAATACACGGAATCCTTTATCCACTAGTTTCTTTTCGTTCAACGTACACAGCGTTCTTCCTTCAAAAATGCTCACAATTCCAAAATCCAAACGAGACAAATTTGACATATCTGCTGCTTTTCCTCCAATGGTAATGAACTGACCTGCTTTTGGTGTTTCACTGTTCACTCGTTTCATTACTTTACCTCCTTCGATGTTCTTGTCTTTGTCTCCCACTGCTTCAAATCCATAGAATGTCTTAAAGTACAGATCAGCTTCATAAGTGAATGGATAGTTCTCCAAGAACCAGAATACACCGCCTCCTCTCATGTTGAATTCATGTACACAACTCACAAAATTATATACATGTTGATCCACATCCTTATCACATTCTTTTGCCATGATTCCATCTCCAGGAGAACAAGTAATATATGTCATGCGATATCTGCCACTTGACAATTCCTCAATTGCAGTTTTGTAATCATAAGCATAACGAATTTTAAATCCTTTTCCTATTGGCTTTCCGTTGACTATTCTATCTCCCAATTTAGCAATTGGTGAGAACCTTTCTCCATTCACTTCCTTTCCATACTTCAATATTTCTTCAGTAATAAATTCATCAATCACTTTGCCATCATCATCTTTTTCTCCCCTGCATAAGTAGAGAATAATAAACAAAATCGAATAATGACCGAACGCTCCATCCACTCCCAAATCATACTTGCTCTCATTGATTGTGTCGAAGTCCTCAATCACTACATCACCATCTGTAACATCATAGAATCGAACCATACTCAACGTAGCTTCATAAATACTAGGAATATTGCATATTTTTTGCGTTGTTTCAACATATGTTTTGCCAAAAGTATCATTCATCATCGCTCCATCGATATTCTTTTCTGGTACTGCATTCTGATTTCCATTCATTGATGCGTTGGTTAAATTCAACAACGTTTCGGACAACTGATTTGGATTCGAATTCCAAATCATTGTGGGGAACAAATCTTCAAATCCACACAAATACAAGCCAATTCCAATTCCGAGATAAGTCATTTCGATTCCACTCACAATCGATTTGATTTCTGCTCTGGATTCATCACACAAAACACCATTTGTTAACACCATCATTATAGATTGGAATGATCGAGCATTGCAGGTGCTACAAGCATAACGAATACAATCAGGTAAGCAAGTATTTTGACAAGGAGACAATAATGATTGATACAGTGCAGCCACAATATTGCTCTCCCATAAATCCATCGATGAAATGCCTGTGGCCACACGAGTAATGTCTCTAGAAGCCACCCACAAATCAATACAAGGCAGTTGCATATTACTCAGATTTCGAAGCATTGTAAAGATTGTTATAAATGAATGAACTCGATTCGTTTCACTAAATGCGATTGAAGAACAATCGACAACAATACTTGCATTGTAACTCCGAATCTTTTCACTTCCAAGCTTCTTGAAAAACTTGCCATCTCCAGTCTTGCTAACTACATATTTGATGTAGTTTGCCATATGAATCGATGTTCCTGAAGTGGATGCAACAAATGCTGTCGACTTATTAGGAACGAACAGAGAAATGCTCATCGCATCAAAGAGATTTTCACCTTGAATTACACCATTCAACTTTGTCAACACAGTAGTTTCACTTATGGACTTAGGACTAACCAAAAGATTCTCGTCTGATATATCCACCATTTTTGCTGATTTTGTGCTTGATATTGTGTTGATAGAAACCAATGATTTGTTCACTTTAAATTCCATGTTGAGATCATCACAGTAATTTGCTGTGTAGTTTGCTACAGATAATGCATCTCTAGTAATGTTTCTTTTTTCCCTCATTTTATCAAATAATATATCAATCAGAATTCTATTTGATGAATGAACCAAATCGGATATCTGATTAATCATAATCATGTTGTTATGGAAATTTGCTCCCAGTGCATTTTCCAATAAAGACTGATTTGTTGGATTCAATGCTTCGTCATCCTTTCCCTTAACACACAACAAAAAGAGTTTGGAATATACTCTAAATACATTTCTCACTTCATCATCCTGAGACATCAATTGCTCACTAAATCCATCACTTATTATCACCACTGGATCTTTCTGATCAAAGATATTTTTTACTGTCAATAGGTCCAAAGGAGTTGAAGGCATTTTTACCACTTCTTCCATGTCAAACAAAAAGGAAATGATTTCACGAATCGGTCGATCTTCCACAGGAATATAAACACCTTTATATCGTCCACAAAAGACATACAAATTGTAGGATATTCCAAGTTCTCTCACTAATGCTACCATAATACACGAAATGATTGTTCGCATTCGTAGCTTATTTTTCCTCAAACTACAATTCGTATCGATTATTATACTGACTGTGGAGTGAAACTTTCTGTTCATACAATTCATTTGCTTCATCCATTCAATAATAGTCGCAGATGTACTCATGATGGCTTGAACAACTTCAAGATCTATTTCGTTTCTTTTGTTTTCTAGTTTTTCTTGTGTTAAAGTATTAGAAGTACTGAATGGCTGGACATACTTGTTTGTCGTTCGACGATCGTAAACCGACTTAAATATCTCATCCATGCTCATTTTGTTCATTTTTTCCAAAAATTTTTTATAGTCAATACTTTTATAATCTTCAACATCCTTTAAATCATTCTTCTCCTTACTGTCTTGATCTTCTTCCAATTCATCTTGACCGGAAGTATCTTCTTTTTTAGGAGCCAATACTTGAGCTCTGTTTTGAATATCATCGATAATTTTGTTACTTAACTTCACATGCTTCGTTGTTGCTCCTGATAGTTTGGCACTATCCTTATCGCTATTCAAAATCTTTACATCAGTTGTCGTTTGTTCAGCTGCTACAGGAATATCATTACTCTCAACCGCAAACTCCGAGACCTGCTCGAAGGTGCCTCCCGA